TGTCACACACTCACACCCTGTGAAATTCATTCTTAATGAATGAAACAAGTCACACAAGGGTGAAGATTTAGCAATTAAAAAAGATCAAACGCACAAGGTCCTGCTTGGCCTCTGCCTTATCCATTTTCCCTCCTCTCATCCTCTCTGGAGCTGGGGGTGGCAGACGGGGGCATTTCAAAGGCTGAATGATTTGTACTCCCAATTTGTTTTGGGAACTTTCCACATTACAGTAGTGATAATATATCATCACAGGGAGCCCAGTTTTGCTGGAGGGACTCTGTGCTACATGGCACTTTGAATGCAAAATTAATCCTGACCCAGTGGAAGCTGTAATAAAATGTTGCAGGCAAGAGTGAGTCTGTTCATGGTCCTAGCCAAACATGCCCTCTTCTAGGATACTTATTTCAGCCTCTACCAACCTGGTGCCCTCCAGTTGTTGGTGGACTACAACTCCAATCAGCCCCAGCCAGCATACTTTACTATTTTCCACCACCCCTGCTAGCCAGCATTGTGCACACACTGAGCATGTTCAGTCCTCATTGGCTTTCTTCCCTAAACATTTACTGTATTCTATTGCTGCAATCTTTGGATTTCCCCCAAACATGCTGAGACTTCCTTCTTGAGAGAGAATGGGGGCCATTTTGGCTAGATAAGGGTCCATATTTGGGTCCACTGGTTGGTTATTAGTAAAGGACCCCTAGATGGTTAAGTCCAGTCAAAGGCGACTATGGGGTACGGTGCTCATCTCGCTTTCAGGCCGAGGGAGCTGGTGTTTGACCACAAACAGCTTTCCGGTCATGTGGCCAGCAGGACTAAACCACTTCAGGCACAACAGAACACTGTGATGGAAGCCAGAGCATACAGAAATGTCACTTACCTTCCCGCCGCAGTGGTACTGGTGTGCTTTCGAACTGCTAGGTTGGCAGAAGTTGGGACAGAGCAACAGGAGCTCACCCCATCGTGTGGATTTGAACCGCTGACCTTCCGATCAGCAAGCCCAAGAGGCTCAGTGGTTTAGACCACAACACCACCTGCTCCCTTGAATATCGCTTGAATATTAGTATATGGCAGTTGTAATGTGGGAGGTAACACACACACTTGGAGGATTTGCAGTACTGCATCAGTCTTGGATTTGCATGGGCAAGAGAAGGAAAGTTTTAAAATGATGGTTTTAAATAACAGCAGAGAGTTGAGTAAAGGAAACAGAAAAAGTGATTTTTTAAAAATTGCAGAGTAAATGATGATGGGGTAACACTGAGGGAAAGAGTGACATTTTAAAACAAGGTTTGAGTGCCATGAGAATGGAGCTGGGAAAGGCATTGTTGTGTTAGTTTCAAATCATAAAATTGTAGAGTTGGAAAGGACCACAAGGATCATCTAGCCCAACTCTCTGCAATGCAGGAATTTTAGTTAAGGCATCCATGACAGACGACCATCTGCTTAACAAGCTCCAATGAAGGAGAGTCCACCACCTTCTGAAGGAGTCCATTCCACTGTCAGACAGCTCTTACTGTCAGAAAGTTCTTTCTGATATTTAGCTGGAATCTACTTTCTTGTAACTTGAAGCAATTGGTTCAAGTTCTACCCTCCAGAGCAGGAGAAAACAAGCTTGCTCCATCTTCCATGTGGTAGCCCTTCAGCTATTTGAAGATGGCTATCGTATCTCCTCCCAGTCTCTCCTCTTTTCCAGGCTAAACATACCCAGCTCCTTCAACCATTTCTCATAAGGCTTGGTTTCCAGACCCCTGATCATATTGGTCTCCCTCTTCAGCACATGTTTCAGCTTGTCAGCATCCTTAAATTGTGATTCCCAGAACTGGACACAGTACTCCAGGTGTGGTCTGATCAAGGCAGAATAGAGTGGTAATATTATTATTATTGATACCCTGCCCATCTGGCTGGTTTTCCCCAGCAACTCTGGGTGGCTTACAGCATATATAAAAACATTGTAAAATAGCAGGTATTAAAAACTTCCCGATACAGGGCTGCCTTCAGTACTATTACTTCCCTTGATCCTTACACTAGACTACTTATGAGGCAGCCTAAAATAGTATTAGCTTTTTTTGCTGTTGCATCACTGTTGACTCATGTTAAGCTCGTAGCTAGATCCTTTTCACATATACTACTTGCAAGTCAGATGTCCCTCATCTTATATTTGTGTAGCTGGTTCTTCCTGCCTAAGTGTAGAACCTGACATTTTGTTCCTACTGAAATTCATTTTGTTAGTTTTGGCCTAGTTCTCCAATCTGTTAAGTCAATCTTTAATCCTGGTTCTGTCTTCTGTGGCACTCTTTGGGTACGGTCAGTCAACGAGCTACAAATCCACCTAACCGTAACTTCATCAAAAGCCTTACTGAAATCAAGATAACATTTTGTCTACCGCATTCTCATGATCCACCAAGCTTGTAACTCTATCAAAAAAAGAAATGAGATTTGCCTGGCGTGACTTGTTTTTGAGACACCCATGCTGAGTCTTAGTAATCACAGCATCCTTTTCGAGGTGATCACAGGCTGACTGTTTAATTATCTGTTCGAGGATCTTCGCTGGTATCGACATCAAGCTCACCAGCTGGTAATTACCTTCCCACAATCATGTATTGCACTCCTGATACCATGTATTGTCTTCAACATGAAGTTCTATATTAAATATAGTAAATTAGAAAAGGTATTTTGTGAACAAGCAAACATCCATATATGTGCAACCTCTATCAGCTGAACTTACCCTTTTAAACTGAACAAGGTAACTGACAGGCTTGCTTTTAAGGTTCTATTCATCTTAAGGTTACAGAGGGTGTCTGCAAAGCGCCTGCATGGTAGAGGAGGAATGCATGGAATTTTTTTGGGGGGGGGATCTGTGTGCAAGGGAGAGTTGAGAAAAGTGAGTAGGGTAGAGGGGAAAAATGGGGCAGAAAAGGAGGTGGCATGGACTTGGGGGTGAAGCTGAAAATGGATGCGAAGTGGGGCTGCAGAATATGAGAGAAGTAGTTTCAGAAACAGAGTTGGGGAAAGTGAAAAGCAAGCTTAGAAATTGCACGGGGTGAGAAGGGGAAGCTCTATGGCAGCCACCCCAAAACTCGATCCTCCAGCTGTTTTGGGACTGCAACTCCCATCATCCCTAGCTAACAGGACCAGTGGTCAGGGATGATGGGAACTGTAGTCCCAAAACAGTTGGAGGGCCACGTTTGGGGGTGCCTGCTCTATGGGCAAATATGAGGGGGGAATGGCAGGGGGTTGGGTAGCAGTGTGAGCAGGGACACAGCCCCTATTATTAATCTTTATGTGTCTACCGAGACAGGCAGGCAGGCTGAGGCGGGGGGGGGGGGAGCGCCTGTCAGAAAGGTAAACATGGAGCAACCAGGGAACTGTGTGACTTTATTGAAGTGGCAGGTAAGGTTTAAAAGCAACATTTCCTTGCTTCCCAGCAGATGACAGATGACAGTTCTAGGCTGGTAGGTATGGCAGAAGGGAACATAATCCCAGCCTGGAGCTCTCTACCTGTAAATAAACATGAGTTGATCCAGCTAAAACTGGCCCAAATCCTTTGCAGTAACCTGCAAATCTCAATACAGGTATTGCAGAAGATCAGGCAACCAAACAGCTGGTCCCTGCATACCTCAGACTTGCAGAACTACATGACAGCTCCTAAAATGATATAGCTGGCTGGCTAGAGACTGAGACAAGGAATTTGGGGGAGAGAGAAGAGGTTTCCGAGAATTCTACCAGGCATGAAAGCAGAAAATTGGTAGGGACCCAAATGCACAGAGGCCTCCTCTTTCCCTGAATGAAATCCCCGAAGCCTTTGACCTCCTCCAGTAACAAAACTTCCCAAGTTACTGACTGGCAACAAAACAAGAAACTCTGGGCAATTTGGTAGCCTTTTTGCCACAAATAACTATTGCACAATCTCTATGTTAGAGAGTGGGATATCACTCTCTGATAATTCAATTACTCAACAGAGGATCCCCACTTAAAGAGGTCTGTAAGAAGGAAAATGATTGCTATTTATTTATGCAGGGCCATGAGCATGTGCTAGGCACCATAGAGGCTGTGGGGGTAACACCCTCTGTCCAATGGCCCTCTGCTAGAAAAGATGTGAATTTGTAATGCAAAAGAGGAAGGATCAAGGAAGAGTCTGAACAGATGGAAGTGAACAAGCCGAAAGGAGAGGTTAACACAGGGCTACTCAAAGGGGAAGAGTCCAAATGACTCACATACCTGTTAACTTGACATGGGCCACAACTCCCACCCATGGTGCAAGACGACTGCCCAACAGACTGTAGAAGCCCACTGACCATCAGTCCAGATCCATTTGTTTTCTTATACTGCACTCATTATTGGCACCCCAAAATATGTCTTCTTCATGGCAAACTTAACCAAGAGGAACATGGGGGAGCTGGGTTGATGCACAGAGATGGGAAGACTGCTCTAGACCCAAGAAGTAGCAGAAAACATAGAGATGGGGGTGCGTGGGTGGGAAGCAAAGGATCTGACAGAACCACAGCACCAAACTAGAACTGGGCAAGGTTAAAAATCTCACTCAGCCATGAAGCTTATTATGTGACTTTTGGGGTCAGTCACCCTCTCTCAGCCTAACCTCTTCCACACATTTTTTCTGAAGATAGAAAGGGGAGGGCAGTGTGTACCTTAATCTGCTTGAGAGAAGACAGGTAGATGTAAATGTAGTAACAGACAGGCTTGTCTGAGACAGCAGGAACAAGTGGTGGAAGGAAGCTAACATTTTCAGCACCTAGATCGGGATGCAGAACCTCTCTCTTGGTGGTGCTAGACTACAACTCCCATCAACCCTGACCACTAGGCTGTGTGGGCTGCTGAGAGTTGGGATCCCAGCAACATCAGGAATGACAGATTCCCCAGCCATGTTCTCTGACTGAGGTGGTTGCCTTCCATGTTGTGCATTCCACACTTTCACAGATTCCAAGCAAATGGCCACTTGCAGCTCTGTAATAACAAAGATGGGGGAAAAGAAAACGACCTCAAGCTTAATGTTCAAGGCCCAAAGAGGCAGTTTTATTCAAGCCAGGAACAGTCTGCCACTTCACTAGACACACAAGAGAGGAGCAGTTGGCAGCTAAAGGAAAATGACTAAAGTCAATTGTCTCCACGCTAACCAGAAGTTGTTGATACATTAGTGATAGAACTCTTAAAAAAAAAAAAAAAAAAGGAAGAGAGACTGGGAAGTGACTCCTGCTCTGCTTCCTCCAGGGTAAGCAGCAAAAGTTCAAGGTGTGGGGTCAAATTTGCCAGAATGGTTGTCAGGAGGGGTGTATTTTCCCTCCTTTATCAGCTTCTCCCTCTGTGCATGAATCGCCATCATTCGCTTCACCTGCCAAAGGAACAGAAGAGAGAGTTGGGATGTCACCTTCTGAGTTAAATCTTGCCCTCTCCAGCAGGTCAGAGCACGTACGGATTTGTAAAGGAGCATGTTCCCATTGCTGAAGGTCTCAGATTTAGCACTCCCTTTAATGTGCTCTAACTCACTGGAGGGTGACCAGATGCAAGGGAAAATGTGGAACCCCTTTCCCTTTAAAAATTGTGCAAAAGAGGAGACTGCTTTGCCACTCCTTTGTGAGAAGTTGCACCTGCCCAGCTCAGATCAGGGTGGGGAGAGAAGGGGGGAAACGGACATACACAAGATTTTTTTAAGAGTGGGTTCAAATAGACTGACAACTCTGCTACTTTCAGTCTTGCAGTTCTGTTCTTTAGATCAAAGTGTCAGAATCTTTCAGCATCAAGGTGCAGAGTGAGAGCCAGGAGGTACCTTACTAGTGAAAGGCTTTGATGGGCTCCCACACATGGCTGCCCTCCAGATGGCCTGCTATTCTCTACTTGCCACAAAATGATCTTGGTCTGCCAGACTCCTGAGGTGCCTGCACAGCTGACCAAGATGTTCACGCTGCACTCTCAGCTATGGAGATGTGGAAAGCCCAGTTAGGGATGGGCAGTTTTGTTAACAACAGATGGGGCTGGGGGAGGTGAGGAGGAGAGGAGAGATGCTCTGAAGCAGCAATACCTCACTCCCGTTGCATGATGAAAACATTCAAAGGGGTGGGCCAATTACATTGAAAGATGGCAACAAACTGCAGCTTGCAAAATATTTTAACTTTTCTCCCAGCTTACATCCACAAACCCAACAGGAGTTTACACTTTGGAATGCCACCTGCTTCCCCCACCCTGATAGCATCTCAAAAGGTGTCCCATATACTGGCAAAATTCATGAGTCAGAATTTACCAGGCCATTTGGTCTGACTACACTGCAAGGCAGCATCACACATCAGCCCTGCCCCTGGGGGGTCAACCAATGGATCCCTGACACTAGCGCACAAAACGCAGAGCCGGCTTGCAGTTAGCAGCATATAGAGTAAGGGCTATTCCCTTACCCCAAGTCAACCACTTGCTTTGGACCTCAATTACAAATCAGTTTATTACACCCACACTAACTACAGTTGTGAATTACTCTACCTCTCTAATGTTCTCACTGCAGTGAGAAGGAAGCACAGCTGCTTCTCTTTCCTTTGCCCCTTATGTTGGGAAGACAAATGGTAGCTCTGCATGGCATCAAGGATGGATGGGAATACAAGAGAATTCTGCCTTTGAAATGAGCTGCCTACTAATAACTTCTGCCCAGGGAAAGCAAACTTATTACATTTCTATTCTCCCCAAAACTGTCCATACCATCTCTTTCAAGCAGCACATGGGAAGAGGCAGTCAACTTTTGCAGATACTCCAGCAATAAGAAAAGCAAACAGACAAATACTTCCTTGGACACAGATGCACACTTGCTGACCCTGAGTCCCTGCTTCAGGTCTCCCACTCACCATTTTTTTCTTGCTTAGACATTCAGCAAGATCCTCCATCTCCTGCTGGCACTCCTTCTTTGCCCTTACAGATCCAATGCCATCAGAACACTCCAGCCACTCCTTCTGAAAGGCAAAGCACAAACTGGCCTGCTTGTGGGGCTGCTTGGAACTCCCGATGAGCAACCACCTGTCAACATCAATGCCCAGCTGGTTCTGGAGATCGAGAAGTGGCATGGCTGAGAGGGGGAGAAAAAACACCAATAAAGAAATGATCCTAAATGTGCATAGCTAGGTGTGTAGCTGAAGAGTAGCCAGGTGACTCAGGAAGAAATCCTCCTTAGGGGGAACATTAGACCAGGGGAGAGAGAAGCAGGAAGTTCTGGGAAGAAAGGCTTTAAGGTGAGCATGTTCAAGCAGGAACAAATTAATCTGATGATCGACTGCCTTCATCTTTGAAGTGGCAGTGGTGGATAAATAAAATATTCCAGTTTAATATGCTCTCTTTTCTCCTTTTTTTAAAAACACCGCCTAACACATCCTCAAGTGGAGGATATGGATAAGACACTTGGCAACGTCTAGGAGCTACCAGAGGTGAAGTCAGCTAGCATCACTTACTGTACCACTGCACCAAGTAATGAGGAGCAGGAAGTAGGGGTATAGCCACAGCACCTGCCCACACCTTTATGGGGGTGAAAGCCCACTCAGGGCTGTGTGCTAGCTCTGCAGTACAGCCCCCCCCCTCACACCAAAACAGGGGTGACACCAGCAGACTCAGGGTAATTATGAGGTTTGCAATGATACAATAAATCTTTAATGGGGAAAAACCTTCACAGTCCCTAGGTTACTCAGTGGCAAGGAACACTGACTAAGAGGCTGGAGAAATGAAAACTGGGTGGCTGGGAATGGAACTGAGTGGCTAGAGAAGTACAAAGGAAGAGACACATAGACAGAACTACTCCACTGTTCGATTAGGTCACTCCCCGAGTTCACATTGAGAAACTATTTTTAAATGTCCCTAGGGACAGAAGCGAGAGCTGACCATAGAAATCAATGGAGAAATCAAAGATTTTAACACAGCTAGGAATGGGCAAAAGTGTGTCCCACAAACAAACATGTGTGTGCATTTTTTTTTATTTCTCAGAGATTTGGAAACAGTCTGAAGAAGAAAAATTGCTTGTGATGTGAACATTCATTGTAGGTTTTTTGTGTCTGGTAAATGCTGACAATAAGGAGAGGTTTCCAAGTCTAGATAATAGACTTGGTTTCAAAATCCATAATAGGGATGGTTTCAAAATAATAATTCCATAACTGGTAGAAATCCAAGATACGTTTAAGGACTTAATGGTTATAGCACCATACTGCTCCCTCTCTAATGCTGAATACGCTGCAATTACCATCTGGAGAAAATCAATGCAATCATATTTCTAAACTCCCTGTAAACTGATACACTATTTCTTTTATTTCCCCCTCTACTCTCAAAGGAGCCCAATATGACAAACACTAGGAAATATGATTAAAAATAAAATCAAAACATATTCAAATTTTAAAACACATGTTTCCAAGTCATGTGCCTGAATGGGCCCACTGAAGCATAAAGTTTTCAGGAGGCACCTAAAACAATATAGTGAATGTTGCTGCCTCATGTCAATAGGAGGGGAGTTCCACAGCTAAAGCTAGAGTGTTGCCACTCTAAAGGAACTACAGTGGTACCTCGGGTTAAGTACTTAATTCGTTCTGGAGGTCCGTTCTTAACCTGAAACTGTTCTCAACCTGAAGCACCACTTTAGCTAATGGGGCCTCCCGCTGCTGCTGCACTGCCGCTACAAGATTTCTGTTCTCATCCTGAAGCAAAGTTCTTAACCCGAGGTACTATTCTGGGTTAGCAGAGTCTGTAACCTGAAGCGTATATAACCTGAAGCGTATGTAACCCAAGGTACCACTGTACTCATAAACTTGGATCCAACACTGTGTGGTATTTGTAGAAGTTAAAGTTTTGCAGATCAAAGTCGCACGTAGGTAAGGTGATCCCTTAAGTAAATGAGTCCTAAGCCGTTATATACCAAACTGTAAAATCTGTGAGCTTGCCAAATACACCTGAAACACACATATATTTAAAGCAAGCTTAAATCCAATGAGATGTATTAAAACAATTCATTTCCCTCCAAAATTCCCCTCCCCCCGGACTTCAAAATATTCCCAGACTACATCCACACACCCAGCTTCAAAGTTTCCAGAAGTTTAGCATATCTGGGAGCAGGGCCAGCCCTACCATTGGGCAGACTCAAAGGAGATGGTTTAGCCTCTGTTGAAACAGGCAGCACATGGTTAGTGCATCTAACCAACCCAGTGGTTGCCAAGGTGGGTTACCTCCGGAGAGGAGGAAAGTGGGCAGCAGGCGGTGCTGGAGGTGTAAATGACTATCTGACTTTGAAAAGTTGGTTTCACTGAATCAAGTTCATCGATTTTGTTGAATGAATTTAATTGAATTTTGAATAAGTATGCAATTAATTGTTACTGTTTTGAATTTTATTGCACTATCTTCCTTAGTGGGCCGTACAAACCGCTGTTCTGAATAATGCTTTTTATGGGGTATGGTGAGGGAACGATCCCAAAAAAGATTTGGGAACCACTGCTCTAAACTATTCTTATGGCATTTTTGTTGCCAGGAGGAGGGAGAGAGGAAGGGGCTTTCTAAGCTACCTCGACCAGCCTGGGCGCTATCATGCACCAGGGACTGAGGGGAGCCTCAAGGAGCAGCAAACTCTTCTGGGGGCGACCCTCCCTCAGACTACCGCCCACCCTTCCGCCAAAGGCATAGGTAACAGACCCCAGAACCTGCTTCAAGTAATGGCTCTGAATTTTTATCTTGCAGGGAACTTTGCTACACAGCTTGTCCCTCCCCGCAGCAGGCAGACGGCGTGGGGGAGCGAAATGGGTACCCTTCCCACACAACCCCCCCACCTGCCCCTTCTACCTGAGTAACAACCCACCTCCCCCGCCCCCCGCCTTCCTTACCTACCTGTCCTTGCGAGCGTTTGCGACAGTGCTGCCGTCAGGCGTGCCCCTCGCTTTCACGACAGTCGCGGCTGGACGTAAAGGTCCTTGCGAAGCTTGCGGAGGATTCCGCTCAGATTACGTATACGTGAGACACAGAGAACAGAAAAATGAAGAGTGACTCGCCGTCTCGGGAGTTAACTTCCGGGCCTACATTGGATAAACCATTTTTTAAGAACGAATCTCCTCGCCCTCTGCCGGTGGGAGGGAAGCGAGAGCGGCCTCCAGGGACGGGCTGAGAAAGCCAGAACGTGAGCGGGCAGCTGGCGTGTTGGACGGTAAGGTGTAGTGGTGAGCGTTTCGGATTAAGACCTGGGTGACCAGGGTTCAAATCCCCATACAGCTCCCCTGCCTAACCTACCTGGCAGGGTCGTTGTACGGATTAAATGAGGAAGGGAATCTCGTTAGAAAGGAAAAAAGGTGGGGTATAAATGTAATAAATTATCATTATTATTCAGGTTTCTAGTTTAATTTTGTTCAGTAAGTTGATTTTTAAAGAATTTAAACACTAGTCCTGCCAACTCGCACCCAGTTGCAACTGTGATCTATGAGGGTGGGCAGGTGTGGCAGAAGACAACGTAATCTGCATTGTACTCCGATGTTAGCGATGGAGGTCAAAGGTGGGGCTGAGGCCAGTTTGGATTTCCATCCAGCCCAATCCTTATGCCTGAAAAGAGGAGGATCCCTCGGGTTGTAATTGAGGTAGGCAGATGGCCTCCTTCTCAGAGGACAGACCTCCGCTCTCACATTGCCACAGCTCTGTTATAAGACCAGCTCCACCAGATCATAGCTGTTAACGTTTCCCTTTTTTTAAGAGAAATTCCCTTATTCCGAATAGGATTCCTTGCAAGAAAAGGGAAAAGTTGACAGCTATGCACCAGAGTCTTCCTAGCTCTGAACTGTTTCCATTTCAGCTACCAAATAACTTTGTAAGAATTGGTACCCGAAGTATGCTCCCCATTTCCCTTCCCATCTCATTTCCCTTTGGCCAGTGAAGTCCCCCTTGCCCTGATGCATTTTGCAGCTCTTTCCTCCTTGCTGTTCACATCAGCACGGCTCCATTCATATCAGATTTGTTTCTGTTTGTGTACACACCAGTCAGTGCACGTTGATTGGGCAGGAATGTCTTTATCCTGTGCAAAGGTGTTCAGATCTTGACTAGAGATGAATGAGGAATGGCTTAAGGTTTGAGAAACATAACCATCAAACACTAGTCTTTTACAATGAAGTAAAAGATACATACACATTTTGGACAGCCTTTGTGTGAACATGGATTTAAAAACCCAGCACTGGACAGTGAGCCAGTGTGGTGTAGGGGTTAGATTGTTGGACTAGGACCTGGGGGATCAGGGTTCAAATCAGTCACTGCTTCTCAGCCTAACCTACTTCACGGGGTTGTTGTGGGGATTAAGTGAAGTGGGGGAGGGGAATCATGTATGCCCCTTTGAGCTCCTTGGAGGAAAGGGTGGGATATAAATGAGATAATAATAAACCATAGGCAATGGGAATCTGAATACAGCCTTTGCTGATTGTGTGTAAGCCACTCTGGGAGCCTTTTTGGCTGAGGAGCAGGGTACAAATGCTTTCAAAAAATGTCTGAAGGTTGCCTGGTCCAAATTCAGTTTAAAGAAACCTAAGGACATAGCTGTCAAGTGTCCCTTATTTGAAGGGACAGTCCCTTATTCCAGCGCCATGTCCCGCTGCTCTCCCTTATTGATGGATGTCCCTTAAATGTCCCTTAAATGATGTCCCTTAAATTTCAAAGGAAGCAGCGCCTCTCCTTCCCTCCCTGCTGGCCAGGGAGGAGGGAGGCTCCAACTGTGTTGCTTGGCTGTGTTGCTCACCCAATAAGAAGACTAAGAACGACTGGGGGGTGGAGCTTGCATGCCTTGTGTGTGGCTAGTTAATGCAAGCTGAGGGGTTTTTGAATGCTGGACGCCATTTTGTTGCACGTGCTGCTGCAAACTTTGCAGTGCAAAGCCAGGCCGGGGAGCCATCTTAAGTTGAGGCTGCATAGGCCTTGTGGTGCATGTGATTCAGATTCTATTCAGTTGAACCTCTGGTTACAAAGTTGGACAGTGTTCTCGAAGCTACCAGCATGAGTTTGACCAGACTGCAGGAGGACAGGAAGACTGGAGTGCCTGGAACAGGTGAGGCTGCAGGTCCCTTATTTTGGCTGCTAGTCCCTTATTTTCAAGGCTGCTGGTCCCTTATTTCCAAATCTGTAAGTTGACAGCTATGCCTAAGGAGGATGACACCTGAACAGGATGCCTTTCAATGACACCTGAACAGCAGGCTGAGCAGGCACAGAGCAGGCCACCTGGTCTTTCCCACTAGGCTGAGATGTATTTCTACTTAAATAATAGTAATTATTTCAAGATGTGCATCTCTCTTTGAATCAATACATGCAACATATATGCAACTCTGTGGTCACATTATTTTGGCAAGGCCTAAAGGTGACATCTGGCAAGGCCTAAAGGTGACACTCTAAAGGTGACATCTGGGCACCACCCTCTACCAGCCCAAATACAGGGCTCAACCGCATGTAAAAAACCTTGTGGTCTGTGTTTTCTCAGAAGTAAGTCCCAGTGTTTTCAACTGAGCTTAACTGTCTAGCAAGCAAGTGCTTAAAATCAAAACCAAACATAGGTTTAGCCTATGTATCACTCTAATTTTTCTATATCTAGAGAGAAAACAGAGATTTCACAAATTAATGGGAAAGAACAGCCAGCATCATAGACAAGAGATGGCAAGATAGCCACAAGGCCACCAGCAGGTCCTGGCAGAGTCTTCCTCTGCCTCTGCTCTACCATTACTTCCTTTACTGTATTCATATTTTATCATGCCACTGGGTTTCCCCTCAGTGCCCTCTGTTGGCAAGAGGTGGAACAGCACAAGGTTTAAGGGAAGCTTTTAGGCACCCCACCCTCGCAACCTGGTACTTTTCAGATGTTTTTGACCACAAGTACCAGCCTGCACAGCCGTATGATGCCGGGGCTGATGGGATCATGGCCGTATTGTTTGGGGCTGATGAGAGCTGTCATCCAACACAGGTGAAGGGCACAAGGTTGGGGTGGGCTTATTTTAACACTTTTGCGCCTTAACAGAAAGCAGGCACAAATTTTGGACTCATGCCCCTGTTGTTAAGCTCAGGTGTATTTTAATGCATGTGAATTGATTGCATAAGAAATATATAAAGTGAGTAAGAATTGTGTTATTTGCTGTAAGTGGGTCAAAGCTTTTGAACTTTAAAAAATCAGGGCCTTAAGCTAGTTTATATCATCCCTGGTACACACTTTGCCATGCTCCCAGTTCCTCCCCCTTTAAAACTCCTGAAAATCTACCCTCCCCCCATGCACACTTCCCTAATTGCAAGCTCCATGGAACACAATGGGACTTGACTTCTGAGTAACATGCATTGCCTTGCAGCAGAAGTTGCACTGCATTCAGTGGCGCTTATTCATAGCTAGGTATGCATAGGACCACTGTCATGTTTAGGGAAGCTTTTAATGTTTAATAGACTATTGTATTTTAATAATTTGTTGGAAGCTGCCCAGAGTGGCTGGGGAAACCCAGCCAGGTGCGCAGGGTATAAATAATAAATTATTATTATTATAGCAGCCATTTTTCAGGAACGCTTAAGAGTGATCTTGAAAAATCCATTTTGTGGGTAGGCAGAACCACACAGGGGAAGTTGGTCTGGTTTAGAGCGCTACCACTGAGTTTATTATTGTAAACCAGAAAAATGCCCATTCTACAGGTGAACCCTCTTTTGAATCTGTGCCCCAGCTGCACCCACTGGTCCTGGGAGCTTGCCACCAGACCTCACAAACAGGGACAAGGATTGCTGGAGGAGACTGAAGAGAGTGATCTTGTGTCTTTTGGAGTAAGGCTGCTTGCTTGCTTTTCTGAGCTGTTTAGAAGTTTGATAGATTGATAGCAGGCCTCAGGGAGTGGCTGAGTGCTCTGCTAGAGGCTTGATTACTTTTCTTTCATTGCAAGCCAGAGGGTGTGTGTAGCTGATTGCTCTATGGGAACACAGGATCTGAGAGGGAGGAGCTCTGTGGGAACACAGGATCTGAGGGGGAGGAGCTACAGCTGAGAGGAAGCCAGGCTGAGGGAGGACTTAGCAATCAGCAGCCGTCAAACTTAGCTCACTGCAGATCCTGGGAGCTTGCAACCAGAGCTTGCAAACAGGGCCGTCTTCCATTCCCACACTCTTCCCAGACAGACGTGATTTGCACCAATCTCATCTGCAGCATCGGAGGCGTGAAATGCTAACACCTGAGGCCCGCCTAGCCACACCTCAAGCAACAGGACAACATGCAGAGTTACTACATAAAGCTGAGTTGACTGAGATTGAGCACCAAAATAGATGAGGTGCCCCCAGGGTGGAGAAGGATTGCCCATTGCAAGAGTCTAACCCCTGGAAGAATGTGATGCACAGAAATAGGGCAGTCACAAACCACACTTTGTCATTAGAGTTGCAGAATCTCTACCATGCTCTCGCCTTGGACACTGATTCTGGGCCAGAGGTGCTCGGGCAGCCTCAGAAGACACGAAGGTGGCTGTGAAAGGTATAGAACACAGAACAATTATTGCCCCCACCCCCCGGAGAAAAAAGACAGGAAGAGATGGATTTGGAGGAGTCTTTTTCCATTCTTGATCTAACCCCATCAGATCAGAGGCTACTGACTGTGGATGAGTGTGCTGATAACGTATTGGGTACGTTGACAAGCTGGGAGGAAGGAGTTGGAACAATAAGTTCCCAGCCTTTGTAACTTATCCCAACAATATCAAAATAAGCTCCAATAGACAAGAGGTGAAGACTTGGGAACAACAGAATCAGACCTCAGAACACTCCAAGCAGCCTTTGGAAGGCACAGCCCATAGAATGATTCCTGCTACTCCCCAGAGGAGGAGGAGGAGGAGGAGGAAGAGGAGACAAGTGGTGGTGGTAGGTGACTCCCTACTTAGGGGAACAGAGACAGTCATGTGTGGAGGAAACAGGATGTCATGGGGGGGGTGTTCTGTCTTCTGAGTGCAAAGATTCACAATGTGATGGAGAAGCTGCCAAGTCTTATAAAGCCCACTGACCACTACCCCTTTTTTCTGATTCATGTGGGTAAAAATAATACTGCCACACATAGCCTGCCACACATAGCAAGGGACTATGAGACACTGGGCAGGGAGCTGAAGAGACATGGGGCAAGCTAGTCTTTTCATCACTCCTTCCTTTTGAAAGTCGTGGCCCAAGAAGAGAGGAAAATGCTTGAGGTCAACCACTGGCTGCGCAGGTGGTGTCGTCAGGAAGGATTTGGCTTCTTGGATCATGGTCTCCGCTTCCTTCAGGTAGGACTTCTGGCGAGAGATGGGTTGCACCTCACAGCAGTTGGCAAGAATGTGCTTGCCAAGAGTCTTGAGAATCTGATCAGGAGAGCTTTAAACTAGATCTTGCAGATGACACCAAACTGGAAGGGGTAGCTAATGCCACAGAAGACAGAATCAGAATTCAAAATGACCTTAACAAAATTGGAGAACATGGCACAAGCTAACAAAATGAATTTCAATAGGGACAAATGTAAGGTTCTGCACTTAGGCAGGAAGAACCAGATGCACAAATATAGGATGGGGGGGGGGGCGCCTGGCTTACTAGGAGTACATTGAAAAGGATTGAGGGGTCTTGGTGGACCACAAGCTAAACATGAGTCAGAAGAAGAAGAGTTTGGATTTGATATCCCGCTTTATCACTACCCGAAGGAGTCTCAAAGCAGCTAACATTCTCCTTTCCCTTCCTCCCCCACAACAAACACTCTGTGAGGTGAGTGGGGCTGAGAGACTTCAGAGAAGTGTGACTAGCCCAAGGTCACCCAGCAGCGGCATGTGGAGGAGCGGAGACACGAACCCGGTTCCCCAGATTACGAGTCTATCGCTCTTAACCGCTACACCACTCTGGCTCTCAACAACAGTGTGATGCAGCAGCAAAAGCTAATGATAGCCATCTTCAAATATCTTAAGGGCTGTCAAATGAAGGAGGGAGCTGCTTGTTTTCTCCTGCTCTGGAGGGCAGGACTCAAACCAATGGCTTCAAGTTACAAGAAAGGAGATACCGACTAAACATTCAGAAACACTTTCTGACAGTAAGAGCTGTTAAGCAGTGGAACAGACTCCCATGAGAGGTGGTGGACTCTCCTTCCTTGGAAGTTTTTTAAACAGAGGTTGGATGGCCATCTGTCATGGATGCTTTAGCTGAGATTCCTACATTGCAGGGGGTTGGACTAGATGACCTTTGGGTCCCTTCCAACTCTATGATTCTATGATCGTTTGCTGACTCACTTCTGCACACTCATGCATAGAACACAAGAGACACCCAGATCAGGAGGAACAGGATTTATGTTGCATACTTAAAAACCACACAGCATTGGGGGGTGGGGATAAAAACAGCTCCTACTCAAGGGCAGAAAATGTGGGAGGCAGGCAGGCCAGAGAGAGAGAGAGAAAGAGAGAGGGAGAAGGTGTGGCAGGACTCTGTTGGGAGGAGGGTCTGGCCCCCGTGGTGAATGTTTGGCACGGCTTACATGATGCTTGCTGGAGTGAAGACGGGGGCAACGCACAGGGTGTCCGTGATCTCCCAGCCACAGGACAGGGGGGTGCATGTACTCTCCCGGTCCTCTTCCTCCGCGTGCAGCAGTTTCCCCTGAAGGAGCTGGACGGCTTCCCTGTGGGCCACAGCAAGCCCAAGACAAAAGAGAAAGGACTCAGTTGCTCTCTTGGCTCAGTTTTCCAAACTGGTACCCCTCTCCTGCCAGCAGACAATTCCCAGTTTGCTCTCACTCAACCCTGTGCTCTTAAAGAAATCCAGTGTGATTTGCCACCTGCCCACAAGTACAGGTGCTAATGGCACTCCTTTGCCTTTAATAAAAGTTTAATAACAGAGCTTCTGTGGCATTTTAAGAATTCTGAAAGTGTTTCAGATCCAAGCCCTCCCATCCTGGGGAACTAGCAGCCATCCAGTTGCCACTGGACTACAGTGCCCATCAGCAGGGGCGTACGAAGTGGGGGGTGGAGGGGGCGAGCCACCCCGGGTGCCACTCTGGAGGTGTGTGTGTGTGACAAGATGGTCCCTGCCTGCCCCTCAGCTGTAGAGCAGCCGAGGGTGCGCAGTCAGTATGGGCACCGCTTGCACGGCGACTGTACGGACTGCGCATGCAAGCAGCATTCTGTACGGACCGCACATGTGTGGCAGGCTGCCGCGCATGTCACCAGGTGGGGCATCCCGCCTCAGGTGCCAGAGAGGGTTCCTTCACCACTGCCCATCAGCCCTGGCCATTAGGGGCAATGGCTGCAACCCAGCGACATTTGGAGGGTCACAGCTTTCTCCATTTTTAGATTTGATACAATCTCCTGCTTCCCCCTCGCAAGGGGTTCTGGGAAATTATCTCACCAGGCCATTCTCGACATGGTGTAGTAGATCTGTGCTTGCTGGGCCCCACTGAGAGCTGAGGGAGCTGGCATGGTGTGAGCCCCCATGTTCTCAAAGATCAGCCAGTCCCCGGGGTGCAGTTCCGGGAGCTCCATGCCATCCGCAATGCAGTCCAGCCCATCCCCAGTAGGTCCCCAGAAACTGCTGCTGTGCAGGGGAAGATCTGGAGAGGGTTTCTGCATCGAGAGAAGTGGAGGAAACAGCTATGACTGGCTAGCCAGACCTTGCATGAATTTCTATGAGGACAAGAAACATGTATTTTAAAAAAGAAAGCGGAAATTCTCCAGGTTACAGAATCTCTGTCCCCAAAACTAACCAGAATTCTGGGTCAGGAGGAAGGGAGTAAAGTCTGAAATTAATACAGGCACTTCCCACAATGTTTAAAAAACATCATCACTGGAAATCAACAAGCAGTTTATGGGCACAATCCAAAAAAAGGTATTTGCAACCAAGTTGCAATGAAACCAACTGGACTTAAGTTACTGCCACGAAAAAGGCCTATTCATTTGCTTTCTTCCCAAATTTGTTACAATTCACTTTTAAGAGACTGTGCCCCGTCTGTGCAAAGGGGAGCTTGCCCACCCGCAAACATCAGCTATTTACTATTGAATCCCACCCCAAAGCAGCAACCATTGAGAGGTGCCCGAAGATGGTGGCACTGCTGAGGGAGGGGCTTGTGCGACTCTGGCACCTGAGGGTGCTGCTTCACTGGGCTTTCCAGTTTGACCATCCCTGCTGCAAACCTGCAAATGGTGAGAGCCACATTCTCCTTCTGTGGCTCTGCTTAAGGAAGCCAGTTACAAAACCCTCGGTACCTTGTGCAGGATGGGGATTGGGCAGACGTTGTTGAAGATGACTGAGCTGAAGGAGCCATAAACGCCATCGTTGAGATGGTAGACGAAGCTCTTCCTGCCACCGGGGTCTTCATCTGGGACAGCCAGAGGAAATGCAGCAGAGGCCAAGTCAGGGGTGCCTTATTTGTTTGTTTGTTAAATTTCTATCCCGCATTTCCACCAAGCAGTGCTCAAGGCGGCTAACAGCAATAATACAAATACAGTGAAATAGCAAGAAAATACAAAGTAAAAAAATAATAAACATAAACACAAAGCAAGTGAAACATCCATTGAATCAGTTTAAAAAAAAAGGTTAAAAAAACCCTAATTGCAATGTATTTATATGCCAGCATATGCATCAAAGGCCCAGCCAAATAGAAGTGCCTTTGCCTAATGGTGGAAGGTAACCAGTGACTGGGCTGGTGAGTCTCCCTTGGCAAGAAGCCCCAGAGCCTCTGGGAGCAGCCACTGAAAAGGCCCTGTTCCTGTCAGATGTGCTTCAGATGTTGGTGGAAGGGTGGCCCAGGACATTTTGCTGCTTGAGGCAAAACCTGCACTGCCTGAAGCAACTGGAGGCAGCCTGGAGAAGCTCTGGCTTGCTGAATGTGGCAGGGAGGAAAAAAGGAGTCTGTAAAGGAGATGGCAGCAACTGAGGAGACAGCTGAGGCGGCGGTGGCAGGGGCAACAAGCACAGGAGGGTGGTGAGCAGTGAGCTCCTCAGAAACCCAGATCCGCTGTCCCCAGCCTGCTGCCTGAGGTGACTGCCTCACTGAGCCTCATGGACAGGCCAGCCCTGTGTTGCTGAGACAGGAAGAAGGGCCTCCTCAAGGATCTTGGGATATAGAAAACTGTACAGCTGAAAGACACCACCCACGTTCACTGAGGAGTGTGGCCTAGAAAGGAGGTCTGTGCTAGGGAGAGTCTCAAGGGCCAGACAGAGAGGTCTGGAGGGCCACACTTGGCCCCTGGGTTTGGCATTCCCTGTCTCAGATAATGGGGTGGTGGTGGCAAAGGCCTTTTCTTTTCCCTATAAGGTGTCTGGCAATAATCTCTCACACTTATTGCAGAATCCGGACGGAAGCTGACCAAACCTACCATCAGAGCCCGGCTGGTCCAGGGGAACCTCCTTCTTGGCAACAATGTTGACCGCTAAGGTAAAGGCCGAATCCACATAGTAGCGCCCCAGTTCAGCAATGACCTCCACCCCACAGCCTTCTGGGAAATATAGGTCCAAGGCGGAGCTGACCACAGCTGCTGTCTGAAGGGGGGGGAGAGAAGAGTCCACATCCAGCTGTTACAAACATGTGGGACTCAAGTCATAGAATTGTAGAATTGGAAGGGACCCCACGGGTGATCTATTCTAGTCCAACCCCCTGCAATGCAGGAATCACTGCAATGCATTCTGAGTGCTGATGGCAATGGGGGAGCAGGAATCAGTCTTAGGCAGAACTTTACAGGCTATCTGGAAATATATGCAATGGGTGTGTGTGTAGGGTGTCAAACAAGATGTGAAGCCATTCACACACTTTGCTTCTGCCTCCCTTAAAATTAGTCAAATATATGACTTCTTTTTAAATGTTCACACCATCTGTAATGATGTGTTTCACTGGGGTAAATGGCCACCAAAATACGACAGTGCTCAAGGTCTTGTGTCCATTCAGAAACTAGGTCTCCTTAGCTGTAGAAGATGTTTGTTACTTTCACTAGCAAAAGACGTCTCATTATTAGGGTGAAATGGTGGTGCAGGGGAGTCTCCAATGTGCCTCTTGGTGCTCCAAGTAGAGACATGTTCATATTTCCTTTCTAGCAGGCCTTGAAGCTCAGAGCAAAGTCTTGCATAGTCAGAGCCAATGACAGGCAAAACCATCACCCCTGGACTGCTTACTACTAAGAAGGCAACTAGGTGGCAGCTAGCTGGGGGAAGACTGTGATGGGTGGGGGGAGTGCCCCACTTGCCTTCACACACCCGCCCTCCACTGCCACTTCGCTCTGGCTTTTTCAGCATCTTGCATTTATCCTCACACTAGGTAGTCTAGGCTGAGACAATTGTGACTTGCCCAAGGCCACCCAACAAGCTTCTCGGCTCAACAGGAATTTGAACCCAGGTCTTGCGCACCCAGAGCCAGCACTCCCCCAAAACTGGCCTATTTGCCATCTGCTGAAGAGAGAACCAAGACTTGTACCTCTTCGAAGCGCCCTCTGGACTCTTCAGCACCAGGAAAGCCCCCTCCAATGTCCAGGAGGTGCATCTTGTAGCCTAGTTCTGCACCCATTTCAAAGACCAGGCGAGCGTCTGCTATGGACTGAGTGAAGAGCTGGGGGTCGGCACAGCTGCTTCCAATGTGGAAGCTGGAAAGGAAGGCAAGTGGGCTGGTGAGTAGCTTTTCAAAACTGTTAAACCATTTCGTGTGTGTGTGTGTGTGTACATATATACAGATACACACACACACACATGTATTATATGCATGTACAAAATCCAGTCAAGATATGCACATCCCCCAAGATCTGTTGGAGATACGTGTGCAAAACGTCCACAGTTTACAAACAACTGATGCACAGGAAAAAACAAATTAACTCTTAAAAGTAACAGAACACAGGTCACATACTTCATTTCCAGACCAACGTCTAGATGGATGCAAAAAACAATGCTGCTTGTTTGGGTAGAGTGCTTTGCTTCTGCAATACTTAGTGGAGCAAACCCAGATTTCATTAAACCTATCCCTTCTCAGTGTTTATTCTCTTGTTCTGATAAGAGCACGGTTTGCCAAATCACTTTGGGGTGCCTCAAGGGAAGTGATTAACTAAAACAATGCATTCATTTTGCCCATAAGAGCATGCATTCCTCTAATTTGTCCAGCCAATACTAATTTTTTTCTTTTTTCTCCTATGTGCATAATGAATTCTGGCAGCCTTGATCATGCCTGCCACTCGCTCTTTACATGCCCGTATAACTTAAATTAAAAAAGAGGATCTAAAGAGGCTGTTTATTATGAATCATCTCCCAACTTTTTTTTTTTTTTTTTGCTTTTGGACATTGCCACAAAATATGATCAAAATCTCTCACTGACTAATTTATTATAACTGCCACTCAAGCTACTGCCCTAATGTGGGTGGGGGCTCTTACTTGTTCCCCCCCACCCAGCTGCTCATGGAAGCCCCCAACAATGCAAGTGGCTCTGCCCCAAGTGTTTGCTCTCTGCCCTGCGTCCTAAGCAAACAGGGTGTGTCCAAGACTCAGCTGTTGACATGGGCTGAAAACTCTGGGTGGGGAAGATGCAGGGGCAATGCCAATGGCAGCTACAGAGCAAGACCCAGAGGTCCAGGTAGGGGGCCAGCTGCCTAGGAGTGAGCCTTGATCGAGTGCCCTTTTCTTCCCTCTCCTCAGTGAGCACAAGGAAACCCGCAGCCTACCTGATACCAACCACCTCGACATTCATCTCCTTTGCAGTCTCAAGCAGGTGACGGCAGACTTTAAGTGTGGCGCCGTATTTCATGCTCATGCAGGTGGAGGACCTGGAGTCGTCGGTAGCCAAGCACAGAATCATTCTGTGGAACAAGGTGGGTGGGTGGGGAGAGCAAACTCAGACAACAACTGTGACAATAGTGGTATGTTGCTTCTTCTGAGCCAACAGCATGCCAGGCACAGTACAGACTCATCTTTTGCAAAATTGCTTTCCAGGAGATGCTTGTGATAACCCAGCACCTGCCTCCCCTCCAATTCTGCACCAAGGGCAAATTATTTTTAAAATATTCCTTTTTTTTTATATCTCCTCTTTTGCCAATTGTTTCTCTCTCTTCTCTGCCTTTTTTTCCAAAATCCAGATTTTCAGTGTATTTGAATTTTGGGACAAAGACTTGCAGAGTCACACAGCAAATCTGAGTTCAGACTGCAAGTTTCTATCCTCAGTCCCACATTAAAAAAAATATATTACCTATACTTCACCCTCAGGTCCCAGGGCAGGTTACAACATTGAAATTCAACTTTACAACACATTTTAAAAAACATTTTATAACATTTTACAATTAGAGAAATAAAGTGGGTCCTAAAAATCTGCACCTCGAAAGATAGGACAAAGAAAATTGTCCTCAGCATTCACCGAAAACTGTATAATGAAGGTGCCAGAAACATCTCTAAGGGGAATGTCCACAACTGATTTGCTTGTGTGGTTTTTATACATCTTCCCATTATTCATTTATTCATCCCACATTTTTCAATGCATTTCCCTGTCACTTTCCTAACCGCAAAAGCTTAATTTTCTTTTTAAGTGGATTTGTTGCTGTAAAGAGATATGAGTCCATTAATCGACTTTGTGTGAACCTAAGTTTCCGGGATGTGCTTGAATCCCTCTCGCAAAATAAAAACAGTCTGCAGGCAACCCCATAGTCTGGTATCTGGTTGAAACCTGAATCTTACTCCACAAGGAGTTTGCTCCAGTCTGACCTGCAACTTCACACACCTGGCCCTTTTTCTCTAACTGCAAAGTGAAACCTTTGGGGGTTCCAGCAAAGGCCCCATATCCTTTGCAATCAACGCCTTTAAGATTCACTACTTCTGCTTATTGCACTAGACTCTTCTGCCCATTGCAACTGTTCCCTCCTGCATATATATTTATATTTATGCCCACAGGTGCAGTCTGCCTTACCTGGCAGACGGGTGGCTCCGTGCTACCTTGCTGAGCTCCACTTCATTGTCAAAAGTCATCAGCTGCACCCCTTGGCTAGCTGCATATCTGATCAGGGAGATCTGCTTGCAAGGGCTGGTGCAGATGATTCTGTCCGGCGGGACTCCAATACTCTTCACCAGGGCCATTTCTGCCTGAAAGTTCAAAACAAAGGATGTTGGAAGGAAGGACTCTTCTGACTGGGCATTGTAGGCAGTGGGTGGCTGGGAACTGTAGAGGAACACATACTGACTCCCTCTTTCCTGAACCACCAGGAAGGCTGTTGGAAAGAGGGAACTGCAGGCATTTTAAGTCAAGGATTTGAATCTTTCTGATCCAGGCTCTGTTGCCTGCCAGTTGTTTCCTTTGCAACCGTCTCCCAGCCATTCTTCTAGCCTGTCTAGCCCTGTTGCATCCAGCTGGGCACAGCAACCTTAGCAACAATATCCCTATCTCTGGCTTTCTCTCCGGACTGCATACTGCCCAGTTAGCTGCTGGGACTCAACTCTTGAGGCAATCAGGGTGAAGAAAGAGGTAGAATATTCAAAAAAGAAGATGCAATAGGCTCTTCACCTACATAGACTCCCCCAACTTGGTGTCCCTTCAGATGTTATGAACTACAACTCCCATCAGCCCAGCCAAGTGCAGCATGCTGAATGAAGCTGATGGGAGTTGTAGTCCAGCAACCACATCTGGAGGGCACCAAGCTGGGGAAGGCTGACCTGCACTGTGAGCCAGGCTTCCTCCCAGCCATTTGCAGGAGAGCAACATTTTATCAAGATGGATGCTGGTGCTGTCCTCAGTCTCCCCATTCTCTAGTCTTGTGAGAATAAATTGGAGGGGGGAGAACTATGTATACACCACCTTGAGCTTCTTGGAGGAAAGGTGGGATATAAATGTACAGTCATACCTTGGGTTACAGACGCTTCAGGTTGCGTGTTTTCGGGTTGCGCATCACGCCGAACCCGTAAGTACTGGAACGGGTTACTTCCGGATTTCGGCGCTCGCGCAGGAGCACTAAATCACTCTTCGCGCATGCACAGAAGTGCCAAATCACAGCCCACGCATGCGCAGACGCAGCGCTGCGGGTTGCGAACGCTGCGGGTTGCAAACATGCCTCTTGCACAGATCACGTTTGCAACCCGAGCATCCACTGTAGTAATAATAGTAATGAAGGCATATGCTGCAATGCACACCAAACAAAAATGCATGCATCCAGCTGCTTCTCCAAGGGAGCCCAGTTTCCCTGTTCCCACCACGTTCCTACCTTGCTGGCACAGCCAAATCCGGCTCCCAGCCCTGCCAGCATCTGAACCACTCCTTTGCTGCGGTTGCACTTCAGAGCATAGAAAGGCTTGATGCGGGGCAAGGCCTTGAGGAGGTGCAAATGTTTCTTCACCACATCCTCGAGATCTGCCACAAAAAAGGCTTCTTGGCTTCCCTGGAAAAGAGGAAAGACAGTCAAGAGAGCCTGTCCCTGGGGAAACACACCCAATTGTTTTTAACATGCTATTCGCCTTTCACTTAAAGCGGTTGCCTTTTTCTTGGGCTCTGTTCACCCACTTGGTTCAGGGGACCCACACTTGGCCACTGAGCCTTCTGGGGCCATCACCGTTTCTCAGTCTTGCCTCCCTTCACAGGGTTCTTCTGAGGATAAAACTGGAAGCTCTCACTCTGCACTCCAACTATTCCATATTAAAAGCTGAATTTTGAGACCTGTATAAGTTACACCTGCACAAAGCTGGCTACTCTTATTTTGTGTGATTTATTCTGCTTCTGCAAGCGAAAGGGGGAGACGCAAAGTGTTAGGAAGGGCCCTGAAGCAGGATCCTTGCCCTGATCCCAGGGAATCCTGCTCAGCTACTATTCCTGTGGCTCCCAAGGTTTTGCCAGGAACAGCACATGGACTTTCAAGCATATATTTCAAACCGAAAGGTCGAGAAACTTGCTCCTAACCCTCGTAAAACCTGGAGTCCTGCACTTGTGCTATGTCTTTCCTGTCAGGTCATTTTATTACAATTTTTCTTTTTAATCATCATGAAATAGCGCTGATATTTAAGAAGCATGTTAGTGCAATTTTTTAAAAAAACTTTTTTTTAAAAAAAGAGGGGAAAAGACAGGCTCAGGTAAACTGTTCCCTCCCCTATGCACATGATAGCGCCGTACTCTCTAGTATGGACAGAGCATAATGGGATGCAGAGACACCAAAAGGGCTACAATCCACCCACCCAGTAAGTCAACTGCCCCTGCCTCTTACCGCCTGGGAAACCTCCAGGAGGAGATTCTCTAGCAAGTCCCTGGTGGTGAAGCCCTCCTCCACCATCATGATGTCCGATTCATCCAAGTACCTGGTCATCGTTACTGTCGAAGGAGGATATTGCTTCTAAAGCCTCCGTCAGTAGGGGGTATAGTTTTTAAGTATGCAACACACTGCGAAGGAAAAGGAAGGAGAAGAACAGTTAAGGCAGGCTCTTCCTCCTCTCCCATTCGGGCCAAGGAAAGGTGCTCAGCAGCCATGCCTTCCATTGCCTCCATGGGCACCACCCAAGTTATTCCTAATGACCAGCCATGAGGACTAGAAACGTGGAAGTCTAGAAAGAGATTTTCCCTAGCTGAAGGCACAGCATTTCAGGAGTTCACCAAGCCTCTGTTGACCTCTGTTGCATCTGTTCCATTCTCTTCTCATGTTGGGACAAGTGGATCTTGCAGAGTTTGTCCTTTATCTTCTTTGGGGCACTGCACAGAGTTCAGGGGCAAGAGATTAGAGCATCGCAGATGCACACATGTGCCATAGCAGGCATAATCTTTGAAGAGACATTCCTTCCATGCAAGGGAGAAATGTTTCTCTTAATACACTGTTAGATGGTTGCAGGGGTTTTTGTTTTTGCACAGACACTTTTATTAAATATAATTTATGTTTTTCAAATATGTGGCCTGATTGTGAGCCCCCTTTTTAGCTGATTAAAGAGTTTTTAAAAATGATTAACCTAACCAAAGCAGCAGCTAAGGCCACAATCCTGTTCCCATTTACGGTACCTGGGAATAAACAACTAAACTTGAATTTATAATTTCTAAACCAACTTTAGGCTGAATCATGTCACACAGCAATGAGGAAAGTTTCAAAAACACTTCTTCATATTTTAAAAAAGCGAATTCCACTAGATAACAGAAATACCTTGCATGATCCTGAGTAGCACTTTGGACCCAAGCCATTTTTACCCTGCTCTGCTGCCAAAAAAGGCTCTGAGAGCAGCTTACAGTAATAAGACACTCCCTGCCCTCTAATCTAAAATATGTGACACAAAAGGAAAAGTGATTGGGAGGGAAGAGGAAAACAGAAAACTCAGACACTTAGCATTTTTTGAACTGACTAGAATGGAAATCATTGATGGAGAGACTAAAGTTACTGTTGCCTCAGCTGAGCCAATGGAACAGCCCTGCAATCGATAAATCAGAACCACTGATTTGAGCTTTTTGGAATTAAGGGATATAGCTGGCATCTGGGATGCATAGGAAAAGCTTCTATGTGTGGCTGTTAATAAAAGGAGTTGTAGCTTTTTTGCCCCTTTTGGACAGAGATGACTTGGCCACTGTACTCTTATGCTCTGGTAACTTCCAGACTAGATTATTGCAATGCGCTCTGTGGGTCTGCCCTTGAAGACAACTCGGAAACTTCAATTGATTCAAAATGTACCAGCCAGATTACTGGCTGGGGTTCCACTTAAATCTTATATAATCCTGTTTTAAAGCAGCTGCACTGGTTGCCAGGTCATTTCTGCGCACAAGTCAAGGTCCTCATGTTGGTGTTTAAAGACCCAAATAACACAGGCCCCTAAATATCTGAACAACCACCTCCTTCCCTTCAGAACCTCTTGGGGGCTGAGGTCAGTGGAGGGGGCCCTCCTGGTTGTTCCTCTGCCCTCAAAGGCTTAGGGGGTAATGGCCTTCTCGGTGGCAGCCCCTAAAGTGTGGAACACCTTCTCCACAGAAGTGCATCTGCCACTTTCATTATGCAGCTTTTGGAGAATGCTGAAGACACACCTCTTTACCCTGGCTTTTGACATTTGAAGTGTATGATTTTAGGACCCGCCTTATTTTTACGGTTGCAAGTTGTTTTAAATTGTTATTCATATTGTGTTTTAACGCTGTAACCTGCTCTGAGGACCGTACAGTGGATAGGTGATTAATAATAACAAATAATATAATAACAACAACAGTAATATTCTTGAATTTGCCCAGTTCTCTCTCAAAGTCATCCAAGTTGGTGGCCATGCAAATGCCATGGTTTTAAATATGAGCTGCATAAAGGAGGACTGTATTTTTATTTGTCCTGAACCTGCCAACAACAGCATATATACGTCAAGATCTTTCTCTCTCCTTCTCCCCCTGCCACAAAACACAAAAACAAAACGGGGGAATGGTGTCTTTAACCCACATTAATAATCGTGAAGTGCAGACCTGGGGTTTGGGAAGGGGGAAAGGTGCCCATTTCAGGTGAAGGTGTGCCTGCGATGTTTGTCCCTCTCCCTTCCTCCCTCCTCTCCCTGGGAAGCGCCCTTCCCCACCCCACCCCACCCCACCCTCCACTCCACCTCCATCCTTTCCTCCCAAGGCCTCACCAAGTCCCGAAGCCTTCCTCCTTCCTGGGTGGCTAGGTGTAATGCCAGGGGGGTTCTCCGGTGAACTCTGAGCTTTTGCAACACCCCGAGGCGCAGTTGCTGCTGGGGATCCGAGATCTCTGTAAGGGGTGGGGGTGGGGATATGGAGGATGTGGGGCGGGAAATCCACCTGGTTACCAGAACAGCTCAGTCAACCATGCAAGAAAATCGTTCCCTTCCCTGCCCCCTCTCTCTGATACACTACCATCCCTCTTCTCTCCCTTGAGCCTCCATCCCCTCCCCACCGACCTTGGTATCCAGAATACCCCTCCACCCACCTTAAAAAGCATTTAAACGGATTTTGCCCATGGGTCTCCCAAGAGTAAATATAGGCTTCGGCAGTGGCTGCTCCTCCTCCTCCCCCCACTCCAAAGCCTACACCATGCAAAGCAGCACCAGCTAATCTTAGACACAGGAGGAATGCTGGTCCTTTATATAGGCAGCTGCCCCCTCCATCTCTGCTCACAAGGGTAGCCTTGGCAACCAAGCACAGCAATCTGATTGGCTGAAGGAGAGAAAACAAAGCACAGACACTCCATCCTCCTTTTTCTCTTTCTCTCTCCTTCCAGCTTCAGCTGCACACAGGTGCAGCTACAGGCAAGGCATGGAGGGCAATCCCAGAGTTTGGGGAAGGGGGGAAGCTGTCACTTTCACAGGCTAATGTGGGTATGGTGGGGATGTGTGTTATTGCTGCTGGTAGTGGAATGGCTTTCCCAACCAGTAGAACTGAAATAGATCAGAGCTGGTGTCCAAAACATTTGTGTGTCCCTCCAAATGGCTGCACGATGCCACCCAGTAATTTCAGCCCTGCAACGTGACAGGGGAGCCTGAGGTTCTGGTGCCGCCACTGGGGCAGCCGCTTGGCTTGGGTCAAGCTCGACTTGCGTCTGACCTGCATGAGTTGCTTAGGCTTGTGAAAGAGGCAGCAAGTTCCTTTCTCTTGCTCCCCAAACTCAAGGGATGTGGCTTTTGGGTCCCCAGCACCTATCCTCTTGCAAAGAAGGCATTTGCTTTCAAGTGGGCTTCCTGACCAGGCTGAATACAGCTCTGCCACAGGTCACAAATCCAGGGTGCGATGTTTGGGTGACTTATTTTATAAAATTTATGTACCACCTGATTGTAAAACAAAAACCTCAAAACAGTTTAAAACCACACTGAGGAGATTGATATGCCACACCCACACCCCAAAACCTACCGGCTCCAGCTTTTAGTGATGGGCAGAATCACATGCATTTCCTAACACAGTAGTTGAAGGGCAATATTATTCTTCCCTTTTGCCTTTCTCCAAGACGGCATGTGGCCATCTGCTGGATCATGGCCAGCCTCCCCTGACTGGCCCTCCCTTGTGTCAGTTGGGCCAACTAACACTTTACACCCAGTGTATTTTAGTATGGTTTTCAACAGCAACTGCTGCAATGCTGCTGTCTCTGTGCCCACCCTATCTGAATCAGGACTGCAGTGCACAGCACTGGATGGGTGTAGTTCACTGCTTCCCTGCCGCGGTCTAGAAAATCCTTCTGTGGCTGCAAAATTACCTCTGGAGGGAATCCCTCATTATTCTGTAGTTTTGAGGCTGCAACCAGAGTGAAGCTTTTCCTGGCCTGGATTTGTGTGCTGTGCTGCTGACAGCCTGGCTTAATTACTGTAATCCTCCTGGTATAACAGCTGGAGGTTGGGGGGAGAAGAGAAAGTCATGGTGTTTTCTAAGAGTTAATGTTTTTCTCTTTTTAAAAAACCTGTTGCCAATACTTATACTCACAGAAATTGAGGGTGCTTTTTTTCTCACACGTGCATAAGGAAATTCATCTTCTGTGAGGGTCACTCAAGTGAGCATCATCTAAAAGCAAAGTATATATTTTTTCTTCTTCAGACCTACTGCTTTGCTTCAATGCAAACAGATGCAGATGCAGTTGATGAAGCATTAATGAAAATGCTTGCAATTGATCGTTTGGTGCAAGGGGTCAATGCATCTGGCTGTTAAATAGAAAGTTGGTGGTTCAAGTCCCCCCAGGGATGGTTGTGGGCAGGATTTCTGCATTGCCGGAATGACCCTAGGGATGTATTCCAACTCTATAATTCTAAGACATTTTAAAGACTGGTGACAGCCCAATGAAGTGTACAAACAATATTTATTTATTACATTTATATGCCACTTCTATCTTCCAAGGAGCTTAAGGTGGTTCTCCTCCTCCCCATTTCGTCCTCACAACAGGTTGGTTAGGCTAAGAGATGGTCACTGGTCCAAGGTCAACTTCATGACTAAGTGGGGATTTGAACTCTAGTCTCCCAGGTCATAGCCAAACACACTAACCATTTACAGTTTATGCCTGTCAGAACTGATGTGGTCTTCAATCCTTAACTTTTGTATTAATTTTTTAGCCATGTCTTTTGAGGGGTTTATCTATTCCACTGTCAGCACTAACAAAGCATCCTTGAATTTTTGCCAGAAAGGAGAAATGAATCTCTCTCCCAGCAAGAACAGGGTTATTCTGCTTTTCATCTCAAGGCAAGTTCTTGACCTTAAGATACAGCTGGAGAAACAAGCAAGAATAACCAACAATGCAGCCATCCTAGCCTTGACTCAGTGGTTCTGGAGGATCCTGAATTTGTTTTTAAACATGCCATGCTCTCTAATTTGTCTGCACATTTCGAATGGAAAATAGTTCAAATAGTCATATTTTTGAAGAATTGATTGGCAAGTGCTTGAATCTCTTTAGGGCTGGATTAGAGGGTGAGCTTACCACACAGTGACTTCTTATAAAGGCTCCATATACCACTGAAGAAAGGTTGCATTCAGATGAACAAAGCCAAAAACCAAACAGATCCAAAAGGAGTGTTTGACCCTCCTGCCATGGTTATCCCGGGGAGCATCCCTGATTTATAAGCATTCATCAAAGCTTCTACAAATGATCACAAGAGAGTCCCATATAGGATTGTAGCATATTTTAAAATTAATGAACGCCACAGTGACCACAATAATATGGCTACATTCAATGTTAATGGCCTCATTTCACTGTTTAAAATGATTGCTGCTGTGTTGCCTACAGAATATAAATTAGCCTTCCCCAACCCAGTGCCCTCCAGCTGTTTTAGGCTACAACTCCTAACAACCACTATCAGCATAGGCAGCTCAGGTAAGGCTGATAAAAGTAGGGGTAGGCTGGTTTAAACTTTTATTCTAATACAAATGGGACAAGAGGAGACCTATCGACTCCATGCTCACTTGGTTGCTAACTGCATCTTCTTCAAGGCACAAAGGTCACCAAGGTTGGAGTGCTGGCGGCAGAGATCCTCTGCCAGGAACTACCTCTCACATCAGGCACATCCAGCTGGAGCCAATGGAAATTTGGTTTACACCAGGCATGGCCAAACTTGGTCCTCCAGCTGTTTTTGGACTACAACTCCCATCATCCCTAGCTAACAGGAGCAGTGATCAGGGATGATGGGAATTGTAGTCCCAAAACAGCTAGAGGGCCAAAACAGCTGACCATGGCTCTACAGGGTTTTAGGAAGGAGTCTTTCTTAGTCCTACCTAGAAATGCCAGGTGTTGAACCTGGGTCCTTTTGCATAAGAAACTATGTTCTGATTCTCCTCCCCTCTCCATATCAAGCCCACAGATTATTAGATTGTAAACATCTCACACAGAGACCTGACTTCTTACATTATGCAACTTAAGTGGGTGAGCAGATTTCAGGCTTACAGAATCTGCTTTTTCCCACTAGAATCCCAAGATCTACCAACCAGAGCCAGATGCAAAAGACATGCAGTTAGAATTAAAGGGCAGGGTGCTTCTGAGCATATTCTAAGCCAATAAATTTGGTTTCACTACCAGAACTGAACTGACCTCACCACAGTTTCACACAGAACTCCAGTGCTGCACAGGTTTCTTCATTTCAGCAGCCTTATATATAGGTGGAATAAATATTTAAATATTTTTGTTAAAACTCTTTCCCATTGAGGCTATCCATCACCTCATTCTTGCCAAGTTTGGCTTCCAGCAGTCTGAGTTCCCTCCAAAGGCGCACATCTCCATTGTCTTCCGAGACAGACAGATTCCAACAATATTGACTTTACTTGGCCCTATGTCCTTTTACCCTTTTCTTCAGTATTAGTTGTTGGTAGCCTTATAATAGTTTTGCTTTTTGATAATTTTATGTTCCTGCTTTTTCAACAAGGTGTATATTTGTTCTGGTGCCCTTTACATACATATTGTGCATGTTATGCAAAAATAAATAAATATGAGAAACACCCTCTCTTACCAATCTACTACAAATTGACCATCTAGTAGATCCCAGTCTATCCACCCCTTATCTAAAGCTCCATGCAGTTTGATGGTGCTACAGTAGCATTTATATAGTGGCATCATTTATTTAGCTAACAAGCTTTCATATACTTAAAAAAACCCCACAAACCTACTTGCATATTAGAAAACATCAATGAAAGCAGTGCTAGTGATAATAGTAATAATAGCAATAAGGTAAAGATAAAAGTTAAAGGACCCCTGGATGGTTAAAGTCCAGTTAAAGGAGACTCTATGGGATGCGGAGAAGGAGCCAGGAGTCAGCGTTTGTCCAGACAGCTTTCCGGGGCATGAATAAACCGCTTCCATCACACAGTGATTGAAACCATAGCACACAGAAACGTTGTCTACCTTCCCTCCGCAGAAGTACCTATTTATCTATTGCACTGGCATGCTTTGGAACTGCTAGGTTGGCAGAAGCTAGAACAAAGCAACACGCTCACCCTACCGCACGCGGATTTGAACTGCCGACCTTCTGATCGACAAGCCCGAGGCTCAGTGGTTAGACCACAGTGCCACCCGCGTCAGCAACAAGATGCCCATCTGTCATGGACGCTTTAGCTGAGGTTCCTGCCTTGCAGGGGGTTGGACTAAATGACCCTTGGGATCTCTTCCATCTTTAGAATTCTATGATTCTAAGAGCTAATTCTTGAGATTTGCAGGGAAGAGGAGGAGGCTCGGTCGACCGACTGCCTATCTCTGCCCAAGCCGCCCTTCCAAAGGCAGCGTCACACGTGGCCGCTCAGCTGAGAGCGCGCAGGCGCAGCTAAGCCGCTTCGCGTTCCCCTTTCAACCCTCGAGTCCCCCAATCAGCAGCAAGTACTCCCGTCGCTGTTCCGAGTCTATTGGGCCACAGGGACGCCATGCAGGGACGGGACCGGGAGCGCGGGCCAATGGGAGGCCCGGCAGGGGGCGGGCCCTCTCTGCACGCCTTCTCCGGGGTCAGGCGGCAAAGGAGGATCGCGGCGATGGCTCCGAGCAAGGAATGCGGGACGGAAGGAACCCTCGGCCGCGGGGTCCGCAAAGGCATCCGGGCTGTGCTGCTCGGGCCGCCTGGGGCGGGGAAGGGGACCCAGGTGAGGGGACCCAGGCGTCCGGGATTCCCAGCCCCTCCCCGAGGGAACTTCCCCAGTTCCCCCGCTCCTGTCCTTTTCTTTCTCCCGTTTGGCTGTGGAGGGTCCAGCAGCCGCGCTGCGTGGTCCCCAGTCGACCCTCTTTGCCCCTTACTCGCTTCCTCTAAGGAACCCAGGAGTCCGGGATTCCCAGGCTGTGCAGGGACCCCCTTTCCAGCGCAGGACGTTTCCCAGAAACATTTTTATTCCAGCAAGTCCCCCCGCCCCCGAATGAATAGGACTTTGCCGCAAGTTCCTGCTTTGTAGGGCTTTAGTACTACTTTAAACGTAACTGCCGAGTTTTTTGTTTAGTTTTGAGTAAAACTGCCATAGCCAGGAGTAGCTGTTGCATAGGGTGAGATTTATTTATTTAGTGCTTCTCCCCCTCATTAAATCCCCACAACAACCCTATGAGGTGGGTAGGCTAGACTGGGAGGCAATGGCCGGCTCAAGGTCAGCCAGTGAGCTTCATGACTGAGCAGGGATTTGAAGCCTGGCTCCCAAGGCCTAGTCTGAAACTAACCACTACACAACACATGCCCATACCCTGAAAGAAAGAAAAGTGTGTGTGAAGCTGTGGGGACTTTTTTCTATCCCATGTTGTAGAGGGAGGTTTACTTCCTGTGGAAGATGTGCAGCCTTAGATGTTGCAGCATATGTAAGCCGCTGCATTTAAAGCTGGGGTGTCAAAAACAGAAAGTTGTTTGGAGTAGGACTTTATATGCTGTGTGAATAAACCATCTCTCTCCTTTGCCCCAGCTAATCTACGTTCTGCTCTGTTGCAAGGCAAGCAGCTTGCCCTTTGTACAGTGCTGGGTGGGGCACTATCACATGTCTGAAATAATTTCTTGCAAAACTGGCTTCCAGCTGCTTGCCTGTCTAAAAACCATCAGCATTCTTTAGTGTATAAAAACTGTGGGCCTGGGCAAAGTAGCGTGCCCTGAAGGAATGGCTGCCCTGCTGCAAGAAGTGAACAAATTACAAAAGCCTCTCGTGCTCACTCGGAGGAGGTTGTCCTCAGTGTCTGTGTATGCGCTCACTGCTTTGACTTTGCTTCCTCCCTGTCAGGCTCCCTCATATCTGCATTGGATGCCACTTGATTGCACCTGATAGCAGAATTCTTTGCTGTCAGTCGACTGATCCTTGTGTCTCTGTATGAGTCCGTGGTCTGGACTTGCCTCCTTCCAGTCGTTCCCAAAAGGAAAAGGAAAATCCCTGTATGAGTGAAGTGGGCTTCCCAGTTTTAATGCAGGAGGGAGTGTGCTTCAGTTACCAACAATTTAGGAAACATGTTAGCATATCTGTTCAGAGCGGGAGAAGGACTTTCACTCTGATGCATTTGAGGGGGATGGAAGTTCAAAGTTTGGAGGAGCAAACTTGTTCTCCATTATTCCAGAGGGCAGGACTAAAACCAAGGGGTGGAAATTTCAGGGGAAAAGATTTTAACTACACTTTTGGAGAGACGTCCTAAGAGGAATGCTTTGGGAGGTGGCGGTCTCTCCTTCATTGGAGGTATGTAAACAGGTACTGTACATCTGCCAGTCACAAATGAAGTAGTTGCATCCTGCATTGAAAAGCGGTTGGACTAGATTGACCTTCAGAGGTTGTTGGACCACAGCTCCCATCATCCCCAGATAGTTTAGTAGTCGGTGGTCGGAGGTGGTGGGAGTTTGTAGTCCAGCAACATATGGAGACAGCTGAAAAACATTGGACTAGGTAACCTCCTAGGTCTCTACTGGTTCTATGACTCAATCCTAAAATCCAGAATAAATTATCCAGAGCTGTTGTAGGGCCATCTTTGCTTTCCCTTACTTGCTTCTTGGTTCTTACTGGGGTTTCCATTTCTTCCCTCACAGGCTCATCCTGCATCCCTTTCTCACTAGCAATCTCTGACACCACTGAGTCAATCAGTTTATCCCCCAAAGCAATTCTTATAATCCAGGCTTCCTTCTTCCAACAGGGGAAGGGCCATAGTAGAGCATCTGTGCATGCAGGAGGTCCCAGGTTCAGTCTCCAGTGTCTCCATGTAGGGCTGGGAGAGAACGAAGCTAGATGGACTCAGTGGTCCAGCTTTCGCTGCAGGCTTTAGTGCAAAAAGTACATTCACACACCTGGCACAGTAAAGCTTCTACCGTATTGTAGTGGTCATGTGAACGTATTTTCTATGTACCGGTAATTCAATTATATGCACCAAAATTATTTCCTACAGTTGCTGCTCTGAATTTCCCCCTAAAGTTTCCTTTGTTCTTTCCCGTGCAGGCCCCTCGGCTAGCTGAGGCCTATTGTGTGTGTCACTTGGCGACAGGCGACATGTTGAGAGCTATGGTGGCTTCTGGCTCGCCGCTGGGCAAAAAGCTGAAGCAGACGATGGATGCTGGAAAGCTGGTAGGTACAGAGGGGTCGTTGCCACTGAGCCATTCCCTTTGGCCATATTCTTTAAATAGCTTCTGTGGTTTTGAAAACTGTTCTGTAAATTGAGTATTGGCACCAGCTGATGCCGTAATGATGTTCTTTGGCCTCTGATTTATGTGACGGAGAATTGGAAACGATTTGGAAACGGTGGTGTGCTGAACGTGTCCACGGAGTTTTGGAGTTGAGCACAGAACCTCTGTGGACACGTTCAGCACAGCGCCCGGTGGAGTCGTGTCACACATCGCCCTGGGCATGGATTTTGATTTATGAACTGGTTGCAGGAAGTGAGGCTTGGTGTTCCAATTGCATTGCCTTCTTTTCTTTTTTGTTCAAGTAGTTTTCCTGGAGTTCCTGGCTAAAGAAATTTGAGTGCCTCTTTACCTTTTAAATTTATCATCGTACAGTTTAGATTTCCTGATTGCTGTGATAAAAGCAATCTAGCTTACAAACTAGGAAGAATTGGTGGGAAGCAAATGTTTTCTGTCTTCCTTTCCGTCCATCTCCACCCTTTCCTGGTCATTGTGTGAAATGTTTCATGTCTAAAACCTTAATGAAATGACATTATTTGAAGCAACAAAAAATATTTCAACTAGGAATAGTCTAGTCTAGCCTTTGCTAGCCTGGTGCCCTCCAGATGTTTTGGACCTCTACACCTGTTAGCCCCAGTCAAAACATCAGAAGGGTTCCAGGTTGGCAAATGCACCTCTGTAAATTTCATTTAGCTCATTTAGCTGCTGTTTGACCTTTTACAAATAATACTTTGGATCAAAGTGTACATATTCCAGTTTTATGCCAGCAGCTGAACTGATGAAAGATGCCTTTTTGCCCTCTCTGTTTGCTTTGTAGACATCTTTAGACCAAGACTTGGTGTCTAGGACCACAGTCCAATAGGGCTCACTTAGGACTGTGAGCCCTATTGAATCGAATAGGATTTACTTCTTCGTTGACATGGTTAGGGTTGCATGTGGATGGCTTCTTCTCTTTGCCTGCATTTTGTTGTGTCATAGCTGGTGGCCTTCCAAACAAGACTTTGTTCAGAGTTACAGTTTTAGAGCATGACTGTGATGGATAATGCTTATCTGTTTCGTTCAAGCCACCACTGTTATTATCAGTGGCCTAAGACATCCAAGAGCACTGTGGGCATGGCTGGATATTCTAGATAATGTGTTTTTTTACCTGGAGCCAATAAGCTGCGTTGACTGCACACCACACCCAGGTCTTGAGATGGGAGATAACAGTAGCTTTTTCAGTACTGAGAACTACATCAGAAACTTATATATGTATTTCTGGTGCATAGGAATAAACGGAAATTTAAAATCTGAAGCTTTCATGAAAGTTATAGGTGGGAGGGATCGTAAGGTCACATAGTTCAATCTTTAGCTGGGAGTAGGAACACCAGAGCACTGACCCTTGACACTGACAGTCCTCTTCCACCCCCAGCCACATTCAGGCTGCACAATTTCTGTGTCGTGGTGCACTTTGAATAGAGAGGGCTTGCAATTGTGGGGATGTTGCTTTGGTTCTGTGGCTCCTCTTTTGAAATCAAAGGTGCAATATTGCACTAGCCGTTGCATAAACTGGGATATCCTGAGTGCAACACAAGGTCTTAAAGCTATCCTTTCTGCCTTCTTGTTTTCTGATCCTTCAGTGTGTTTGCACTTCTAGTTTCAAACTTACTTTATAGCCGCAAGGACTTCTTGAAAGAAAAAAATATTGTGGGTAGGGTAAGCATGTTTGACATGCTGGTGACACTGTATCAAGACTTCATTTCTCTCTCTCTCTCTCTCTCTCTCTCTCTCCCCCCCCCCATCCCACTCCAAATTGTAAGGTGAGTGATGAAATGGTGGTGGAGCTGATTGACAAAAACCTGGAGACGCCCTCCTGCAAGAATGGTTTCCTTTTGGATGGGTTTCCTCGCACAGTGCGACAAGCAGAGATGGTACGTGATTCCTGATACCTGCCCTTGGATCTTCTAAGATTGGGAATAAGAGTTTCCAGCAGTGCCGCTGCATTAGTCTGTGGCAGCAGAACCAGCCAAGAGTATTGTGGCACTTCAAAGATTTATCATGGCAGAAGGTTGCATGGGCTACAGCCCACTTCATCATATGAAGTGTTATCCAGAGTTCAGGTGTGTGTAACTGTAAACACTTGAGGATAAAATGAAATGAAAAGCAGAAAAGTACATATGTTATTAACATTGGCCATTAATCAACCAACAAAACAAAACACTTGCTGATAGTGCAGACATCCTGCTCTTGGTTAACACATGCACAGTGGTACCTCTGGATGCGAACGGGATCTGTTCTGGAGCCCCGTTCACATCCTGAGCAGAATGCAACCCATGTCTGCGCATGCGCCGTTTTGAAATTTCTTTGCTCCACCATAGCTGCCTTAAGGTCAGTTATATTAGATGGTAGCTAAATAATTTCTACTCATAGAACTTACTTAAGCTGCTCATGTCCATTAATTTCAATGGGCCTAGCCTGAGTAGGACAAATATTAGATGGAACACAGAGTGTACTGGGAAGTTGAAATGTTCCCCTGCTGGTTTTTGTATATTTCCATTTCCTGATGTCAGGTTTGCATCCGTTTCTTCTTTTCTGTTGAGCTTGGCTGTGTAGAATGCAAAAGAGCATTGCTGCCAGAGGACGACATGTAGCAAACTGGAAGATGAACAAGTGAATGAACCTTTGACATTGGAAGTTACTGTGACTGTGTTGCTAGATTAGAAACAAGGACATTGCTGGCATCTGGGCTTGCCACCAGGTCTGGACCCTGGCAACACTATTGTACAAAGGATATTTATCACAGTGCCTGTGTTAATTGGCTTGTCAATGCCCTGGATGTCTGTGTTATCAGCAACAACTTAATTTTCTGAATGGTCACTGTTAATGACATACTTATCCCTTTCACTTCATTTTGACCTCACTGCTGGCAAAGACCACACTCCCTTCCCCAGCAACCATGAGTTACAACTAAGGACAGTGCTTCTGCATCTGATGAAGTGGATTGCAAACTACAGAAGGGAGCTATTTTGTAACGCCCCACAGTAAAGTGGGAGGAGATGGCCGCATAGATGGAGATCATTTATTTTGCAATGGCTCAGTCTGGGCTCCATTGCTGAGCTCCAGGCCTGCTGAGGGTCCAGCTGCCTTCATTTTTTATTGTTTCAGAGGAGATTTTTTTAGGCCTGAATCCACTCATTCTGTGCATTTCAAAAGTAGTTCTTCTTTCCATTCTCTTAAAATGCTGCAGCTGGATGAGCTCATGGAAAAGAGAAAAGAGAAACTAGATTCTGTCATTGAATTCAGTGTTGCTGACTCCTTACTCATCCGGAGAATCACTGGACGGTAACTGCCACTTCCTTTGGGGAAACTGGGGTGGGGGTGGGGAGGGGAGTTTCCATATGCTGAGCCACTCAGAAAAGCTAGGTGCTGCATGTTACAACCTTTATAAAACAAAACTAGGAGTGCAGTGTTGTGCAACGTGTGGGGAGCAGATAGCTCTTGCTTGCAGTGCTAATGAGAATTACAAGGAAACCCTTTGTTGAAAAAGTACATGTGTTCTGTTCACTCCCCCCATTAAAGTTTATGTTTTTGTTCTGTATATTCTACAGCAGGGGTCACCAACCTTTTAAGCCTGTGGGAACATTGGTGTTTTTGAGTGAGTGCCATGGGTACAATCTCTTCTGGCCACTTATCTCTCCCCTCCTGTAAATCTTAAACAAACACACACACACACACCCCACACAAGAGACAGAAAGAGAGAAAGTGTGCTTTTCCAAGGGAGCTGGTTAGAAGTTGGATCCAGTAGAAAACCTGAGCGTTGAAAAACACATAAAGCTGAAAGAGGAAGTGGGATAGAGTGTCAATCCTCCAGCTTCCTCCTTCCGCTCCATGTACAACCTCCACTAGCCTTGCTTTCAATCTCATAACGGAAGAGGCAGTAACACCTTTGCACCCATGGGCATCGCACTGGCAAGTCCTGTTCTGGAGAACAGGTCCCAGGGCACTGTCTGAGGGCACATGATGCATTCTGCAGTGTTGTTTTCTGAAGCTGATGGGAGCAGGATTCCCACCAACATCTGGAGTACCACAGGTTCCCTACCTCTGCTGTGGTGTCTCCCCACCCCACCCCATTTAAAACTTATTTCGTAGCTATACATCGAACCTAAGAGGGTTTTAAATATGGTTAGTCTGGATGGAGGAATCCTGTGTTGTCATCTTGTGTTCTCTGATGGAAGAAAGGTGTTTTTAATTAAAAAAACCAGTGGTCTCAATCCAAGGACTGACCACCTGTTTAGATTCACTGATGCTGCAGCATCAGCCCTAATGCCTGATCCAAATGCTTGTAGTCCTAGTTCTGAAGAAAATTCTCCTCCATAACTCCTCCCCTTGACCGGCTCTGAAATGCACTCGACTGACTGCTGTGGTCTCTTTCAGGCTCATCCACCCAGCAAGTGGCCGCTCATACCATGAAGAATTCCATCCTCCTAAGGTCCACATGAAGGATGATGTATGTAACCTTCCCATTTTGATTTTCCCTTTTGGGGCTCCATTCAATATGCCTTTGATTGTTCTGTGATGCCTTCAGGAGGCTGGATAGACTTATTTAATTTATTTTAATTTAATACTGTAATTTTTAAAAATGGTCTTGCTGTGGCTTCAGTCTGCAGTTAAGTCTTGACTGGGTCATTCATTCAGAACCAAAACTGAATTCCCAATTGACTTGATGGATATTGCTTTTAGACTTGGGATCCTCTGATAATTTTGCAGTTTAATCGAATCAGAAGTGCAGATCTGAACATATCTCTAGCTTCTGCAGAAATGTTGGGCTGATTGGGAGGGGTTATCCAAAGCAGAACCTGTGGGACTGTTTCACTCACCAGAGCCTGGCCAGTGTCTTGCAGCGGTGGGGGCACGTATTTGACTCCTGCCTTCCTGGCTGTGAAAGACTGCTTGAAACTGTGTAGGCAACATCTCAGGATCCAAAGGGAACACTGAAATAATATTTCCACTGGTTGAGGGAGTGGAATAGCTTCTGGTCCCTTCCAATGGTTAGCAGCACCAAAATAAATTAAACAAAATACCTCAAAACAAATTCTGCAAAATGAGAGGACAGAATTCTGCCGCCCCCCCCTTTAATGCAAAGTGCCCTAGGCAGAGTTTGCATCCCAGCATTCTCTGCCACAGTACAAGGAATAATGGGGGGCACCTCCTAAGTTGGACAGTTTAGGTGCTTGGAACACCAGATATCTTGGGCTGGCTCTGATGGAAACTGGAATAGCACCTGAGATTTCCTGGGAGTCATCAAGCTAGTAGCATCAGGTTTTAAACTTGCTAAGGCTTTTTACAGCTCTCGCGTCTTGCAGTATCCTGAAGTTTTGGTCCTTTTGGCCTGCTATGATGATGCATCTCCACCTCAAGGTAGCTCACATAGTTCCCCTCCAAATGTTTTTGGCTCCCCCAGCCAGCATGGCCAGTGTTCAGAGGTGATGCGGGTGTTGCTGTCCAAATCACTAGCTGCCCCTGCTTTTATGTCTTGCTCTTGGTTAGGTCACCGGGGAGCCTTTGATACGCCGGTCAGATGACAACGAAGGAGCTTTGAAGACTCGTCTGCAGGCTTACCACACCCAGACGTCGCCGCTGGTTAACTACTATAGCAGGCGTGGGATCCATACGGCTGTGGATGCTTCCCAGTCCCCTGATGTGGTTTTTGCCAGCATCCTGGCAGCTTTCTCAAAAGCAACATGTAAAGACCTGGTTATGTTTGTTTAAGGCTCTCCTGTCTGATGCTTCCTTCTCCTTTCCTGTCTTCTGGGGTCTGCAAGAGCAAGCTCTGTAGGAGAGGTGCCAAGTTGCAAGGGAGGAAGGCTGTTTATATACTGTCCATTAAACGGAAATGCCGCGCTTTCTCCGATTTGTATGCATATATTTTTTGAAGAGCTTGTGGGCTGTGTGCAGGTGGCCTGCAGGGGGCGCAGCGGCTTCACGCTCCGCTTTCTGGAACCTGGGAACTAGGCTGCTGCGCCTGTTCAGTCAAAAGTGAAAGCGCTCTGCTACTCATCTTGGCGACAGGGTTAAACTGGAAAATTGCTGCCGCTTCTCCTGTTCCGCCTACATGTCGGGTGGCCTGGTGCGATGTTGTAGGAGTTCTGAAGGTCACAAACTAGCAGCTGTGGGCGGGAAGCAAAGTTGCTGGCTGGCCTTGTCCTAAGTCCTTGGCTCTAAAACTGCAGGAAATTAAATGCCATGTCAGCTTAAAGAGGGGGTGTGCAAAAGCAGCACAGATGTGTGCACCTGTGTGAAGAGACATGGGCACATCCTGTTCTTCCATGGGCCAAGCGGAAACTCTACAACCAGCACATCACTCGAAGTGCGGTGCATATCCCATACTTCTACAACTTCATGATGAAAGCCTGAAATAGGAAGCGCATATGTGGAAGCATCTACTCTGCATAACTTCTTCATAACTTTTGTGTGTGTGCTTGTGGCTTAGTATATTAATGTACAAGCCATAACTTGCATAAGATGGCAAAATGAGGACTGGTTTGACAAGGTGAGAATGCAGACGGAGGGTTCCTAGGCTTTGTGCTGAATTGTGCCACCGTGGGGCAAAGGTGCAAGACAATCAACACTCCCTCCCATTTACCTTCTTCTAGCAGGTTAGCGGTGGCGCCAGAATGTGGGCCAGATTGTATTTGTGGTGAAGAAACTGAAAACCCACTTAACAATGGTCTGGCAGAGCCTGGATGCTGTTGCCCTGTATTACTGGCACACTTAATTTATTCATGAGAATTGACTTTGTATTCCGCTAAGGCAGCCTTTTTCAACCTGGTGCCCTCCAGATGGTGTGGACTGCAACTCTCAGCATGGCTGGAACTGATGCGAGTTGTACTCCAAAATAACATGGAGGCAGGGGGCACCAGGCTGGGGAAGGCTGCCTGGGAGTGACCCTGTTCTTGCCTCTCAGTGAGGTGATATGGAAATGGAGCCCCTGCTCTCCTCTTTGCAATCTTGCTTTGAAGCAGCCTCGTTGTCCTCATTCAGACTTGACCTGCCTTTGTGATATCCTTGAGATGCACTTGAGTTTTCTTGAGATGAGCGGCAATGTTGCTGGCGTGCAGAGGGTGGGGGGGGGACTCTGATTTCATAATGTGCTTCCATCTGCGGGGCTCATCATGCCAGCTTACAGCTATGTTGCTCGCCTTCACCTGGCTCTTGTGGCTGCCGGGGTCTTTTCCTGTGTTTTGCTGCAACACAATAAAGGTGCAAATTCTAGCATGCGTGGATGTTGCTGCCTACCTCTGGGGTCACATTGATATCTGCCAGTTAGCCTCACAACCTTCCAGCTCTCTTGTCCTTGTGTATGTGTAGCTGACTTGATAGATCAGGGACTGTAAAGTATAGAGTGCCCTTGGCGGGTGGGTGTGGGGGGAGGGAAGTCATTGTGCCTGTCCACTGACCTGTGTCCTTGTCTTTTTCCACTTCTCTCTTTTTATCCTTCCTTTAATTGTTCTTACATTGTTCTTAAATGCATTTTTGCTCCCAAATGACTCTTCTGAAAGACCTGTGCTCCTCTTTTGATTAAATAGGCTGAAATAGTATTTTGCTGTGCAAGAAACGCAGCAGTGAGAAGAACACTTTAACCCATTGAACTGCAGAGTATATTGAGAGGCATTTTGCAGCTTTGAAAAAAGAAAATTCACAATGGAAATTATGTAGTTTAGTTGAAAATATTTGCTTGTTTGATGGCCTGATAACAGTCCTGAAATCTAAATTGCCTCGTCTCACTATATTATCTGAAGGCATTGGGGAGACATACCATTCTCACCCCTCAAAATGTTTTGTTTTGTTTTTGTAAAGTTTTTCTCAGAACTGATGTTTGATGGTATTTTCTCATGGGATTCAAAAGAATGGGACTTGATTATACCTTCTCAAAATGGTGATTTATTGAAAAGAGAATCTCTTTCCAAGAGGAGGCCCATTTCACAGAATTTGTGATTTTAAAAAGACCCATTCATCCCATGGGGTTGCAGCCCTTTCCCATTTGCAACCAACTTATGGCTGCTCTTGCCTTAATCTCTTATTCAAACAGAGAACTCTACTCAGGTGCTTAGGTTTCTGGGGGCACAGATTGCGTGGCTTTGCTTGGAGACGGATGCAACTGAATCAAGCTTGCAAATCACCTGGTCCAAGGCTTGCTTTTGTTGCCGTCTCTGAGACACTGATGGTGCCTTGTTAGTTTAAGATTATGAACAATCCCTTGAGCGTAAGCAGCTTTGGTCTGTACACTGGGAATCCTTTGAGGCTTTCTAAAGGAAGGCCGTTATAATCTAATAGTGAAGGGAGAGCTAGTTTTCCTGTAGGGGATGGAGGTTTTATTAAGAGAGCCTAAGAACAAGAACTTCCCAACAAGGACAGGCCAGTCCATTTAGCTCCATTGCAGCTGCCAGTCCGTTCGCCACCCACCATCATCCTTATTGCTCTTTTGTTTTTAATTTGCATTGCAAGCTACCCTGGGTTAAATATTATGAAGGGCAATACACAAGTGTGTTAAATACCCCAAGCCTCCGCCCCTTGATTTCTTATCATCCCCTCTCTGCCTGCCATAAAGAAGTATTCCTTTTGAGTTCTTAAGGACCATTTCTCTTTTTTTTATATTTTGTCTTCATTTCAGCCGCATGAATCCAGGAGGTGGACGAGACAGGACAGAACACCATCGAATACTGCATGTTCGTCACCCTCACCCTTTTGCCCTCAAGCCAAGGGGGCAAAGGAAGGGCGGGCAAGGAAAGGGGCAGGAAGCACAAGGGGTAACTTGACAGGAATTTTGTTTTAAGAAAGTCAAACCAGAATTTAGGGAGGAAAATGTGTACTGTATTGTGTTGAAATGGGCTTGTAAAGGCTGGATATCACCATAGCTCTGACTCTAGACAGTTGCATTGTAAAAATTTAACTTGGCAGGGAGGGGAAGCTATCTTGGACCCAGTTGTTTTTCCCTGGATGGTCCCAGTGATTTAGGAAGTTCATTGTAGGCACAGCGCAGAAATTAGCAGACTATGCACTGCAAGAAATCCACTCAAAGGCTTCTCTAAGCCCAGGAGTTCTAGCTGTGCACAAGTCCTTGTTTCTGCTGCGCCTTTTCTCCACGTAGCCTCCATTTGGGGTGGACAATTTTGGCCTCAGGTATAACGGCTCTTTCAATCACTACGCTGCAGAGATGCCGCATAATTCCTGCATCAGCAATTGGCATCTGAAGTCATCACCTTCTGGATGGGGCAGTGCTGCCTGCTTTACTGTTCAGAGTAGTATTCACTTAAATATTGAAAGATCATAACCAAGAACACTCCCCCTGCCCTCAAACAACTGCAGTTTCCAGTTCTTTTACTTGCCATCCTTTTAGGGCCCACCTGCTGCTTCAATAAAATGGCTGTCACTTTTGTACCTGAACAATTTTGTCCCTTGATTTTGGGTGTGGGGAACTGTGGGAGGCTGGTTGCAGCAATAGGCTCAAGTTCTTTGTGACGTGTTTCTCTTGCAAAGTCTCAGGTCCTGCACAGCCTTCAGGGAAGATTTAAACCCCGATAGCAACCTGAACCCTGAAGAGAGAAACCAGAAGGATAAACCACAGCCAGCTGTGTTCTAAGTGGGGTGTGGGGCAGGAAAGGAAGTAATGATACTTCAAAGAGAAAATTTAACTTGGGGCTTGCAGATAGCAAGGTCTGTGATCTTAGCTGTGGACAGGACAGGACTTGTCAAGCGTCCACATGTTTGTCTGTGTTTCGCTTTCAGTGGTGGAGGTATTGATGTTCTGAATAGCGGTGGCTGTGGAACGCCAGCCGGGGAGAGCGCTGTTGGCACACAGGTCCTACTTGTGGGCTTCCCAAAGGCATCTGGTTGGCCACTGTGAGAAAAGAATGCTGGACACTTGCAGCACACTTGCAGAAAGGAAAACCTCAGCCCATTGAGGCTAGGAGTTGGGCTCTTCCCCACCTGACAGCTTTATCAATGGGATATTATTTATACTTTTTATAAAGTCTCCCTAAGCTCAACCTCATCTATGTTCATTCTACTGGAGTAGGGTGCTAAAAATTTACAAACAGAGATTTTTAATTGAATAATCAACTGCCTATTAATTTAAATAAATGGATTATCAATACATAAATTTAGATCTCTTTTTGAGATACTGAAGGATGTTCAAGCAACCAAGATTTCGTATTAATTTTTTTTTGTTAGATTACATTTCTTACCATGATGCATCTCCCCCTCCTATACTTTTAGCAGGAAGCCATCAGGACAAAATTTTAAGCAAGTAAAGCTTTCCCCAACACATCCATCCCCATACAAGGAAAAGCTCCGTTCAGGTTGGCCCATGGAGTATCTGGATTTGTGGCTCAAGAAGAGAAATGGCCTATACATTGCATTAAACGTCCATATTGATTTTTATCTGTATTGCTGCCTGTATCTCTTTTATAAAATGCAATATATAAGAAATAAAGGAAGCAATACAAATACAATTAAAAACCACATGGCATTTAGCACAGTATATTACACTTGCTAAAACAATCTGTCAAGACCCTCAGCGATGTTCAGATGGTCTGTGGGGAAAAGGTTTGGGAACAACTGCACTAAACACCTTCCAGAAGTATTGCAAGACCTCCATTTGGAGTAGACCTTCAGGGCTCAGCTTACACTGGAAAAGGATGGGGATTTTCTTACTGAAATAGGTGAAAACTTATTTCTGGCTTTTTGCTGCCCGCTCAGAACCCAAAGGGTTGGGTTTGGTAGTGCAAGAAGCAATATTTTCCCAAATATCCCCTTGTATATGTATCTGTCCCAGTCACAAGGTTGCTTCCATGCAGATTTCTCTGGAACTCATGTGGTTTATTCATTATTACAGAAAGTCCCCCACTGGGCTGGGGGCTGCAAGTCTGTAACCTGAGGCTGGAGACTGAAGCTGAATGGTAGAACACACTTAAAGATCTTTATGCAAATTTGATTCCATGTATCTATTAGGTGTCCAGCTCTTACGAGTTCTAGTGAAAAAACAAGTGATGTTTGAACAGATAAACAGGGAGCTGCTGGTTCAGACCCTCACCCAGGAAAGTAGATGCAAACTCCTAGGGTTCACCTTGTAGTTCCCAGAGACAGAGAGAAATGCACCTTCTGTCATGGCATCTCAAGAACAATAGGTCCCCAGTTCTTTGGTTCCTGCTGGTGTTTCCTGTGCAGAGCAAGTGCTTCCAATAGGATTTACAAGCTTCGGAAGCTATGGGAGCAGATGATCTAGGCTTCTGGTTTTCACTGTGCATAGAAAAACTGACACTAGAGGACAATTGTCTAAAGGGCAAATGTCATGCATGTATAATTACACACACAGAGTACATAATATGTTGTGTCTGGCTATAAATACAAATACAAAGCAGCCAGAAATGGAGGAAGCTGAAACAAAGTAACTTAAACAAACTGAAGGATCTTTGCCGTTTGGGATTTCATCATGCAAGATGAGGCTCCCTTACCTGGAACAGCTTGAGACTTTTTGGCTCTTGTCACGACTACAGGCTTATCAAGAGCTAAGGATGGTGATCCTTGGAGTTGTAGTTTTTAAAGGGTTCTGAGAGTTGTCGAGGTCCCCTATTTCGCTCCCAGAATTACAATTCTCTGAGTTCTCTGGGTTTGTTAAATCACTCTGGAAACTGGAGCTCTTTGAGGGGAACAGGGGGCTTGGAGATGCCAGGGCTAGAACCTGGGCCTTCTACATGCCAAGCATGTGCTTTGCTATTGCCCATATGTTGAGGATTGTGCCCCACACCCTTTGTCAACTAGAGGGGCAAAATTAGGGGCTTGGGGTGTCGGCTGGAACGTGTGGCATTTAGAAAACCTACTTTGGGGGGGGGGAGGCGTTGGAGCCAACTAGAGTTGTTTGATGCTATTCCTCAACCTGAACATCTTCCGGCCCAGTATTTATTTTATAAGACTTATACACTGTCTTTTTTGTGGGGGGAGGCAAATCAAAGGCAAAAATAGCAGAGGCTCACATGAACTCTGCACACACAGAGAAACAAGGCTTTGCCTGCCCATCCTCTGAGACGGAGAGCGCCTCATGAGCCTTCCTTTTGGACCTTCACTCTTTATAAGCAGCTCGTAGGCTCAAAGCACAACGCCTGCATTACATGTAATTACATAAAATACGTTGGTTCTTAAGTCGCCTTCCCCCGCTTGGGACGCATGCGCATTGCGAAAGGAGCCGACCGCTTGGGTAAGGAAAGCGAGTTGTGCGGAGCTGACGCCTGCGCCTGCGCAGCCGGAGCTGGAAGGCCGTTGGCGGCGGTTGGGTTACCTCAGCAGTCAGTCAGTGGGTCGGTTGGTCGGGCCATCGGCCGCGCATGCGCTCTCTCCTCCCCCCGCCTCACTCCCCTTTCTCTCTCGTTTCACCTCAGAGGAGGCGCAGAGCCGAGCGGGCGACGCTGCCGCCGCTTTCTCCGGCCGGCCGCCTCTCCTTCGCGATGGGCTCAGAGAAGGACTCGGAGTCGCCGCGCTCTACCTCGATCCACGCGGCTGCCCCGCCGGCCAAATGCCCCAAGAGCGGCTCAGGACAAGCAGGAGGCGGCAGAGGCACCGGCGGCGGCGGAGGTGACGGCAACAGCGGCAGTAACAGCGGCACGAGCCGGGGCCGACGCCGCCTCCTCAGCTTCCAAAGCGTCTTCTCGGCCGCCGCCTCGGCCGCCTCGTCCTCAGCCTCCGGGGCCGGAGTCCGCCGCCGGCGGAAGGCCAAGGCCAAGCCAGAGCCGCCTCAAGCCAAGCCCGCCCCGGTGGTGGAGGCGGTGGCGGCGGCGATCCCCAGCCCCACCGCAGCATCAACCCAGGCCACTCCGCCGCCGCCCTCATCGCCGCCGCCACAGCCTCCTCCTGCTCCTTCGGCGGCGGTTACCGGGGAGGGCGATGCCGCCGCCGCTGCTGCCGCCACCTCGTCCTCGTCGTCGTCTTGTGGTGCGGAGTGCGAGGAGGGCGGCGAGGAGTCCTCCCCGTCGGAGTTGGAGTGCCCGCTGTGCCTGGTGCGGCAGCCGGCGGGCAACGCGCCGCGCCTCCTCTCGTGCCCGCACCGCTCGTGCCGCTCGTGCCTCCGCCAGTACCTGCGCATCGAGATCACAGAGTCGCGCGTCAACATCAGCTGCCCCGAGTGCAGCGAGCGCCTCAACCCGGCCGACATCCGCCTCCTCCTGCGCGACTCGCCCCACCTCGTCGCCAAGTATGAGGAGTTCATGCTCCGCCGCTGCCTGGCCGCCGACCCGGACTGCAGGTGGTGCCCGGCCCCGGACTGCGGGTGAGAGAGAGCAAAGGCAGGGGCAGGAGGAAGGACACGCTTAATAATAATAATAATAATATAAAAAAAATAAGTAAAAACAGCAGCTGCTACTTTGGTGGCCGTTATGGGAAGTAAATTGCTTTATCTGCATTAGCCTGCTGTGATCTTTACAACAACCCTGGAAAGGTTGGCCGGTTTGGATCTTGCCCCCCATGTTACAGATAGGGGTGGGTGAGGTCCAGACAGCACCACCTAGCGGGCTCTTGCCAGTGGGGGACATTAAACCTAAGAACAGCATGATTCCAAGCTGCTTAGTCCTGCACCAATTCAGAGCGAAAGCAAGCCAGTACTACGATTGGGGCCAGCCATGATTGGCAGGGTGTGTACCAGGTTTCAAGGTTCACAGAGGGGCATGCACTACTAGGGAGAGAACTCTTTTTAAAGGTCATGTCACTGAGCCCTAGCTGCAGTTTAAAGTTTAAAGGTGCAGGGGAGGTACCTTTGCATTGACTAAATATTGTCTTTGTAGCCAAGCCAATGTTCTGTACCAGCTGAATACATGGTGCATTAGAGTGAAATGAGCAAAAATGGTATGTCACTCTGCCATCAACAGTTTACAGTTTAAAAGTGGATAGTTTAGAGAGAAAATGGCGAAGTGATGGAAATATAAGAAAAAGGGGTGTGAAGAGCATCCTCTGGCTTTTTTCTGTTGGGGATCAGGGCTTTGGGAATTAAGCCCAGAGGCTTGTGGGAGAGGTGGTTTTTGCAGATTTTATATTCTTGTTTAGTTCACACACTGCTGCTTCATTTTGGAAATAGTGTATAATTGTGTCTATAGTTCATATCTCACCTGCCATGAACAGTCATAGCAAGCCATTTAGCTTTAGCCCCTTATCTGCAATAAAGTTAACATCATTAATTTATATTTTTTCCGACTTGTAGGAGTGTTTGAAAAACACTTGAACACTAAGAACATTGTATGCAGTAATAAGTATTGTATTTTTAACTACTGTTCACTTATTTTATTTTATTAAGTTTCTATCCTGCCCTTCCTCTGAAAGGAGCCCAGACTGCTCCATGTTCCTATAGAAATTAAGTGTAGTACGGGTAATGTTGCTTCAACAATGGTGCCTCATCTGGCTTTTTCTGTCCAGAGGGAGACAAGTAAGTGCCCTGTTCCCAAACTGCTCACACTGTCTCTTTCAATATCCTAGGGGAAATGGTGGCAAACAGCAGAATTTTTTAAGACTAAAGCATTGCTGACCAAGTTCATGCAGTGCACCAGCAGGATTATGTCCAGCAATGAAGTGTCAATTTGAATGCACTTAGCTTCTTCCAATCATTCGCAGCCCTTATTAAAGGAGTTTCTCCAATCTCATTAAGGCAGCTAGTTTTGCTGCCTAATGGTTATAATTTTGCAAAGGAATAGGTGTGAGTGAAAGTGAAAATGAAAACAAAACTTTTATTATTAGGTACTTTGGAAGTGCCAAAGATGTGCTAGAACCTGCGTTAAGTATTTAAAAATCAGCATATACATTCCTCATAGGATTGTAGTCTAAACCTTTAGAGGACCCAGGGAGCTGCATCTCTTGAGTGAACACTTTTTTTACAGGGCTTGGGTAATACTGAACACGGTCACAGTGTAGGAAGGGAAATAGGATGTATGTATAAGATCAGTTATCTTGGTGCAGACTGAAAACACGTGGAAGACACAAACTTTACAAGATCAGTATATCCTTTAAAGTTTGAGGTGTTTATTAAGGACTGTCTTTCCCTCTGTAAATGGAGGGCAACACATAAGTAATGGAGGGAAGCACATGTATGTGTAAACAAAACTAACTGCATTTACAAGGATTTGTGCCTCTAGAAATTTATTAAAGGGCAGACTATGATGAAACAGTTCACTCTATGCTGTGGCTATCAAATCCTCAAGAGGAATACTTATATGAAATGGAAATGCTATCTCAAATACGTTGTGTTGGCATGTAAAGATAAGCTGGGATCTCTGGGTTATTGTGGTTTAGCATGAACGAGTAGTACCTGCTGCTTGATTGATCCCACATTTCTCCTCCCCAGTACAAGGAGCATAAACAAACCCAAGAAACCATGAATGGTGGTGGTGGTTAGTAATAAACTGCCCTTCTTCAAAAGACCTTAACAAATCTTAAGCTGTGGTTTATTGTTACCTTATAGACTATGACTTGTTGGTCTCAGTAACAGAGGAGGGGTGGCCCATCAAGAGGGAAGAGAATGTGTCAGACAGCTGTGGAAAGTCCCAGTTTATGGTGATCTAGATATTTGCAAATCATTCTGTGGCTTGAATCCTTGGCAAGGACTGGCTGGCACTGCTGATGGTAGTTAATTAACTAGGTCCTGCAGTGAGGTGTGAATTGTACTTTGTGTCATTCCTGTCTACTTAGTTGCAGGTAGACTTTGCTCAGAATTGTTTTGTCAGTAAAATTTATTTTCCTGAGAATCTTGTTTAAGTATTAATGAATATTTATTGATGTGGGGTTGATGTTACAGATGAGGAGTAGTGGGTGATCTTTGGAAGTAGGGGCAAGGGGAGTTTGATTTGAAATTTTCTGATCACAAGTGTTGTATGTATTTCAGGTTTGTGGTGGAATTTTTTTTACTGAAAAGTTCCTGTTTCTACAATGCCAGGGAATTGTGGGTCTTTCCCAGCCCCTCTGTATGCTGAGAAGTTCAGCAGCCTTAAGCTATCCTTTCACAATAGTGGAGGAAACTGTAAACAATGACTTTCAGTAAGAACAGAAACTTGCACATTCTGGTAAGAAAGCATTTTATGTATGGGGATGCAAGTGGTGAAACGTTGAATCATTGTGATTCAGCATCCAGTTGGGTAACTGGGAAATGGCCTAGCCTTTGGCAGTTAGTCAGAATGAGATTTGAGTAAGTCTTGTTTTACTTTCATTTCTGTTTTCTTTTAAATCAGTCTCCCAAAGTTTCTCTTAACACAGCATGGAAAGTACAAGCAATGATTCTTTAAGTTGTCCTTTAGAACATTCATCTTAAAACATGGGGTAAGGGAAGTTGTAATGTACTGGGCACTGCAGAATATTCTTGGAATTGTTGTAATTGCTTCTGATTCTGTTGATTTCTGGCATGCATATGTTGTTGCTGGGCAGTCCCAAATTATGCTGTACTGCATAATTAGAGGAATTAGAGATCAAAAGAAGGTGGGCAAGCATACCACCCACATGGTAGCTCCACTAAATACTGTTGGGCAGTTTTTCTGCTTTGCTCAATTAGCAAGAATCTGGTTATCACTTAACTGTTTCCTCTATTCAACTGATGTAAAATTTATCAGATTTGATAGGAAACATAAAACAAGCTGATGGAACACCCTGCTCTTGGATAGATACCGCCAACTTGCTTTATTTGAGATAGTGCTACTTCTGTGGCAGGGTTCTGAAGGTTAGTGTGCTATTTAACACTGAAATGAAATATATCCTATCTGGTTGCCTTGTATTCTAAGCTAATAGTTTGTACATAGAGACCCTGAAGACTACCCAGAAACATTCTGAAAAAAGCTTCAGCACTGTATCCTTTGTAACAAATTTGAGACACTGGTGGGTTTCATGATGTTCACTGTTGGAATCTAGATTTTGTTTTGTTAAAAAATACACTGTTCTTAAATTTGTAGAAGTTCATTTAAAAATGAAATATCACCCCTGCCAAAAGTCTGGAAACAGGCAAGAGATAATGAACCAGACCTTTTCCATATTAAAGTGTTATGTTTTACATTTCTCTGAATATAATAACAATGTAAGAATGTAGCCCCCATTTGTAGTGCCTCATCAGAATCCTGGATTTGCATGAAATCAGGGTGGGGTAAGGGGCAAAGTTACAGGCAGGTTGCGTAGAAGGTTGCCATGGCATGGTAGCAAAAAAAGAAGAAGAGAGGCATTATGAGGGGGAAAGTGGTTTTAAACAATGGCAGAAGTTTGAGTAGAGTAGCAGGGATGACACTGAGTGGGGCAAAGTGGCAGTTTAAAACAGGGTTTGAGTACACTGAGAAGGGAGTTTTGAAAGGCTTTGCTTTAGCTTTGTGCTGTTAGCTTCTGTGTTGTATGCATCTCTGCTTGTTCTCTTTCTTTGCTTTAAAACAAGCAAAAATCCTCAGTGGTCTTCCATTCTTGCTTTACTCAAACCTCTGCTGTTGTTTAAAATCACAACCCCCCCCCCAGGGTTACTCCATCACAGCTTTATTCAAACTTTTACCAGTTTAAAACAACCTCTTTTCCTTTTTCAATATTTTTCCTTATTGCTGAACTCAAACTTCTCTCTCTTCCATTCCTCAGAGAAATAAAGGATGCTGAGCCCTCAAATATCCCACAGTAGCTTCACAGAATGTATGTCACTCTTGATACCATGTGTTGTCTTCAACATGAAGTTCCAGATTCAGTGTAGTAATTTAGAAGAGTTAGTTTACTAACAATCAAACATCTATATATGTACAACATCCTTTAAAACTGAACAGCCCAACTGACAGTCTTGGTTTTAAGATTCTACTCATTTTTAAAGTTACAGTAATGTATATCATCATGGTGTGTGTCCACAAAGGGGGCTGCAGAATAGGGGAGTTGAGAAAGCATGCAAATGGTGATCTGTGTGCAAGGGAGAGTTGAGAAAAGTGAGGACGAGGGTGGAATAAAAAAGGGGGTGATGGTAAAAATAGGCGTGCAAAAGGGGTTGCAAAAAGAGGTAGTAAGAGGCATGGGAATGGGGTTGAAGACTAAAGCAGAGTCATGAAAGGGTCTGCAGAATAAGAGAGAATAGCTTCATAATTGAGTGGAAGGTGAAAAAGGTGCTTAGTTGCTCTGTGTTGAAAGAGGAAGGTACCTGAGATTACCATGGGGCTGGTTTGAATGTAAGGGTGTTGCACAAAAAGAGGACGAGGCACAGACAAGGGGGTGAAGATGAAATGAGTGCAAAGTGAGTCTATAGAATAGAGAGAACTGGCATCAGAAATGGGGTTTGAGAGGTGAAAAGTAAGCTTTGGAATTGCATGGGGTGGGAAGGGGAAGCTCTAGGGCAGGGGTCAGCAAACCTTTTCAGCTGTGGGCTGGTCCACTGTCCCTCAGACGTTGGGGGCTGGACTATATGGGGGGTGGGGAGAGAACAAATTCCTGTGTCCCACAAATAACCCAGAGATGCATTTTAAATAAAAGGACACATTCTACTCATGTAAAAACACGCTGATTCTCTGACCATCTGCAGGCTGGATTTAGAATCTTCATAGAATTTGTTGAATCTTCATAGAATTTTCGGGAGGCAGGGAGAGATGAAGAAAGAGCACAGATCTACCCATGGGTAGGCAAACTAAGGCCCGGGGGCCAGATCCGGCCCAATCGCCTTCTAAATTCAGCCCATGGACGGTTCGGGAATCAGCGTGTTTTTACATGAGTGGAATGTGTAATTTTTATTTAAAATGCATCTCTGGGTTATTTGTGGGGCATAGGAATTCGTTACCCCCCCAGTATAGTCCGCCCCCCACACAAGGTCTGAGGGACAGTGGACCACCCCCCTGCTGAAAAAGTTTGCTGACCCCTGCTCTAGGGGGTTAATGTGGGGGGCTGTTAGGTGGGTTGGTGAGCAGCACAAGCAGGCAGTGCAGCTGCTAGTGCTAGTAATACCGTTAGAATACAGTATCAAAAAAATTGGTTGCACAAAATCCAGCTGCAGTTTTGCATATCACTTGCTTGAACAGCAGCTATCAATTTTTCAGCTATCAGGTGGGGGATTTTATGTGTAAAAAACATTTGGAAGAGACAGTGGGATAGGGCATGTGCTCTGATGAATAGCTGTCACATTTACACAAAAGTCAATTGTACATGGTGCCAAGATAGCATATGTGCTGCCTGAAGTAGTACCTAAGAGCTGTCAGTAATCTGTGTGGGTTCAGAACGATGCATATGATTTCTTTCTCCCTGCTTCTCACATGTTTTGTAGAAAATCTTTGTCACATAGGTTTCATAGTTCAGTTTCTCTGTGAGACTGCAGTAAAAGCATGTTCTGAGAAAAATAACATGCAAAATCCTCATGGTTTCTGCATCCCACCCATGCTTCAAGCATCTTCATAAATTGGCAAGCTTAGCTATTCTGCCTAGGGAGGTAAACTGCAGACATAACACAAGGGTGTGTTTCCATGGTAATGTTGGTCTTCTAGTGCACAGTTAGATCTGCATACAAATCTGGAACTACCTTTTCCATTGTAGTCAGCTCGTGCTGCTGTCTGACATTCGTTGCTTTGTATTTTTCCCTGAGGTTGAGGGGGAAATTTCAGGGCATTAAAATAAATTCATTGTGTTGGCAGAATTACCAGTAAATGAGTAGAGCAGAGCATGAATAGGGTGGGGCATGTATTTAGCTCTCATTCAGTCAGTGGAAGTGAAAGGTGGTAGGCAGATTGGTACTTGAGGTCAAGGTAGAAGCAGGATTCTATATCTATTTTTATTGATTTGTATACATACAGCTTTTTATTTATAAATTTGTTCAGTTCAAAATATGCAAATAAATAAAATAAATAAATACAATTAACAGTTAAAATACTAGATAGTCATATCTTTTCAGCAGCTAGAACCCAAAAATATCTTAAAATTGGCTGTTGGAAAATGTCATGATAAACAGAATGGTCTTTAACTATCTGTGAAATTATCCTATCACCACTGCTCTCCTGATCTCCATAATTCAACATATTTTAACAAATTAAAATTATATAAACAATTGTGCTATAGAAGTACATACCATATATGAAGTATCAAGATAATAGAACTTCTAACATAGTGGTTTCTGCAGTGAACAACAACTGTTACAATGTAAGATTATATAGACAGGCGCAGCATTGATTTTAGTTACAGGTGACAGAAATCTGCAGCTGTGAAGTTTTCTTCTTAAAGTTACCCCTTTAAAACAACAAATGTAAAACAAACTTTATCGATAAACAGGTGTTATATATACAAGCATTAGTAATGACTTATAGAAAGCAACTATAATCAATTTCAGTATTCAAACCTGAGGGATGCAAAGAATCAAGTAGAAAAATAAATCTAGTTTCTTTCTGCATAAGAAATGACACCAAATCTCATCAAGAAATGATCTAACAGCAGCGCTATAACAATACCCTCACACCCTGTGGCAAAGACTGAAATCAAAGTTATATCCCATCTTGTATGTCAGGCCGTGCAAAAATATGCTGAGACAGCTTCATGGATGCAGTGGAGGCTGGTCCAGTAGAGGCAGATTAGGCATGAACTTTGAATTCTCCAGAACAGTCCTGGGGTTCACTAACACCACAGTCAAGGACACCTCCTTCAGCTAGGTCAGAGAAGCTGTTTGTTTAGCAGCAGGGTGGGTAGAACATCTGATAGCAACCCCAATCTATCTGGCCCAACAACAGGTGAAGGCCATCTAAGCCTGCTCCAATAGGGAGACGTTCTCTGGTGAATGCAGTGATAGCTTATGAACCACAGTGACTCTCCTCCTGCCTAGACCCACTAAAACCAAATGGTTATATGAAGACTGAGACTGCTCAGTAGGTGCTGAAAACTGATGGAGTGAGGGGAGATACCCAGAAAACAGGGTGGGTGTAGGCATGTGAATTGGAATGCAGTGTATTGGAAAAGGGCCTGGCTTGCTGGCTGGAACCTTAAATAAAAGCACTTCAGTGTTTTGTTGCAGGTCCCACTTGTAGATTCTGTTCTCAATGTAGTTTTGGCTGTGGAAATGCGGGTAGTTAAGAGGCAAAACATGAATGGATTAAAGGAGTCTTGGGAATTAATTATTGGCTTCTGTACCTTCAAGACTGAAAGGTTTGTCATTAACACTATGTCATTGAACTTGATGTTATCAGCTGTCCTCTTGCTCTCCTTGTGAAAGATGATTCTTGTAGGACAGCAGTTGTCTTCCTGATAATGATGGGGTGGAATGGCTAGAGGGGGCTTAATTCCCCAGTGGGGACTCAGTTTAGAAGAGCTGGGATAGTCAAAGCCTCTTTTCCCACCTGCTAGGAGATTATCAAACTGACAAAAAGGAAGTATAGATTCCCCAGCAGCTGCATACAAATTGTACAGCGCAGGGCCTCCCCTCAGAAGCAGCCCTGTCCTTCATGTAAGAACTATGGCTTTCTGGAATCACATCCACTAAAAAAAATGAATGTTACATTTAGAATAACTTGTGCAAGTTACGTACATTGCAAAAAAACCCTAGACATGTTTTATTCTGGTTGCATGTTCTGCAGAATTTGATTGAGCTGGGGAAGTTGAAATTACCTGAATTTTGACAGTGCAGAATGAAGGGAAGAATGCTCTGTAGTCATGCATATTTCTGTATCTCCTGATGAAACATAATTGTTTTTGTTGAGGACTTGCATGAATTGAGGGTAATCCATTTGATAACAGGTGGTGCTAGTTAATATATTTAAATCTGCCTCTCTGCTGGTACTGGGCATTTTTGTATACTAGAAATATAGAGCAGTCCTACAGACATACATGGACCTTCATTTCTGTCTTTTGAATCTGCATATTGGCATGTAGGTATATGATGGTCACCTTTTCTAACTGTGCTACACTTGGGTAAAATGGTTTCTCCAGCTTCCACAGGTTGTGAATCATGTGGACTATTCCAGATTTCTCATGCTGCAAGATCTGAGAAATAGTCATGCAACCTGAATTATTTGGGAATTAAAAGCCAGAAGAGTAACAAGGGTGATATTTCTGACCCTTACAAAATATGCAGACTACAGTGTTAGACAACCTCCTTGTGTCATTTTTTTGTGCATGGTGGGTAGCTTCTGGGACAAGGAATTGTTTTTTACCTCTCCACTGACTTCTTTTTTGTGCTCAGGTAGAAATTGTTTGCCAATTGGTGCTTCTGTTTCCAAAGTACTAACTATAAGCCCATTAAGGGAGATGGGGAGAAAACTAACTTTATTATGACAGGCTTCTCATGGTTAGAGCTCTTAGAATGTTACACAAGCAAGTCAGTAAATGTCTTGTTCTCACCAAGGGAGAGAACAATATGTTAGATTGTAGATGTTAACTACTGTACATCGAATAAAGTACCTTAATTTTTGCTGAGATATAGGTAGTAAATCTGAGAAAGCTAGGTTAATTGTGGCTGAGTAGATTTCTACAGAGACAGTTGTCTGTGTGGCTTTACTTTACATAGTACAGTTTTGTCAATACAAGTCCCAAACAAAACACTGTCCTGCCATTTACTTTTTTGCTTAGTTATGCTGTTATTGCCTATGGATGTGCAAGCTGCCCCAAACTGACGTGTGAGAGAGAAGGCTGCCAGACTGAATTTTGCTATCACTGCAAGCAGATATGGCACCCAAACCAAACTTGCGACATGGCCCGCCAACAAAGAGCACAAACTCTGCGGGTACGGACAAAGCACACCTCAGGCCTCAGTTATGGACAAGAATCTGGACCAGGTATGTACCAGTGAGCTACTTGCCAGTTATTGCAGTTGTGTGTGAAGATCTCGGAAAGAGATTGACTTGATTAAATGTGACTTTTACCTATGTATGGTAGCTAAATTTCAGCAATGTAAAAGGCAAAGGTTTATACACATACACATGCACTCCTCTATCTAGGCAAGCAGGAAGCATCATCACAGTTCAAGAACACATTCTGGACAGGCAAAACTACTTGAGGAGAATAAGGGATGTGGCCTGAGAAGAATCTCAAGGTTGGATAGAGAGGCCTTGAGGGATGCTTTTAGCACCGAGGTCTAAGATTCCACACCTCTGTTTTAAAGTACCCACTTGCTTCAAGTGAGTTATAAAATTTTTACCTCAGACATAACATAACTATTGAACATAACTAGTTCAAATCAAATGTCATTCTTCAAATTGCATGCTGGCAACAGCAGTGTGTTTTGGTGGAGTTGGGAACATAGAAAGCTGCTTTCTGCTAGGTCAAACTGTTTCTCCATCTAGCCCAGTGTTGTTTAATCTGACTGGCAGTGGCTCTCCAAGGTCTCAGGCAGAGGTCTTTCCCCATCACTTGATATAACTAGAGATGCCGGGGACTGAATTTGGGACCTCCTGAATTTAAAGGACTTGCAGTAATAATGAGCTATGATCCTATGCAGCCTTGTTAAAAATATCAGGGATGAATTACTTGTCAGGCCCAGAATACTCTTACCCTTTTAGACTAAGAATGAGTTTCTCAGGCAATAACCTTACCAAGTTCCTTACCAACCTTTCAGACATTCATTCTCAGTCCGCCCCCCTGCCTATATGACAGGATTGTAGTAAGGATAAAATGGGGGTGGGAGGGAGGAGCATATTCTCCCTTGAACTCCATGAAGGAAAGGTGAGATTTAAATTTGGAAAATAAGTAAGTCAGGCCATGGTCCTAAGCACAGTCAATTGAATTAGAAACAATGAGGTATTTGAATCTTGACCTGCCACGTGATTTAAACACTTTTTTCATTCAAAGGAGGATGGGCTGGAAGAGTAAGACTGGTGGTTCTTTTACCTTCTTTCTTACAATGGAAGATCTCAAAGATTTTCAATTCCTTCTTGGGATTTATTTTAGGTGCACAAAATTTGACTGGGTTCTCCTTTTCAATTCCATAGCAGATGACATCAAGCCATGCCCACGTTGCAGTGCCTACATCATCAAGATGAATGATGGCAGCTGTAATCACATGACTTGTGCTGTATGTGGCTGTGAATTCTGCTGGCTTTGTATGAAGGAAATCTCTGATTTGCATTACCTCAGGTAAGTTGGATGGTAAAATGCCCTCAAACTGCTCTACCTTGCTAGAGCTATGTTGCTGTGGTCCAAAACCTTTACTACTCAAAAGATACTGTGCTGTGGGAGTATCAAAACAGATAAAATATTGATTTGTGTTCTCATACATAGAAATGTAGAACGATGGACTTAAAATTGATTGGAGATGGCCTTAGCACCCTTCCCAATTTCATGGGCAGCAGCACTTGCTTCTCTAAGAGCGTTCTGTCATTTTTGCTCCTTGGCATGATGTTAAAACACACCTGAATGCTCCCGGCCAGCAAACTGCTAAAATATTTGTCTTTTATAGAGGTGGGCATACTTGCTGATGATCAATTAAGCAAGGGCATTTGATTAGCAGCCCCTGTCTGCTATTTAGCCTCTTAATTCCTATGGAAGCAGTAAGGGTGCACTTAGTTTTTCCACACATGATTTCTCCATCTTGGCTTTATTTCTGTTAAACAAATCATGACATGGTGTAATATGTCATGTATTGTTGTTTATCTGAGGTTGTATTTACCTAATTTTAAGACCTGTTAAGGAACAAATGATTACTATTATGTCCTGCTATGTAAAACCACAGAATTCAAAGGAGGTGCACTTTATTTTACCCATGACTATACTTGGATCAGCTGCAGGGGTGGGGGGCTGTGTACTGTGTACATACATGTGTGTGCGTATTATGTGTCTGTGAGAAAGTGTGCCCCCCCCCCATTGCTGGCATGTGGCCCTTGGAGGGTTGGCAGCGAGGGAATGCATGCCTCAGAGCAGCATTTGAAACTCCCATTGTTCTAGGTGCGTTTTTCGACAGGGAATTTCTTTTTTTCTTTTTTTTTGCGACAGGGAATTTCATTAGCGAGAGCAGTTTCTGAGCCTAAAATTTCAGATTAAAACTGCACAGTGGAAGGAAAGGAGGACTTTTTTCTGCCTGCCCATTTGCAGCCACTCTCTGAAGACTGGAAAAGAAACCCTCTTAAGAATATTAGGGGGGTGGGCAGGGGAAGAATGGCTTTGTTTTTTGCAGTCTTCAGGTGAGGACTAGACCATGTGAAAAAAGAACATGAGACTTTAGCTGTAGTTCATTCGTTTTCATTTTTGTATTCTTGTTATTAAAAAAGCGCACCTAGATATTCTGTTGTTGTGTGCATAACCTAGATTTAAGGTGCCATTTAGCTCCTAGCTTTCATATCTCAGTTTCTAATTCTGCCGCAGTCGAAACAGTTCCCCATCTGTGCTGTAGACACACCTTTAGCTACTTGGACAGGAAGAGGAGGGAAGAGGTTTGGTAAAACTTTTGTGGGCAGGTGTCTGCCTTCCCCCCATTTTTGAATCTTGTTCCTCTGAAGACCAAATATAAAATCTCTTGCAGCCCTTCTGGTTGCACATTCTGGGGCAAGAAGCCATGGAGTCGTAAAAAGAAGATTCTCTGGCAGCTTGGAACATTGATTGGTGCCCCAGTGGGTATTTCCCTCATTGCTGGCATTGCCATTCCAGCCATGGTCATTGGAATTCCGGTTTATGTTGGGAGAAAGGTAAGAATAATAACTGTATACGCTGAATTAAATCCAACTACAAGGCTGATGGTTTTTTTTGCAGGGGGGAGGGGAGGTGCAGAAGTGGTGGTGGTTCCCCTGATAGTTAAGAGGGACCATACAATACCTTTGAATATCAATCATTGGTAATGACAGTGGAGGAGGGCTTTTGTACACATAGCTGTTTGTGGACTTCCCATTGGCATCTGGTTGGCTACTGAGAAACAAGATGCTGGACTAGAAGGGCCTATAGTTAGATCCAGGAGGCTACTCTTAGGTTGGAGGTGGAGAGATCTCAGTGATAATTGAAGTTTGCATTGTGGGACCTGGGGTGGGTAATATTTCCTTAGAACACGTGTGTGGCCAGCCCAAATGCATATTGCCTGCGGCTTTGCATGCCTAGTAAGTTTCATTGAAGTTGCTGATTTTGTGGCATTGATTCTTGTTGATGGTCCCTGCTCTGATTTCTGCCAGCCTGTCCAGTTATGGACAGAGTGAGACTTCCACCTCTAGAGGGCCCTTTAGCCTCTCTTCTTTTTTCTGGAGAATCCATCTCTGCTATAAACTATTAAGAGCTGCAGTAGGTAACATCTTCCTAGAATGCCATTCTTCTTTGTGTTGCATTGCCTGTTTTATCCTTGATTCTTCTTATATCAGATTCATAGCAGGTATGAGGGGAAAAAAACCTCTAAGCACAAGAGGAACCTGGCCATCACTGGTGGAGTAACCTTATCTGTGATTGCATCGCCTGTCATTGCTGCTGTCAGTGTAGGTAAGTAGATGAGTTCTGTGTTAGAAAGCACAGGATGATATGCTTTGGCTACTGCTTCAGTCTGACAGTGGCGTTAAGAATTTCCAAACCCCAACACTGCTTAGATGGGTTATAACTTAATTACATGGAACACATATATTTAAGTTCAGGATGCAATGCAGTGCCTTTGCAGAGCATCTGCAGAACTTGGGATGGGTGGTGGTGGTCAGTGTTCATGCTTTGCGGAGTGGTGGGGAATTCCTTTCTGCTCAGTAATCTTCTGGCATTGCGGAAGTGGTACAGTGGTACCTAGGGTTAAGAACTTAATTCGTTCTGGAGGTCTGTTCTTAACCTGAAACTGTTCTTAACCTGAAGCACCACTTTTGCTAATGGGGCCTTCTACCGCTGCGCCGTTGCTGCACAATTTCTGTTCTCATCCTGTTCTTAACCCGAGGTAATATTTCTGGGTTAGCGGAGTCTGTAACCTGAAGCATATGTAACCTGAAGCGTATGTAACCCGAGGTACCACTGTACAGCCAAGGCCTTCCTTTGAGAGAGCTCAGGAAAACAAAACTATCTTTCTCCTCCCTGTCCCTATAATAGTTATGGAGTTTTCTATCACTTATATTAATGTTGCCATGCACCACCTCTGTTTTCTATAGCAGGGGCAGTCAACATGGTGCCCTCCAGCTTTTGTAGTACCACAGCATCTTTTACAATAAGCCACACTGAATGAGGCTGAACATTGTCACTCCCTTCTTTGCTTGAAATAATAACTCAATAAAAAGTTGTGTTCTTTCCTTGAAAATGAGCCTTGGTCAATACCTTCCCTAACATTACTTAAATAGGCAACTGTGTCCAAGCAACAGAGCCTGCTTTCAAAAAGAAGTAGCTCTGCTTCCTTTATCCATGCCCAGTAGATTTATATGGTTTCTTTTGCTGATACCCTTGATATGGTTTCCATTCATAGATCTAGAGGATGTTTGCTTTTACATTAATATCAACTGCAACTCTATAGATCTCTTGTTGTGATTCGCAATACCTGCTACTGGTATTACCATATTTTTCGCTCTATTGGACGCACCGGACCACAGGACGCACCTAGTTTTTAGAGGGGGAAATCAAGGGAAAAAATATTATTCCCCCCCAGCCCCAAAGAGCTTCTCCCAGAGCTTCTCGGGGCTGCGGGGGAAGCCTGGGTTCCCCCCCCCAGCCCCAAAGAGCAAAGAAGCCAAGACAGCGAGCGGGATCCATAGCCGTGCAACCTCTCCAGCGCAGCTAAAGAAGAAGACAAGGCAGCGAGAGCAATCCATCCCGCTCACTGCCTTGGCTTCCTCTTTAGCCTTGAGCAGCATCTTTAGCCTTGCGCAACAGGATGGATCGTGCCCGCTGTCCACCGGGGCTGGACTAGATGACTCCTGGGGTTCCCTTCCAACCCTGCAATTCCATGACCTTGGAAGGTGTTGGGGGTCTCCACCACTGGAGGCTTTTAAGCAGCAGTTGGGGGACCATCTGCCTGGTGTTCTTTAGCTGTAATTCCTACATTGTGAGGGGGCTGGGCTAGATGACCCTCGGGTGGCCCTCCCAACTCTATACAGTCCTACACGTCTGCGGCAGGAGATCCACAGCCACTTCACACAATGCCCACTCCCAATTTTCATTGGAGAGACATGTGGCTGCAGTGTCTAGATAGGTACCCCCCTACCTGCCACTCTCCCCCCACCCCACTTAAGCCGAGGGAATTCCTGCCCAGAGAAGCTCCCAGGTGAGGCAAGGGTTAAGATCTACCTCTGGTAAATGGCTTTCCCTTTTCTCTTCTTCTTCTGTGCTATTTCCTTCTTTTGTGTTTTGTTTAATCTGTTTTTATTGTATACTAAAATAAAAGCTGCAAAGTTTCCTTTTTTATAATATCCCCCCCTCCAAACTAAAACGTTAATCTAGATAAAAACACTGATCCAGAGGAAAAGAAGGGGGTGGAGAAAGGACGAAAAAAGAAAAAGAGGTAGAGATTGAAAGATTTTTTAAAAGTTGGCTTCTTTAGCCTTGCGCAGCCTCCCGCGGCTGGAGAGCCGCGCAGGGCTAAGGAGGAAGCCCGGGCAGCGAGGGGATGGATCGCGCTCGCTGCCCTGGCTTCCTCTTTAGCCCTGCTCAGCCTCCCACGGCTGGAGAGGCGCACAAGGCTAAGGATGAAGCCCGGGCAGCGAGGGGATGGATCACGCTCGCTGCCCGGGCTTCCTCTTTAGCCCTGCTCAGCCTCCCGCGGCTGGAGAGGCGCGCAAGGCTAAGGAGGAAGCCCGGGCAGCGAGGGGATGGATCGCGCTCGCTGCCCGGGCTTCCTCTTTAGCCCTGCTCAGCCTCCCGCAGCTGGAGAGGCGCGCAAGCAAAGAAGGGAGTGACAATGTTCAGCCTCATTCAGTGTAGCTTATTGTAAAAGATGCTGTGGTACTACAAAAGCTGGAGGGCACCATGTTGACTGCCCCTGCTATAGAAAACAGAGGTGGTGCATGGCTCCCAGAAAGCCTTAATCCTTGGGCAAGTCCACCAAAGGTGAAAGAATGTACCTTCAGTCTCTTTACATTTCCAACATTTATTATCGGGCAAGTGATAGATTTTTGCAAGCTTGACTGGTGTCATGTACCACCTGTATATCATTTTCATAATATTCTCTCTTAAGGCATTACATGCCGTAAACTTCATACCTGTGGTCCATAACTGTTCCCAGTCAGCCATCATTATGTTATGTCCAACATCTTGTGCCCACTTAATCATAGCAGATTTCACCGTTTCATCCTGAGTATTCCATTTCAACAGCAAGTTATACATCTTTGACAAAATCTTAGTTTTGGGTTCTAACAGTTCTGTTTCTAATTTTGATTTTTCCACCTGGAAGCCAATTTTCTTGTCCAAATTGTATGCCTCCATTATCTGATAATAATGAAGCCAATCTCGCACTTTTTTTTTTAGTTTCTCAAAACTCTGCAGTTTCAATCTATCTCCCTCTTGTTCCAGAATTTCCCAATATTTCGACCATTTGGCCTCCATATTGAGCTTTTTCTGAGCTTTCGCTTCCATCTGTGACAGCCACCTTGGGGTTTTGTTTTCCATTAGGTCCTTATATCTTACCCAGACATTAAACAATGCTTTCCTGACAATATGATTTTTGAATGCTTTATGTGCTTTGACCTTATCGTACCACAAATATGCATGCCATCCAAATACATTATTAAAACCTTCTAAATCCAAAATGTCTGTGTTTTCAAGAAGCAGCCATTCTTTCAGCCAGCAAAAAGCTGCTGATTCATAATAAAGTTTAAGGTCTGGCAGGGCAAATCCACCTCTTTCCTTTACATCCATTAGTATTTTAAATTTTATTCTAGGCTTCTTGCCCTGCCAGACAAATCTAGAAATATCTCTCTGCCACTTCTTGAAGCAATCCATTTTGTCCAAAATTTGCAATGTTTGAAACAAAAACAACATTCTAGGCAATACATTCATTTTTATCGCAGCAATACGGCCTCCCGTTTTCACCTTAGTCGAGATATAAAGTCATTTATCTCCCTGCCTCCCCCACCCACAATGGCAGGAAGTTTGCTTTGCACACACTGGGTGTCAGTTTCATAATTGTCTTCTATCTTCATAGAATCAAGGATTTTTGCTAGAATAAAATGTTTGTTGTGACTTAGTGCAAAGGCAAACTGGTTTCAAAGCTCTCTTGTTTGGTTGTTTCAACTTTCATGCTTTGCTAGTTGGTCAAACAGCCTATAATCACAAATCTCAATTGAGAAATGGCTACTTTCTCATTATATCCTGGGTGTCTCTGTTATACTACAAAGCTCCCACTATGCTCACTTAATCCTTGATGTGAAAGTTTGTGCTGGTACTGCAGTTGAAAGAGACATTCTCCTGAGGTTTTCAATCACTCAGTTATGGAATAGCACACAAACTGCAAGAAAGAAAGGCAAGCTACTTACATGTTACTGCTGTTCTTCTAGTAGCCATCTGTGTAATCTATGCAAACTACTCTTCTCTCCGGATGATAGTGTTCTTAGTCTCTGACTAAGCACATTCATGGTGGTAAGAAGATAACTGAGCGAGATGTCACTCATCCTGTCCTTGAAGAATGTGCAGAGAGGACATGTACCTGTATTTGTAGGATTCTGGTTTCCTACTAACTTTTATTCTTTTTTTCCAGGTATTGGAGTCCCTATTATGTTGGCATATGTCTATGGAGTCGTGCCAATTTCTTTGTGCCGTGGTGGTGGTTGTGGAGTTAGCACAGCCAATGGGAAAGGAGTCAAAATTGAGTTTGATGAAGATGATGGGCCAATTACAGGTAAAGAAGTAACTGTGTTTTTAATCTTATTGGGGAAAAACAACTAGGACTGTGCTTAACAGCTGTATCCAGGGGCAAGTGGAAGGGTTAGATAATTGATGGGGTGAACTTGTAAGGTCAGTTTGATTTTCTTTCTCTTTCTTGCTAACATTACAAACACATTACTTTGTACATATTCTTCACTTGCTGCTCCAAACTGATAGGGACGAAAATATTTAAAACTACTAGATTCATTCAGCTTCATTGTTTTGCTTCCAGGTATGCTAGTTTACATAGAACTTAATTGGCTAATGTAGGAATGCTGCTGTCAAGTCACCTTTTGTGTTATGTTCCTTCTCATATTTTTCATGGTCTCTAGTGGCGGATGCTTGGAGGGCTCTGAAGAATCCCAGCATTGGGGAAAGCAGCATTGAAGGCCTTACCAGTGTGCTGAGCACCAGTGGGAGCCCTACTGATGGGCTCAGTGTCATGCAGGGCAACTACAGTGAGACAGCCAGCTTTGCTGCGCTCTCGGGGGGCACCCTGAGTGGTGGAGTCCTCTTGGGAGGGAAAGGAAAGTACAGCAGGTAATTAAAAGTTCATTTAGGCTATAGCACCTGTGTGTGATATCATGGGTTTGAGACTCAGTCATAAGTAAACCTAGTTTGCTTGTATTGCACAACCCCAAGCTAGGTGTTCCCATGCAAGAATGTCCCCTGTTCTTACTTCATGGTTCTTTTAGATTAGAAATAAAAATGAATTGGGTTAAGTCTTTTCTGTCCTTTCGTCATGCATTGTCTTGCATGCTTTAACATCCCATAGGCACAATGACAAGAAAGCTTGCCTCCTGAATCATAAGGTTATAAGGTCTGTTCCTCTGATTCAGTGTCTGAAATAGGCAGCTGTGTAATCAAATCTCTATCCAGCACCAAATATACAGCCGAGAATTTGACTGTAGAATGTATGGGAATGTGCTACACAGGAACTGTTAGTCATGACCACAGACATGACCTAATCCTGTTCTAGAGAAAAACAGGCAAAGCAAAATTCAGCAAAATAAGTTGTTGCTTAAAACTGAATCACTTTATGCTTAATTCTTGTGAATTAAATAACTCCTTTGTTTGGTCAAACATCAAGTGAGGTGGGAGAGCTACATTAGTATAAAGAACCTAATAAATTCCTGTCCCTTGCCCAGGCTGGAAGTGCAGGCTGATGTCCAGAAAGAGATTTTCCCGAAGGACTCGGTCAGCCTTGGAGCCATCAGTGACAATGCCAGCACGCGAGCTATGGCAGGCTCCATCATTAGTTCTTACAACCCCCAAGACAGGTATGTTAATGCAGTTAGTTTGTGTTTGTAATGGGGTCAGTGGTCTCTGAAGAAAGCCCATCATTTTTGTTCTGATCTTGTCAACAGACGTTGGCAGGAGGTCACCATAACTTGTTTTCTATGGAAAACTTCATTTAGTGAGAAGAGCCTTTTCTTGAATGGCAGATTTGGATGGAAAGTTGGATGAATGTGGCTTGGTGTGGACTTTGTTGACTATCATTCTCTGCAGATCATTCAGAAGTATTTAGCTACAGGGGCTGATTAATGTGTAGTGAAAATTTAACTGGAAGCTTAAGACATAAGAATACAAATACTGGATACTTCATTATTCTGCGACTAACTTAAAGAGTAAATTTTCAGATACAGTGGACCCTCAGGATATGTACTTAATTCGTTCCGGGGGTCCGTACGTACCCCGAAAAGTCTGCAACATGAGGCGCCACTTCTGCACACACACGCGGCGCGATAGAGCGCTTCTGTGCATGCGCACACGGCGAAACCTGGAAGTTTACATTTCCAGGTTTGCCATGTTCGCAACCCAAACGTTACGTTACCCGAAGGTAATGTAACCTGAGGGTCCACTGTACCTCTCTTGCCACTTTGTTTCAGCTAACATATTTCTATGTGCTCTCAGTGTACTTCAACTGTTGCCTGCTCTTATAGGCTTGCAGCACCTAGTTGGAAGCAACAACTTTTGCATAAAGTTATGTGGAATGTTTTCAGGATTCTTTAGTTCTGTGTGTGACCTAGAATCAGGGAAGGCTGCTGAAACTCAGGATGACAGTTCAAATCACTTGCAGGAGTTAGCCATCTCATTATTTTGAATTGGTTGTACAGCTGTTGCAGGCTGAAAGAGTGAGGTTCAGAACAGGACTAGATGAGCCTTTGGCTTGATCCAGCAGGGCTGCACTTTGTCAGTGTTTAAAAAACATCTGTCTGTCTATGTGTCTAAGTGTGTGTTTTTGTGCACACATATGGACCCACATTGGAGCAGTGACTTAATGTTGTTGATGTTAACATTTTGGGTTTTTTCTAGCCAAAGGCTCAGGTAGTGCACACACATCAGGGATACATAGCAATATGTTGTGGGGCCTTGTTCATGTATTATACTGTTTATTTTGTAGTAGGTTTTAAAAAACTATATTAGAAATGTTAGCTTGCCAGAATTTCAGAATTGCAATAAATAGTTCTGAAATAAAAGTTGTCTCCTAGAACTCACATGGGCTCCTCCTTCCACAGAGAGTGTAATAATATGGAGATCCAGGTGGACATAGAGACCAAGCCGAGCCATTACCAGCTTGTTAGTGGGAGCAGCACAGAGGATTCTCTCCATGTTCACACTCAGATGGCAGAGAATGAGGAGGAGGAAGCAGAAGAAGAGCAGGAGCAGATGTGCAACCACCAAAGCTGTGAGCAAAAAGACTGCATTGCTAGCAAAACCTGGGACATCACTCTAGCACAGCCTGAAAGCATCCGAAGTGACTTGGAGAGCTCAGACAGTCAGTCGGACGATGTGCCTGACATTACCTCTGATGAATGTGATTCCCCCTATCCCCAGACTGCTGCCTGCCTGCATCCCCCAAACGCCAGAGGTGCTGAGAGCCCAAGTGCCCATATTGGCCAGTGTGCCCAAGCAGAAGGGCACAGGCCAGAGGAGAGAGTCTCTATGCTGGAGTGCATTGAGGCCCGAGTATGAGGCCGCTCTCTCCTGAGAAGAAGCACACTGATTGTTACTGCCTCTACTATGGTGAGGGCCACCCAAGAGTGGGGGTGATTATGTCATTGTTGGCTTTTGTTTCTGATTCCCCAGACTGCTGCCCTAACCTGACTCTGGGGAAATGGCATTTCTTACACGATAATAAACCCTTGATCTCTCTCTTTTTTTTAATTTATTGGTTCAAGCGCTTGGTGATGCTCTGTGAGTTGTGTAAGAGTGTACATAAAAGTGTGCGTGTACATCGTATGTCTGCCAAACATACGCCTAAAGAACGCCTTTAATAAAGATTCCTGTTGCCATTCATAGTGGATCCTGTCCTCCCTTTTCATAGGACTAGTAAGTTCTTCTGAATTTTCCTTGTTGCGCTCCTGCCTTGGTAAAGCTTGTTCCTTGCCCTAAAATATAAGTGATGTACCTCTAACTCAGTCTGATTAGTGCTGTTGTGTAGAAGCCTGGGTGTGGCACACATACTTCCAACAAGAGTAAGGTGAAAGTTTGAATTTGCTGCCCTCTAGAGGCTGCTTGAGTCTCTGCAGTTGCAAGTTTGCTTTGCATCATGACAGAGCACTCAGTGATACTGTGGTGTTGAATGCTCTGAGACTATTGAAGTGATAAGGACACTTGACAACAATACACTTCATTTAGGAGGCATAGCCTGAAGGAAATGAGTCCAGAGGAAAGCTTGATGCAGCTTGCAACTGGAGTGTGGCAAGTGACTGGAGGGCTGAAGTGGAACAGATGTATGTCATGTAACAATAGCCCCACTGGGTACCCCCACATTGTATAACAGGAATGAGTGTAAAAGGCTGCGAAAGATAGCAGAAGCATAAAGGTGAAGGAGGCTCTTCGGAAAATGTTATTTATTTATTTGTTTGTTTGTTTGTTTGTTTGTTTATTTGACTCTTTCACATCCTGTTAGTCCTTGTATAAGCAGCTTTGCTTTTCTGTGCGCGCATGCACATCCACCCACACACCCTTAACCCTTCATGCAGAGGTGTTTAGAGTGAAAGCCTCTCAGAGGGCAAAGTGGAGATCCAAATATGTAGGAATACTATGTGGTACAATCCCCTCAAGCCTTTGTGGGTTTGTTTTGCGTATTTGAAAGCTCCCCAGTGTCAAACATTTCCTGCATGTAGAAAGTGGAAACTTTCTCCTGATAACACTAGCTTTTCATGTTTGGGAGGTTATATGTATTAAAAATGTGACAACTACTTTCATTCTGAAGTGGTATAGGTCCTGAGGATCCAGTACCATATACTTGCTCTGACTTACTGTTCAGCAGTTCACTGTTCAGTAACCAAAACCGAGTTTCCCATTCTCTTTGCCCAGACAGTTTCTGGTATCTGGTATACAAAGTGTTGTGTGCACAGGACAAGACGCCTGCATCCGGTCTGAAGCCTGCATCCTCCTTGCATTACAGTTCAAGGGCTAGTTGTGAATGCTGCCTCCACAATACAAAATTCATGACTGAAGCACTTTACAGCCAAATTTTCCTACACTTCTATTCTTGTAGCCTTATGCAAGATGCCCAACTGTTAAACTGCTGTTTGAATTTCTAAATATTTCAGCATTTTTCTCCTTAATGAGCTCTGGAGCAGAGCAGTTAAAACAAGTGCAATCAAGGAGAGGAAATAGCTGTCATTACTGCTCCATTCTAAAATTAGAAAGAGAAGGAGCAGCAGTACAGAGCAGCACCAGTTTGGTAGTCCTGTGCAGAAATAGATGGGGTGCTATCTGAGTTGAACCTAGTAATGAATGACTGTCAGGATACTGGTGATGTGAATAATTGACTGTGTGTGTCCCTGACATACCAGTGATGGTGGCATGTAGAAGATAATACAGAAGTTACAATGAAAGTTCTCAAAAAACCCACACACAGCTGGAATACTGATAGCAGCCCTATGCGTGGTGAGAGAATAAGGCACAGGATCTGTACTGCTAGACCAGTCCCTATCTATCTCCCACAGTGGTGACCAAATCTTTCTAGGAAGTTCACAAGCAGGGCATGATAGAGAATAATTCTGTGTTAATGCATTTTTATCCTGCTCTTCACCCCAAAAAGGCTCCCAGAGCATTTAACAAATGTTAGTCCCTGCCCCCAGGCTTGCAATCTCAATACACGACTCAAAAAGAAAACAGACTGGGAAGGAGGATGGAAAAAAGCAAACTCAGGTGCTATTTATTCCTTAACTGATCAGTTAAAATGAAAATATTTCAAGGAGAAGAGGAGCCAAAAGTTGCTTGTCTTCCAGTAATGCTGGTTGAGAGGCTCCACAGTTCCATCTCACTTCTACAGCCTGGTGGAATGGTTGCTGTAGATAACAGCTGAAGGAGGAGCCTGACGGAGCTAATCTTCAAGCAGAGTGGACAGAGAGGCCCTGCAATCCCATCTCTCCCCCCCTGCCCACCTTCCCTGCTGCTGAATGGCCATAAGTGCTGGTAGTGAGCAGCCTCTGAACATGGTATTAACATTATAACTATGGATGTGGGAAATTTGGAGACTCCCTGCGTGTAATGTCAAAATACCCTTGACCTTCAGCAGCTCCCACCAAAAAATCCTATTGGAGCACTCAACTGTGTTTAAGAAGGAATCACCCTCTAGCCCAGACTGGTTATGATACTGGGATGTGCATGTGGTGATTGTTTCCTTGCAATGCAGCTTCACTTGCTCTAGTGAGTCCTCTGAAACTAGGTCTCTGTGAGTACCTGAAATTTCTCTGCTTGTGATTTGGATTGCCTGGAGATCTGAGGGAGACCTTGGGGAATGGACGACACTTGGAACTAGGCATTTTGGTCCTTCCATGCTCTATGAGTCTGTTCTGTCTCTTTCTGTTGTGTGATGTGAAAAATTGGCAACCTCTTGAGGTTTCTGTTACAGCTTAATAGCTGAAGGGACTTAGCTGGTGGGCGTTGATAGTATAGCTGATTATCCCAGAATCTGCAGTGCAAGCCAAACTCTCCTATTGGTGAATGAGATAGAAAAGGTAAAAGCCATGCAGCAAAGGAAGAAAGCAAGGGGCGTAGTTCAGTAGCAGAGCACCTGCTTGCATGCAGAAGATCCCAGGTTCAACCCATTGCATTTTCAGGTGGTGTAGGGAAATTAGCTGGGCCTATATTCCGATTCCAGATAAGGCAGCTAATTCAGCATTGTCAGCAGTGACCGGCTCTCCAGGTTTCAAACAAGGGACATTTCCCTATACCACCTGAAAATGCAATGGGTTGAACCTGGGATCTTCTGCATGCAAGAAATTGGGTAAAAGTGACATACAGACAGGGCAGACGAGTTCAGGTTCTAACAACAACAACAACAACAACAACAACAACAACATAAATAATTTATTATTTATGCCCCACCCACCTGGCTGGGTTTCCCCAGCCACTCTAGGCGGCTCCAAACAGAATATTAAAAACACAACAAAACATCAAATATTAAAAACTTCCCTAAACAGGGCTGCCTTCAGATGTCTTCTAAAAGTCAGATAGTTGTTTATTTCCTTGACATCTGATGGGAGCACGTTCCACAGGGCAAGCGTCACTACCAAGAAGGCCCTCTGCCTGGTATACTGGGCCGAGGCCGTTTAGGGCTTTAAAGGTCAGCACCAACACTTTGAATTGTGCTCGGAAACGTACTGGGAGCCAATTGGCTGACAAAGAGAAGTCTTCAACCAAGCCTTTGGCTGATAAACATACTATATCTGTTTAAATGTGGGGATTTGGGGGGGGAGGTATTGGGTTGTTTTTGTTTTTATTATGTATTTTGTGTTTTTATCTTGTATTTTTATGCTGTGAAGTGCCCTGAGAACTCCAGATGGAGGGTGATATAAAATTAGATAGATAGCCACAGTCAGCCAGCCTTAGGAAATTACCAGAGCACACTTGCTGTTGGTGGTATGGCTCACATTGCCTTAGAAGAGCACCAGATGTTTGTGTGCCTGCTTGCTCCTCGCCCTTCCTGTATCTCTTGGTAAACATATTAACTTTTAAAAGATGCTATTTTCAAATGTTTTACAACAAACAAAGGGAAAGAGCAGTAAATATGCAGTTTCCTCTAAGCACAGTTGCATATATATGTGAAATCGGGGGTGGGGTGGTGGTGTTGCAATCAGAACATGCAGAAAACGAAATGCACAAGGTGCTGCAATAACTCAATTGCATGAATCCTTACAAAGAAATTCTGACTCTAAAGCACTTCTGGAGGTTGGAAGGTGGGTACTATGGTCTGGCTTTCCAGAGTGTGTGAGGAATGGGACCAAGTGGCTTCTGTGAGAGCAGTGCTGGCTGCGTAGTCTACTATAAGAACTACAAATCGCTGTGTGTGTATTTTTGTCTGGCAAATGCTGGTGGCACTACAGCAAAGTGAATCCAAGAAGCCAATGGCCCTAAGAATAGACATGCAGAAAGATTGTTGTGCACCTGACTCTGCTGCCTTCGAATTTGTGACATCCGGAATTGCAAGTTTCAGCACCTTGAAATGCAGGGCTGATCAAAAGATATTCAAGTTACTGCTCTGGAATGACACTCCTGATTCTATTTTGGAATGCACATAGCTTTTCAAAGCCACATTTTCTGTCTCAAATGTTTTGCAGATGGGAGGAAGAGAAATAAATACCAAAACTCTTGCAGTAAAAAGCATGCAGAGGGGGCAGGGTGGGAAGCTTAGATCAGACAAACCACTGGAGTCTGAGCATGTTAAGTCAAGCTGACATACCTGGGGAGCAAGTCAGGAAGGCTGGAGCAAGGAACTCCAGAGTGGGTGGGGTTTGGGAGGTGAATCACATTTCCTGCGGGAAGGAGAAGGTGGAGTTTGGCCCTTTGTTCTAGAGCCTGGAGAGCTGGTCAAACAGGAAGAGCTGATTTCAAATTGCAGTTGTAGGGTTGGAGGAGGAGGAGGGTTGATGCTGAGAGCCAGGCGGCACCAGAAGAAGCGCGAAATAGGTGGATGGTCAAGAAGTGCCAAGGCAGCTGCAGCTGCAACAAGGCCAGCTCCCAGGTGCTCTGCAGAGACAACGAGAACAGAGGACTTTAACTCATGTATTTTGATGGCCTGATCCCAAACTGCAAAGATGTGTCGGCTGGGTGAGTTGGCTCCTCTCCAAAGTCAAAGGCAAGCGGGGCAGGGCAGTCCCTTGGCACTTCCCTTCCCTAGAAAGGTGTCAGTACCTTCAGGCTTCCTTGCAACAGTGCCAAGTGTCCCACGATGCAACCAGACACAGCTTAAGAGGTTTGGCTCAGCATCTTCAATGGCAGCCAACCTGGCCACCCTCTGGCTAGTGGATTACAGCTACTATTAGCGTTAGCCAGCAAGGCTGTGCTGGTCCTGGGACTGATGGGAGTTGCAGCCCAAAACATCTGGAGGGCACAAAGTTGGTGAAGGCTGTTCTGTGGCATCAAAGGGATCCTGGGTTTCAGCAGTATATGAGGTCAAGGCACAGTGTTTGAGAAAGTGATTTGCCCAAGGCTGGCTAGTAGAATAAAAATGGAACTCCTATTTTCTTCTTCAGCTCTTGGTGGTTTTTGTTCTTTATAAACAGCTTTGGTTAGAACCATCAGCACACATGGGACTTTACAAATTTTCATAATCCCCCCCCCTGCCCAAAAGGCAGGCACCTGTGCCTAAGGTGCTTAAGTGAAATGTTGACAAGTGAAGAAAACAGGGAGGAAGACTGTGCGCCCTGGGAAATCACCTGTCTGCAAAGATGATTTCCAGAACAGATTCCTGAGAAGTACCTGCCCCCACCGGTTACCACATTGACCTGCAAGAGCAAAAACGGGAGTCTAAACCACTAGCATGCTGAATGTCCTTTACAATTTTACCTTCTCCTCCCTCCCCCCACCCAAAAACCCTACTTGCAGCCTGTAGACTTTGGGATGTTCTAGCAGGAAGATGACCTTGATTGCTGTTTGCTGTTTAACGAGTGGTTAATCTTTAAAGACACGGACTTGTTTTCCAAAGGAAATGCCACCTTGCTGGGACTTCCTTATGGAGCTTGAGTCAACATGCCTGAATGTTCTCCATAAACCCTTGATCCAATGGTGTGAAATTTTCCCTCTGAAAAGGTGTCTGTCTCCCCACTTCCTCTCTCTGTCTCTGTCTCTCTGCCTTGATCTGTGGAAGGTGGCTCTGCATCTTTCTGTTCTGCAACACAGTTGTGGTAAAGAGGAGCTTGCCCCACAAACAGCCACTGAGGTTCCTTCGCTTCCTTTCTGGAAGGGAAGTGTTGATCCTCAGGCCTGGAACGCTTGACTAGTCTGGAGATCTGGAAGTTGTGCCTTTTGTCAGGCTGTGGCTGGGGACTCCCAGCTCTCACCTGACAGCCCGGCCCAGTGGTTTTTCAACCTTAGATTCCCAGATATTGTTCAACGTCAACTCATATCATCCCATTGGCTTTGGGGGCTGGGGCTGATGGGAGTCCAACAGTGTCTGGGCACCCAAGATTGAACAACATCGGCCTAGCTTACAGTTACGCCTCTGAGAGACCTTCCCTGTGCCCTAGTCCAAAGAGCAATAAAGTGTGCACACAGTGCAAATACTGTACAGGTGCAGATAAGCACCACAGGGGAATATTGAGAATGGTTCCAAACTTGTTCCTGCATCTGAGTTAGGTTAACTTGCCTTCCTAACCATTGACTCTTGCAAATGTTTAACCTATTGTGTTGCTCCTTCCCTCCCCATATCCAGCATTTTTCAGTAAATGAAATGTATATCATTCTGTATATTGGGCACTACACCAGCAATCTGGCAAGATAAATGGTTGCTGTTAATGGGCAAAGATGCAGGGGGGCTGGAAATAGAAAAGGTGTAATTTTTCGGTACAATTTGTATATCTTTGCATATGGTAGTACATTGTGTATCTTGATTTATAGTCTCATTTCTGTCCTGTCCTTCTCCAAACATATAATAAAAGTAGAAAGTCACCATAAGAAAGCAAATAGTGTGATAAATCAGCAAAAAGTGGGTCCCCTAAAACCTGTTCTATGGTCTTACAGAAATTCCATCTGCCTGGCTGAGGCTTCTGGGAGTTAGCGTGGTGTCACTATAGAGTCGGTCCAAGATGTAGCCATTCAGTAGCCTTCTGCATCAGACCTTTGGTCCATGTAGCCCAGGGCTAGGGAATCTGCAGCCCTACATAAGTTGTTGGACTACAACTCCCATCATCCCTGGCCATGCTGATAGGAGTTGGAGTCTAATATTATCTGCAGGACCCCAGGCTCTCCAACAGGAATAATAGATTTATAGAATTGGAAGGGATTTTGAGACTCATCTAGTTCAACCCCATGCAATGCAGGAATGTTTTGCCCAATATGGGGCTTGAACCCACAACCCTGAGATTAAGAGTTTAAGGCTTTACCGACTGAGCTATAAGAACATAACACAGGAATCTGTCTAGTACTGATTCAGGCTCTTGGTCCATCTTTCTCAGTACTGTCTGCATTGACTGGCAGCAGCTGTTGGGACTGTCGGTCAGAGCAAGCAAGATTCTCCTTCCCTGGAATACTTTAAAAGGAGATGGTTTACCCTCCAATTGTTTTCATCTTGATTTTCAGGAGATATTGTATATGTCTGTGGTAACTCCAGCTGAAACACAGCATAGGCATTGTAAATCAGGAGCCTACCAAATCTGCAATGTTTTAGCTCTTTATTTAAAGTATTTATTTATATTCCATCACTTAGGGCTTTGACCTCCCAAGGTGATGTTCAATCAAAGGAGATACATTTAAAATACTTTGCAGAGGGGTTAGAAACATAAGAATCAGAATCACTGGCATTAAAATGTTGTCAAACAAAGGCAGAAGGGAACAAAATGGCCCTCATAGCTTGTTTTGAATGTGAGTGTTGAAAGGGCCTTTCGTAGTTTCTGTAGGAAGGTGGGGCCACAAGCATGGGGCCACCACCAGGAAAGCCCTATAGCTCTTGCGTCTGCCACACTAGTAAAAATATTTTTTACTCATTTTCCTACCACACTCAGCATGTGCCTTATCCCTACCCCCCAAAAAACCCCTCTCTGCCAGTGCTTTTCTTCCCTTGATCTTTTATATGTGTTTCTTCCTCCGATAACAGCTTTCCGCTCTTACCTCTTTTCTTTCTATTTCCTCCTCGTTACTATATTGCTGCCCAGCAACTGTGTTTCTCAGATGAGGCACCACTGAGACTGCCATTTGCCCCAGAGTTGCATTTAGCCTGTACTAGAAACAGGCCTTTTAGTGTCTGAGTTCCAGCTCTCTGGAATAAATGACCAGCTGAAATATATACCTTATTTGGAGGTCTAAGCTGGCAGTGACAGAGCAGGAACAAGATCTTGGATCACTTCGGGAAAACTTGGTAAAAATGTTGTAGCACATGGAAGCCTGGAGGTGGGGTGTGTGGAAGGGAAATTCCATTCTAGGGATTCTTAGGAAAGGATCAACATAAAACTGCCACGTTATATCAACTCACGTGATGCTTTTATACAAATCTGTGGCACAGCCACACTTGGCGTCCTCCATGTATATAGTTCTGTGACCTTTCAAAAGGGATACTGTAGAATTGGGGAAGGGGCAGAAAAGGACAACAAAGGCAGCTATCAAGCAGCTGAAATAAATTTCCCTCCCTATGTGGGAAGATTATGATGTTTGGGACCTGAACTTTCTAAACTAAGGTTTAGAGCAGGGGTCGGCAGACTAAGGCCTGGGGGCCAGATGCTTTCTCTAGGCGGGCAGGAAGCCCATTTCGTGCCACCGCTGCCAGCTTCAGTGAATGAGGCAGGCGGCAAACCGAGAAGGTGGCTGGGTGTGTGTGTATGTGTAGGAGGAGGACTACTTGCCCCCCTCGCAGTGTGCATAGCAATCTGGTTTTTTTATAGATGATAGATAGATAGATAGATAGATAGATAGATAGATAGATAGATAGATAGATAGTCCGGCCCTCCACAAGCTCTGAGGGACAGTGGACCGGCCCCCTGCATAAAAAGTTTGCTGACCCCTGGTTTGGAGAAAGGGTAAGTAAGGGGAGGGAGACATGATGCCTGGCATGGAAAGGGGGAGGTTTTTAAAATTTCTAACTAGTGCTCCCAATGGGAGGAAGGGCAGGGCAATAAGGATGAAATAAATAATAATTTTCCTCTGGCTTTGTTTTACTTTGCAACATTCCATGCTGTGGGTCTAGGTGAGATTGGCTTGTGAGCCAGACTCAGTCCTGGAAGAAAGACCTCGCCTCCCTCTCTTTCAGGTCACCTTGACTCCAGCAGTGCCCAGAAGCTCTTGATGAAAACAGGACTCATCCTGATAGTCATTGGCCACCTAAACTTCATCACCAGCGCTCTGGTCCATGGGACAGTGCTGCGGCACATTGCCAACCCGCATGACACCATTTCCCTGCAGTACGCCATCTCCAACATTGTGACCGTGATCTCTGCCATCTTGGTACGCCTTTCCTTGCAGGGTCTTTGCTGGAGGAGGGAAGACTGACGTGCCTTCTCAGGGCCAGCTCTGCAAAGGCAGAGAGGGTGCCCTTGAAGTTCTAGGAAATGAACTAAATGTGCTCCAGTTTGGGATATGGTTGGCAGAGAGCAATTAAAAGTTGTAGTAGTAGTATCTTGCAGTGTAGTCCGCCCCCAATGGTGTAGCTGAGTCAACCCCTTTTCTGGCTTCCATACAAGTAAATACATAGTTGCTATTCCCTCTTATGATGGGGGAAATGATGTGCTTTTAGGGTAGGGAACCTGTGTTCTGTTTGAGGTTGGGGGCTTCTGGTCTACTGTGGGAATGGCCAGAGCCAAAATTGGGGGAGCACTAATCTTTAGTCCCCCACATGCAAATAGATGGTGCAAAGTTCTCAAATGTGCTTTATTTGCACATATGGCCCCTTGAATGCACCATTTGGATTTTGGGGATTTGGCTTCCCACACACACAGCCCAGCTTGTAACCTTGTAAAACTCTTTGCGGTGTGTTATTTCCTGTCATCTGTCACCCCTTTGCAGACAATCTCCTGCGGAATAGCAGCAATTGTGCTCTCCAGATATGTATCCCGGAAATCACTGGTAAGAAACCCCTCTCTTGGAGCAGAGGCATCTCCCTTAAGAGGCGGGTCATGTTTCCGAGTGGAGGAGCCCTTCAAGGCTCTTAGTTACACCCAGCTGTTTATCGAAGCCTTGACCTTCAGGCAAGGGACCCTCTTTTTCATGAGACCCACCCCCAGCTAAGTACTCTCCTATCTTAAGTTACTGTCAGCTCAGCTGCCTGCCCCACCCAGGAGATGAGATGATGGCATGGAAAGTTTGATAGCTTCAGAAGTTGTAAAATATCCCCACTGGCTGCAGCTCAAGAATCGGGGGAGTAAAGAGCCCCACCCAAGAATGATTGGTTTCCACATTGCTACCTTGCAATCTATTTGACTCCTTCCTGGGGCTGCTCCAGGAGCGGGGGGGGGGGGGACGACCCGCTTTCTGGGATGGTGGCTGTGTCAATTTCGGTGTGGGGATGCTTGGCTTGGGGAGGGGACGGGCATAGAAGCCAGCCTGCAGGTTTTGAGGTGTGCCACGTTTAATGCCTGGCATCTCAATTTGGCTTTGAGAGAGTGGTGATTAAGCTGTCGACAAATCTTTAGAAATATATAAATGACTGAATGGATACCAGAGCCCAAATACAACAGTGAAAGAAACACTTTGCATGTTCCTGGGAGTTTGTGGGTGTCCAAGAAACCTGAGCTCTCTGCTCAGCTCCCAGATGATGCACCCCGACCTTAGAGTGTCCTTTCCCATGGTCACTTTGGGTGGGATTTGGACCCCTTGCTCCCTGCTGCAGCAAGCCATGTGTGCCTGGCCTATTTGACTAGCAGACCCACCACTGTGTTCTCTCCATTGCAGAGATGGGCCGTTTTCTCCCTCAGCATCAGCAGTGCCCTCCTCTCGCTGTTCTGCTCAGTGGGGCTGGCCATCGCCATCATTTACACATTCATCAACAATGGGCGATCCCTCCTGGCTCGTTGCACCTTTGCCAACGTGGATATCATCCAGATTGCACACGAGTGCCCTTTTGACCCCACCCGGGTCTACGTAAGTCTGCCAAGTGGGCTCCAGCCACAAGGGAGCTCTTGGAAGAAGCAATGGGAGAGGTGCTAAGATGGAGGGGGTGGGATTATAAAAAGCTTCTAGTGTAACGTTAGGGTTCTAGCATGGTTTAGTTCCTAACCTCTAGGGACACTTTAATGCTGTTCCTTTTTCCTGCTGAGGATCCTCTGCAGTTTGCAGAAGTCTCTAGAGTCCATGCACACTCATTCAGCTAATGCAAGACCTTAGCTGGGTCATCTCTTGCGTTTCCTTGTCGCCCCATCTGGGATTGTGATATACTCTGGCCCTGGATTGCATGGGTTGATTGCAAATGCTGCATTAGGTGATCCGGAGGTCCTGCCTTCATGGTTCTATGAGGCATTGGGTTTTGACTCCAAAAATTTGAAGGCCCCCCTCATGCCCTCTTTCCTCCCTCCCCACAGAGCTCAGCTTTGGTCCTTTGGGGCATCTCCTTCCTCCTGGATGCCATAGAGATCATCTTCAGCATTCGATGCTTCCTGGTCACCCTTGTGCTCCTGAATCTGAGGCTGTGTCACAGGCGGACACGCAAGAAGAAGGTACAAATCTCCTTGCACCACCCTCCTGATTCAGGTTCTTGTCTCCTTTGGTCATGTACTTTGCAGAAGGGTTTGCTTTGCGATTCCCCCACTCTACCACCACTCCCAAATTCTGATAGCTCCTTGCACCTCCAGATGTTGCTGGATTACAACCCCCAATTGTTGGCTAAGGTGGGCTGATGACAGTCCAGTAGCATCTGGAGGGCCAGAGGTGCCCCACCTGTGTAATAAAACAAATAAATTAGAGGCAGGATCTAAGATCTGAGACCGAGGGAGGCAGGTGAAGATCATACTGGGGACTGCTCTAGCTGGACTGTCCCCTTCCCCACCCAACTTTACATGTAATATCATTTGTTTTAACCCTTTTAACCTCACAGGGTGCCTTGGCAGAAAGGCAGTATAATAAATGCAATGAATAAGCGAATAAATGCCACAATGCAGGGAACATCTGTGGCCCTCCAGGGTTTGCTGGGCCCCACCAATTCTAACCCTAACCCACTGGCCTCGTTGGCTGCTGGGAGTCTACCAGCCCCTCTGGTTATGTCAGTTGCCTGCTTCCATTCTTCACATTGGCCTTTGCCAGCTTGGAAGCCTTCCAGATGTTTCGAACTACAGCTCCCCATCAGCCCCAGTGATGGTGGCTGTGCTGGCTAAGGCTGATGATAAGCTGCTATCCAGAACATCTAGAGGGCATCGAGTTAACGGTGGCAGCTTCAGATGGTAGGCGAATGGTCTGCAGAGCCTTTACTCTGCAAACTGAAAGCAATTCCGCAGGGCAGCCGAGGCTCTTAACGCTGGCCTTCTCCTCTGATGCAGCTGGGACCCTGAAACTCCTGGATCCAATTACGCCTGTCAGAATCTTGTCAAATATTCAAATTCAAGCCCTCTGGGGCCTTTGAACCACCCCTGAATAATTTGGCCAGTGTCAAATAATTAGCAATTTGCAACTCATTGGTAAATTTGCATCTAGTTAATTCTGGCCGTACCTAATTTGCAATATACCTGCCAATAACAGAACCTTTCTATCATTTGTGCATCAGTGTGTCTGTGTGCCAGCTCCGTATACACCACCCTGACAGTGACACTGTGACCCGATTTGGCACATAAGAAGAGCCTGGCTGCTGGATCTGGCCAAAGGGGGCCCATCCTGCCTCTTCTGGGGAGCCCACAAAGCAGCGCCTGACTGCTGTGATTCTCAGCAACTGAAATAGCACAACTGCATCTTATGCACGTTTAAATTGCATTATTTCAACCACACATGATTGAAGGTCGGCTGGCTGAAGTCCCACAAGTGAAATGCAAGAATGGCAGTGTTTTTAAACTTTCTGTCTTGCTGCTGGGAGGGGGGGCAGCACAAGGCCCTCTTGGTGGGCCTTTTTGGGGATGCTCTTGGAGTGCTGTCCCGAGTTCCTGCAAGATCTTGCAGAAGTATCGCTATCATTCTGGAGCTGGTGTCCTGAGCGAGTCTTGCCCTGCAATCAAGGCAAAGGGCTTAAAAGCTCTTTTTGCATGGGGAAACTGTGGCAGAAAAAGAAGCACCTTCAACTGACCCCAGAAGAGCTGTTTGAATATGAGACAGCGGCACATCACAGACATCTGTGGTGACCTAGCTGCCATATTTACTCTGATGAATGCCAATGGGATCTGTTCCAAACGCTCATTAAAGTTTTAATCAAAGGAATGTGGTCCAATGATCTAGATGTCTGTTATCTACAAACTGCCCCCTCCCAACCTATGAACAACTGGTTAACTGTCAAGACAAGTGAGCTTCCTGATCTGATGAACTCCTCCTGCCCCCTTGCCCAGTTTGCTATGTGATGAATGTTCCCTCATGTGACAAACTTCAGTATTTACCCCCTCAGTGAGCAATTGTTTTCTGTGAGATTTCCCTTGTGTGGTTAAAAAACAGCAACACGTTCATTCTGAGAAACAGAAATGACCTTGAAGTGGCTTTGCTGCATTTGGACTATTGTTAATTCCGGCCTTTTTGATTTATAGGTCTCCCTGCAGATTGTCATGCCTGAGACCAGAGAAAGCTGCGAGGGCCACAATCTCCTGAGGTTGGACCGCATGGAGACGGCGCGGCTCTAGAGGCCAGTTGTTGCCGCCGCCCAGATTGCGGCTGCTCTTGCAGTGTCATCTGGTGGCTTCCTCTGCTTCGCGGTCCAGCCTCACTCCAGTCTGCATGGACGTGGCCCCTCGTGCTTCCTCTCCGCAGTGGGCGGTGCCCAAAGCTTAGCAACTGGGATCCAGAAGCGGGAGAACAGTGGCCTCCCTTGAGGCCCAAACCTTTTACTGCTCTGATTAGCACTCTGGTGCTTTGTGCTGAGAAATCGACCCCAAGCGCTCCTCTCCTCCAGAACGAAGGGAGCTGCCGGGCCCACGTGGCTCCCGTGAGCATCTGAAATGACTCTGCGGGCCATTGCACTGAGACAAAAAAAAAACCTTTTATTTTTGAAGCTATTAAAAACAAACAAAGCCTGTGGTTCCCTTCCCCCTCCCGCTTCCTGCATGCACTCCTGTGATGGATGGATGAAGGACTGATGCTTCCACTTCTGCAATGGGGTGGAGCTGGGTTCTTCTCCAGAGCGGAGGGGTGGCAATACTCTCAGCCATTTCTGAGGTAGAAAAGGGGACTGGAGCTCCGTCGTGAGCAAACAGCCCTCTTTGAAGAAGGAGGGTGGTGGGTGGGATGGCATTGATCAACGAATGCTTCCTTGGACTAATCGGGGGGACAAATTTTGACTGGAGGGACTGCGATTCTTGGAAGCTATTTTGCATTAATTTAGAAGGCAATGGAAACGGATCTATGGAAGACGGCCTTTTCCTTCTAAGAAGGCGTGGTAGCATTTCTTTGTGAAATTGTAAATTAAACTGACACTGCCTTCAGTATGTTAGAAGGGCCATCTGCATTGAAGATTTGGGAAATTTAAATTTTATGCATTAATTTAACCATTGACAGGTTAAGAGGCAGCTAATTAATCGGCTAAACAAGTTGTACATTGGTCTCTGCCAACCTTGTGCCCTCTATGTTTTGGATTATAACTTCCATCAGCCTCAGCATCATATGGTTGCATGAAGCTGGAGCTGATGGGAGTTGTAGTCCAAAACATCTGGAGTGCGCCAGGTTAGCAGAGGCCATGGCAAATGGTGCCAAACCTCACCACCTTCTGCCCCACTGGCCATTTCCTCTTGCCTCACAGCGCCTTCTGCTTCTTCTCCAGCCTTGGGGTCAATTGCAAAGGGCACCATCTCTCAGGGCTGCTCTGAATGCCAACCCCCAATTTTAGCTTCCTACTATTCATCCACACAGAACGGCATAAAACATTCCATCACATCTTGGATAGTAGAGCTGGACAGCAAGCTTGTGATGACGCCCTCCATTTCAGAAACAGTTGTGTGGGCTGTACTATTCACTGTATTTGACTGGGATGCCTTCACATTTCCTCACCCAGTTAATCCTGCTTGCCATGCATCCCAACCTACTGCTAAAGTTCTAAGCCCATGTCCACTGAGCCCCCTCCCCACCAATTGCAAATACTCACTGAAATAGCAGGGCAGGGAAGAATGGACTTCAGTGCACACGTGGCAGGTGGAGTCTAAAACTGTTGTCTGGGCATGCTCTATGCTTCTAGAGATGGGTGGGTTAACAAAAAGGCATTCCAGAGCCGGAAGACCATTGGGGTGAGTGGTCTGGGGGGAGCAGACTGATTCATTAGTGCAACAGTTCTCCTGGGTAGGCTGGGATTCATCTGGGCAAACCAAACTTGCTGCCTCTACCCATGGTGTCTCCTGCAGCCACACCCTGAGAACCCCAGCCTTCATTTAAAGTGGACTTTCAGCTCTTGGTAATTGTTGCTCCCTGCTTGCCCTCCCCAAGAGCAGAAATAAAAGCCCAACTCCATAGAAGCAGAAATGTGGGTGGGTGTTCACTGGGCACATGTATGCAAAGGAACAGATTTTGATTGCCTGGTTCCAGGTTTCCCATTTATTTGCAAAGCACACACCCATGGGTTGTGTGGCCAAGCCCTATGTGGTTCTTGGCCGGGAAGGGAGGCAGCCAGATCTGGCCAGCCTGCACAGGTAGTAGCCCAGCTGCCTGCTTCTGATCTCTCACCCACAATGCAGCAACAGGAACTGCCTCGCTGAAGCTCAATGTGGGGCCTGGTGAAACATGCAACATGGACAACGTGTCTGTTTATTGAGGCCTCAGGACTCTCTTATTAGTGCCAACTGAATCTGAGCCATCCATGTGTATTGAATTGTACAGTTGGAAGGGAATCTTGAGATCCATCTAGTCCAACCCCCTGCAATGCAGGAATATGCAGCTGTCCCAAACAGGGATTGAACCTGCAACCTTGGCATTATCAGCACCCGGCTCTTAACCAGCTGAGCATATGGATACCCTGGGTCAAATCTCACACCCATTCATTGGTCGTAGCTGAGTCATTGCTCTCTCACAGCCTTCAATCTGTAATACAGATTGTCCTACCTTACAAGGATGGTGGTGAAGGATTAACTGGTTGTGCTCAAGAGGAAATTGAGGACGTTTTTATCTGCCCAGGCCATTGGGTAGACACTGGAGTTGTATGACTCTGGGGTTTATTATTATTATTTTTGTACACTGGATATTGTTGTGTTTTTATGTTGATAACTGACTGCCTTGGACATCTTTCACAGAGGGAGATGGGATATAAATAAAACTGATAAATAAATAAATTACAGACATGTGAAAGTGCTGAAGGGATGTGAATGCTTAACCTTGGCTGTTGAGGGGTTGGCTTCTGAAGCTGTTCCTCTATGGGCAGCCTTGAGACCCGATGAGTCCCTTGCAGCTTTTCAGGGTCCGATGGAGGAGCTCTCCCCGACTGCACCAGGTGCTCTAAGGTGTGCCCCCTGAGACAACAAATGTGGGAAGGCTTAAGGAAGGGGGCTTGGGCTATTCCTTTCAGTGGCGCTTGAAACAGAGGTCAAGGATGACCCTCTGCCCTTCCTGAAACAAACACGCAAGGAAGGTGTGGGTTACGAATGAACCAACTAAATAAATTGCCCTACATGCTGTCAGTGTGTGATTCCTTCTCAGGTTCTTTATATGTTGATCTGCGGGCCCCTGAAGGCCATCGAGGCCCAGCACCTTTCAGTGAGACAGGATTGTTTGCGTTCAAGCACCCTTGAAAAGTGTGAGACTGCGCCATGTGAATCAGACAACAACCAGGGTTTGCATGTAGTGTAGGCGAAAAATACTAGCTCTATACTGGAAAGAGATGCTCCTAAATGATGCGAATGTGTATATTTGTGCTTATATTACATTGGCCTGTGCCAACCTGGTGCCTGCCGGATGTATTGGGTGACAACGCCCAACAGCTCCAGCCAACAGGTGCTGGCTGGGGCTGATGGGAATTGTAGTCCGATACATCTGGTGGGAACTAGGTTGGCAGCGGCTGTTTTATACGTAATATATTCTCCTAGCCAGGGTCGAGAAGCCAACAGTTACACAGAGTACTGAGCAAATGACCACTGCTAGTCCTGCTCATTGTCCAATCGTATCTTTTAACATCTCCCCCCCAATCTCCTCCTTCCTTATGAGATTTCATTCAGTTTCCCAAGAGTCTCCCTTGGCAGCCCCAAATCCTAGAGGGCTCGCTTTACAGAAAGAGACAGCGCAAGGTTCTCAGGAGGCTGAACTGGACCCCAGGCAGCATATTCTGCTCCTGTAATTAAAGACGTACAAACACACACACACATGCAGTCACAGTTATAGTGCATCACAAGCAGCAGTCAGGTGTGGAAAACAGTTTGCAAAACCCAAATGCCAACACCTAAGGAAATGAGTTGGCCTATGTGCTCCACCTTCTTGCTGCCACTGTCCTGACCACGCAGGAGCCCCCACCCCCACATCAGTGTCACATTCACACACAACTACAGTGTTCGGGAAGGGGGAGAGAGGAAACCTGTGAGTCAGAAGACAGAAATACGTCGGCAGTGCCATTTGCCTCCTTGGGGACATGTCCGTTACCCCAAGGGGAGAACTGGGAAGCTGGTCACCTCCTTGGGGGAGGGGAGAGACCGTGAGCCAAGTGAGGTGGTGGTGGTGGTGCCGCCTCCGCTTCCAAAAGCCGCCTTGTCCTGCCACTGCTGCTGCTGCTGCTGCACAGGGAAGACAGGGCGGGGGGTGCTCAGAACTGGGAGGCGCTGCTGGGGTCACACTGCAGCAGCCTCACAATGGAAGGATCACTCTTCGCGCCTTTGATGAACTCTTCCAGGGACAGTTTGCCTGGGGAGGAAAGACAGGGGAGAGCAAAATGAACACGCCATCCAGAAGGGAGCCTAGAACGTCACGGGCTCAGGACTGGTTGCGGCAGACCGGGGATCAGGGCCCATACCTGCGACAAGTGACAGAGAAGGCACAGGACTCCCAGGAGCCCCACCTTTTATGGGATTCCATGACATCAAAGATTTGCCATGTCCAATTTGTCCAACCCAGTGCATAGTTAACAACCTTTCTCTTCAGGTTGGCCTTTCATCTTTCAGCATCACAAGGAGCACGTGGAGGTTTCCTGTCACCTCTCCCCTTGTTTTACTGTTTATTACCCTACCTCTTCCCCATGGCAAGACTCCAAGGTCAGCCAGTGACCACAACAGAGCACCTGCTTAGCTTCCCTTAGGCTGTTGCATTATATTTATATGTAGGGTCGAGAGCTATCCATCCATCCATCTATCCATCTCATAGCTGCACTCGCAACGGTTGATGGGAGTTGTTGTCCAAACCATCTAGACTGGTTGTTCCCAAAGTGGCAACCACCTTGCAGGTGAGTTAGCAGGAAGAGATCTTCCTTCTCCATGGCTTCAGACCAGGGGGCATTCCCCAATCCTACACAGAGATGTGTTTGGGGATTGAACCTAGGACCTTCTGCATGCAAAGCAGATGCTAAAACCTGTCCTTGCAGCAGGAAGGCGTCTTGGCTTTCCTTCCCTGCCTCCCGCCACCTTTGACCTCCAGCTTTGCCAAATCACTGTGCCAAATCATCCTCCTGTCACTCTCCCCGCCCCCCGCCCCAACTGATCTATTTAATCAGCATGCCTGCCTTTCCATCTAAGAGCTCTGGATTTAAGGATGATGGTTGCCTCTTAATCTTTCTCTCCTTTCATTTACCATCATTATTGGTATCCATCTGTCGGAAGATTTTCTCCGTCCGCTTCTCAGGAGTTGACTCATCTTCAGGCATCTTCATCACAGACGAGACCATTTTGTAGATGGCCTGTGGAGAAGGAGCAGGGAACCAGTTGAGACACAAATTCCGAGCTGCAGCCCTGTGGGGACGGTCAGCTTAAGCAAGGAGTTCTCCCTCTTGAGCTCTATTTTGCCTTTCCGGCAGATCGATAAAGAGAATGCCATGCAGAATGGAGAAAGCAGCTCCTCTTAAAAGTGCATAGTCACAACCAGCCCCCAAGCCTCTGAAATTGTTGCCGGGGGGGGGGGGGAATATTTCCAGGAGAAAAGGCTGCCCTTTCCAGGCAGCTGAGCACTCCCAACACCTCTGAATTCATATTTTAAGACAAGGCAGGCCAATGTGGTTCTCTCCAACGCCCATCATCTCCGACCATTGGACTTGCTAGCTGGGGATGACAAGAGCTGTAGTCCCAAATATCTGCAGGGCGCCACATTGGCTGCCCCTATGATAAGGTCTGCCAGAAACTCTACAAAAACCTTCCCAATGCAACACTTAACACAGGCAGGCCCATCTCAGATCTTCAGGTTGTGCAAAGATTCCTGCCACGGGTCAGAAGAAAGCGTGTGAAATGCAGCAGCCTCCTTGCGTGCCAGGCTAGCAGCACAGCGCAGATGGCAGGGATTGATGGGGAGGGGCCCTCCAGAGCAGCCCGTGACCTCCCCAGCATTGTCTGGGCAAGCTGGGCAATGCTGGGAACGCAAGAGCTGCCAGCACCATCTGCTCAGCTCTGGGTTTCCTGGTTTTGCTCCGGAGCTTCCCACATCTAATGCATGTCTAATCCTCTCCCCACCCTAGTATCTCTTGCCCTAAGCCAGCTTTCCCCAACCTTGTGCCCGCCAGATGCTTAACAGCTGCCATCAGCCCCAGCCAGACCAAGGGCAGGGCAGGCTTCTCTAAGGAGTGGTGGAGGCCCCCTGGGTAAGAGTCAACGAGAAATGCCACTATGTTTGTGCAATCTCCAAGCGCTTGGAGGCCACAAGGAAGAAAGGAGAGCAGACTTGATTAAATAAAAAAGCAGCATTTACGAAATAACGTTCTTTCCTTTTCTTTTTTACCCAGGCCTGCTGTTTCCCAGGAGGCTGTGTGCATTGCGTGGTTGGAGAAATTGGTAATTAATATTCTAAACATTGAGGACAGGATTCAATGGGGAGGAAAACAAACTGTAAGGACAGATGGGGAAGTGTCTGTGTCTCTCTGTCAGTCTTCCCACCACCACCACCAGCACCACTACCACCCCACCCCTTCTGCATTGTTGCCCTGCGTGGGGCAAGATCAGAGTCCAGGAGGGCAAACCCAGGCTAACCGCAGCAGCAGCAGCAACCCTTAATGCAAACATGCAATACTCTCCTGCCACCAGGAGAGGGCAATATAAAGCTAGGCAGGAAATTCAGTAAGAACACAGGCATTGCACCAGCATCCTGCAGCAGCTGGAGACAGAAGTGTCCTGGAGCTTCCAAGGAGAACCTGGAGGCGACGTCCACTTTCCCCTGCTGTCTCCTATACTACCTCTGCAGACAGCTGTTAACAGAAAGGCTATCCTCTGTGAATTTGCCAAACCCTTTGTCAGTCTAAGCGACTGACCAAACACCACTACCTTGTGGCTGTGAGTTCCATAAGCTGGATGTGTGTTGTGTGAAGTCAAGTGACTTGCTTTCGGAACTCGGTGACCCTGAATTCTTGTATGAAGTGGTGGGGAGGAAATGTTCCCATCCTGGCACCCTCTGGATGTTGTGTGGGATTTCTAATTCCCATCAGCCCCAGACAGAGAGGTCAACGTCCAGGAATGTTGGGAGCTGGAGTGCAGCAACATCTGGAGGGAGGCAGACTCCCCAGGCCAGCTGCCACTGAGATCAAGGTGACTGGTCTGTGTTGCATTTCCATAACCTCATAAGATACTTCCTGGGAAGTTCCTGCTGAGTTCTTTTGTCTAAGGAAGCCTCCTTGGCTACTTTTCCAAGCAACCTCAGGAAAAGTAGGGCACACGCCCTCCTCCTCACCATGTCTCATTGCCCTGTGTGAGTACCTAGCAAATTCCACAAAAGCCCCTCCGGATAGACAGATCAGGGGCCAGGGCCAACCATGAAATGGCCATGATACTTCAAACCAAACCAAAATAAGTAAGGATTTCTGATCACTGATTATTTTGTGGCACTTATCATCATCATCACCACCACCATCATCATCATCATTGCAAGCCCTTGTCATTCCCATTTACAGATAGGGAACATAGGATGACCCTTCCAATGAATTCTCACATCTTGGATAAAGGTTTGAAATCCAGGATTCCAACACCTGGCTGAACCAACTCCCTCACTGATGTCTCTGAGTTCACGGCAGCCATTTGCTACGAGGCCAGCCTCCCCCAGCCTGGTGCTCTTGAACTGCTCTGGACTGCAACTCCCACCAGCCCCAGATGGTTGGATCCTTCACAGATCTGGGTTTTCAACCTGAAAGGGGATGCTGTTATTCTTTCTACCTCTCAAGAGGAATGGGTAGATGGGACCCTCGACTGATCTTGGAACACACCCAGCTTTAATTCACCTGCACAAAAAAGAAGCCACCCTCCCAGGTGCTCCAATTTCTCTCTGCCAAGGACACTTTAGAGCTCCAATTTATAAATATCCAAGACCCAGTTAAAAGATTCACGGCTGCCTCCAAGCAATCTGGACTAGTTCTTGCTTTCTGTGGGGAACCCACCTGTTCTCTCCCCAAAAGCAGGTGCTTTAACCCGGATGGGATCAAAAACAATCGTAACGCATGTCAGCGTGGAATAAAAAGGGATCCCCAAAGGCAAGTTCATTTACAAAGGGTTTCTGCTCCCTCCCCCACTCTGGCTGCGCAGAGGAATGTTCAAAGTAAATTGTGGTCTGAAAAGACAGAACCAGAACAACAGCTGCAGCAGGCTGAAATCAAACCTGGTTATCTTCTGGGTGTAAGACAGCATTCCCCAACCTGGTGCCCAGATGTTTTGAACCACAGCTCCCATCAGCCAGTGAGTTGCAGCCCAAAACATCTGGGAGGCATCAGTTTGTGAAACACACCAGAGTTGGACCCACCGAACCTGCAGGCTCCACCGCCTGTTTTTATCAGGGCACAGCCCAGGAAGCTGCTGAAGACCAGGGCTGCTCTTTGGAGAGAGATCTAGGCCATGAACACATTCATGGCTTAAAATGGAGTGAGGTTGCTTCCCCCCAATGCATTTCAAGCCGCATTTAAACATTGCTGTACATACCAGAGAAGGGACAGGAGGATCTTTGCCTGATGCGCATGACCCAATTTGTTTCCCCAAACCTGCAATCCCACCTGAACTCCTTTCTGACGAAGCTGCTGTCTGCGCACACAACAGCTGTCTGAACAATGCACACCTCACCATAAACCATGGTTTGTGTTTTCAAATCAGATGAAAGCTGGCTTGAGGAAAAACATATCAAACAGGGATATTTCTCAAAAGACTACAGGATTGTGGCTAACGTCACACATGATCTGCTTCCAACCCCTGTGGTGGGAGCGCACTGGAGCCAGAGTAAACGGTTGTGTGTACATAGCCTTTGGTTTGCACTAATGTGTCACATGTGTATACTAATGTCCCTGATGCAGTTTACTTTAAAAAAGAAGAAGAAGAAAAGAAAAGTAGTTTTGGGAGGAGACAAAGTGGAGAAATGTGGGGGTGCATGGCACTTTTCTGGTTCACTATTTCCCTGCTCCAACCTGCCTCGTCTGTCGGGGGTTTGGGGTGTCTCTGCTCCCAGACTGTAGCTGTCCTAAACACACAAAAAGCCTCCATTGCAACCGCCTTGGTGAAGGTGTTGTGAAATTCAGCCTCTTTCCTAATGAGGACCTTTCCAGCTGAGTTCCATTTAGGGTATTCCTGAGATGTCAGAGGTAGCTTCATAGGGTCCCAAGAGGCCTCCAAATTTTAGCCACCAAGGGATGGAGAAATGTGATGTTTCAGCACTTCTGATCCCTCTCTGCTCCTTCTCTGCAAACGCATCCCATTTACCGAATAACATCTAGTTCTTATTTAGATGATGAGGTAAAAGCCAAGATGAAACCAAAAGGCACCGAGGGGAATGGGGCAAAAGCGGGGCAGGGTCCAAGCCTCATGCCTGTGCCCACTGGCAAGTCCCTAGTTTCCTCAGTCTCAGCTCCATCTCCTGAAAAATGGGAAGAGGAATAATAGGAATAGTGATGATGAAGGTGATGCTGTGACATCTCTTGGGGAGGAGCTGTGAAGACCTGCAAGACAAATCCCGCAAAGCCCTCTGAAAAATTGCTTAAAGAGTGCTACCAAAATTATTAGGGATGGACTCTTCTACAGCTGTGCCCTGGGGCTCCTTTGAGAGGTCTGTAGCTTTGCATCTTGCAATATGGACCTAATTTCCCATCCAAATCACTGATGGGGGGGGGGCTTCCTTTGACTTGCTGACACTGGTCGGGATTAAAGCCTCCATGTCTCATTTCATCTTGTTGTGGCACAGAAACGGAACAGCTGTTCCACTCCTCCTGCCCCCCCCCGTCTAGTGGGCAGTGAAGGGTGGGCTGAGCAGTTGCCAGAGCAGGAAGGCGACCCGGGTGCCCGGGCACAGAGGGATCCACGAGGGGCAAGCCAGCCACACCCTTCACCCCAGCTAATCTGCTCCCTTTGCCGATTAAATTTCCATGAAAAGCATCTCTCCCATCTCCTCTGTCGGGCGTATCCTCCTTTAAATCTGCAGCATCGCTTAGAGAGTGACAGAGAGAGGGGGAGAGAAAGAGAATAAGGCACACAGAGAGAGAGTGTGTGGAAAAGAAGAAGGGAGGCAGACAGACATGAAGGAAAGGCCTGTCTACAAAGCCGGAGAAAACCCCTGGGCTTCATTGACAGGTCATCCACCCACCCACACCTCCAAGGAATTACTCTGGGCCACTGCAAATACTGTTGATAAACACAGCCTAAATACATATCTTAAAGCTTTGTGCGTTAATCAACTGAAGCATAGATTAAATCATCACTACTAACGGCACACACTCAAGATTAATTACCCCTTAAGACTGGATTTGCCCACTCCTTCAATTAGGACTGCAAGCTTTGATCAACTTAATCAGCACATTAACCAACTATGGCTTTGGTTGATTAAGCAGTGAGGGCCAGTTTTAATTAGGGGGAAATTCTGAAACTGTTGAGTTTTAGGGTCCAGTTATCCAGAACTATTTTGGTCCTCCTGCATTACATATCTTAGGGGTTGAAAAAGGCAATGTCAACACTTCCCTTCAAACAGTGAGTGGTAGGTGGGAAGAGAAAGGCGGCTTGAAATAAACCCAACCAAGATGAGAACTACATCAAATGCTGCAGTGAATTCTCAGCTCCTGTTCAAGCCTCCAGCCAACCCTAAAAATGAGCATTTCATTGCTATATATTGGAGGAGATAATGTTTCTGGAGAGTGGGGAGAACGCATCTGTTTTCCTTTCTTCTCACTTGACACCTCCCAATGTAGTGCAGGGGAAAGTTTTTTCTTTCCTCCACCTCATGACATGCATCTTCAAGCCCTTATTTCTGCCTCTAGTATACTATAAGCAATTAGGACTTCCATTGCCTATCTGAGACCCTGAGACAACAATTCCCAGACAAAATTCATCACTGAAAGAGCTCCCATGAGCCCATAGTTCCCACCATGGAGGAGTCTCCCTGTCTTTTCTCTGCATGATTTGCTGCTTTGGTCTCACCTCCTTCCCAGAAGCCTGATTTAAGGCTGAGGATCTGCATTGGGTGCATCTGGATCATTCACTCATTCCTGGTGTCGAGACACCAGAATTGCCTTTTGCACCTCTGCATGGTCCACCCATGGACAGTCTGCTCTGACTGAGTTTCTGCTCTGACTAGACGACCCTCAGGGTCCCTTCCAACTCTATGATTCTATGATTCTAGCAACTCCCAGCAGCCCCAGGCAGCAGGGAACTGTGGTCCAAAACAGCTGGAGGGAAGAGTGTTGGCAGATGCTCTGATACACCCAGGGATGGCTTTAGAGGTGGATGAGCTGGAGCACTTGCCCTCAGTGATAAGCTTGGTCTGCAATGAGCTCATAAGCACTTTTCACTTTCCCCCAAAGTTCTGTGGGGTGTCTAAGTACAACATGAATCTGTTGGTGTTACAATTTCTTTCTCAACTTCCAGTTTCACATCCCTTTTTAAAAATAAGATTTTTTTAAAAGCTTTTTCAGATAAACTAATCTAATCTAAATAAAAACAAAGAGAGAAAGGGAAAAGAAAACACCAGAGGGGAAAAAAAAGAATAGAATAAAATAGAATAGAATAGAAATAAAAACAACTTCCGGTTTTCCGCCTGTCAGTCACATAAAAGAAATTATTCAAAATATTCACTCTAGAATGACACCCAACTAATCCACTTTCTGTTAGGCAACATTTCCCCAATCTTTCGACCTTCATGTCCTTTTTTATAGATTAAAAACCAGCAAAGCGTGACAATGCTCCCAGGACAACATTACCAAGCACCGTAAGTTCTACAAATACTGCAGTAAGCCGCATAAATAACAACTTCAAAAGCTGTCAGAGGGAAAGAGATCAATGTTGAAATCGGATATGTTTTTCTTAAGCGATAACCTTCAAGACAGAAATACAAAAACCTCGCCCAGAACTGAAGGAAGCAGGAAACAATGGAGAGAGCTCAGGGTATTTTTCATGGACATGGCTGGGAAAGTTGTGGGGGAGCTGGAGAGCCTGTGTGGAGAAGGAGAAGGAGAAGCCAAAGGTTACCTGCACAATCTCCAGCATCTCCTCCCGGCTGATGTAGCCGTTCCCATCCAGGTCGTACATGCTAAAAGCCCACATCAGCTTCTGCTCCAGTTTCCCCCGCGAAGTGACACTCAGGGCGATGATGAACTCTCGGAAGTCAATGGTGCCATCACCGTTGGTGTCGAAGGTGCGGAAGACGTGCTCAGCGAACTTGGAGGCATCACCGTAAGGGAAGAAGTTAGCATAGATCTTCTTGAACTCCTCCACATTGAGGATGCCGGTGGGACAGTCCTTGAGGAAGCCTTTGTACCACTCCTGGAGCTCCAGGTCGGAGAACTCCGTGTTTTCCCGGAGGTCTTGGAGCATCTCCGGGCGCAGCTTGCTGTTCTGCTTCCCCATGGTTGGACTGGAGGTTTAAAACTGAAATGCAGGAAGCAAGAGGGAGTTTGGCATGGAACGGCTACCCATGGTACCAACATTCATTTACACCCTGCCAGGGCTTGCTCAAAAAAAGAGCCCTGCATGAGCAGACTGTTTGCACATAGGGCTGGGCAAATGCATCAATTTTAGTTTCTTTCAGTTTTTCATTTTCCCACATTTCCACATCAGCTTGTGACTTTTTTTTTATTCTTTAAAGTCCCCATGAAAATTAATCAGCATTTTAGTGCAAATTTCTTGTAATATATACACATTTTTGTATGCCATTTTGCCGAACCTACAAATTTTTTGCTAAGTAATTCTCCTCAACACAATGGATTTTATATGTGCATCTTATGCACATTTTACCCTTTTTATACATATTACATGGTTGGAGAACTGTACTGCAAAATTCAGAGAGAGACCTGTGAATTTTGAAGGAAAGCAGTCTCAGTTCACATGTTTTAGAAAGAGCAAATTAGGCGCATTCTATTTTAAATGTGAACTGAATAAACTTTCTCTCCCATTTCTACCTTTTGTCAATTCCTCAGGAAAGTGCACAATAGTTTTAATTTTTATTTGGACTTCCATACACAAACATCTGATTATTTTATTTTTTAATTTTTTAAATGAAAGCTCAGATATTCAGGAATCCACATTCTGTGCTCATTTATTAGATTTTCTGATAAATCCAGCTTACACGGAACACAAGCAACTCTGAAAGCTGAAAGAATTAATTGCCAAGAGACATATTATTAAACATGGTATTAACAATGCATTGATATTGTTTTTGACTCTCTCTCTCTCTCTCTCTCTCTCTCTCTCTCTCTCTGCATTTGTTGAAGTCAGAAACCTGCCCAGAGGACTTGGTGGGTGGGTGACTTAACAATGCTACAAAATAAATGAATAAATATTCTAGGTCAGCAGAGCTTTCTGTTTCTTCTTCTTATTTTTAAAAAGCAACCCCACCTATGAGAGATTACAGAACTACAACCTAGAGGTGACCAAAGCAGGGATAACTGGTGTGTCATGCTTCTCCATAGAGGGGCGAGGGAGCTGTACCAACCAAATTTGGGGAAAGGGGCTTTGCTGCCACTTAGACACCAGTCTTGGGTGCCCTGCTTGGCATAGTTCATAGCTTCTCTGAGTTATTCAAGCCCCTTTGCCACGGCAAGGCAGTGATCACTGTTGATGGTGACAGCAGCCACGAAATTAAAAGACGCCTGCTTCTTGGGAGAAAAGCAATGACAAACCTAGTCTGCATCTTAAAAATCAGAGACATCACCTTGCCAACAAAGGTCCATATAGTTAAAGCTATGGTTTTCCCAGTAGTGATGTATGGAAGTGAGAGCTGGACCATAAAGAAGGCTGATCGCCGAAGAATTGATGCTTTTGAATTATGGTGCTGGAGGAGACTCTTGAGAGTCCCATGGACTGCAAGAAGATCAAACGCATCCATTCCTAAGGAAATCAGCCCTGAGTGCTCACTGGAAGGACAGATCCTGAAGCTGAGACTCCAATACTTTGGCCACCTCATGAGAAGAGAAGACTCCCTGGAAAAGACCCTGATGTTGGGAAAGATGGAGGGCACAAGGAGAAGGGGACGACAGAGGTCAAGATGGTTGAATAGTGTTTTTGAAGCTACTAACATGAATTTGACCAAACTGTGGGAGGCAGTGGAAGACAGGAGTGCTTGGCGTGCTCTGGTCCATGGGGTCACGAAGAGTCGGACACGACTAAACGACTAAACAACAACAGACACCAGTCAACTAAGTTCCAAGCTGTGGATGTAGAAATGCCATGTGCTACTGTCAAGGGAGGCCTTGCCTATCAAGATACATCCCCCCTCCTAAGTTATAAGCAGCAGCAAAGGTGAGTGGTTCACCGTTTTGGGAATCTGCTCTAGGACAAAGAGCATTGTGCCTGCTCCCTCCTCCATTCATGGACATACACTGCAAGACTACCTCTGTAACATGAACAGGAACTGAAGTGATTTGGAAATGTCAGTATGGGGGGAATCAGTTCTGGGTGGCACCAGCAGGGAAAGGAAGTTAAGATCTGACTAGTTTCCATTTTGTGTACTGTTGGGAAGCAACACGTGGCTCAGTAAAGTTTATGCCTTCTAATCCAGTCTTTGTGGCTCATTTGCAATCTTCTCAGCCTCACCCACCTCACGGGGTTGTAGTGAGGATGAGATGGGGGGGAGGATCATGTATTATGCCACCTTGAGCTTCTTGGAGGAAAGGTGGGATATATATTCAATACATACATAAATCATCATTGTCTTGCAAATACTAAAACCTCCTCCTGGGATAGAAAGGACTGACAAAACCCGGGACCAGGAGGAAGAGACGCTGGATGAAGATTGGAAGAAAAAAAAAATTTTTTTTTATTAGGATTGTTTTATAAAATTGATGAATGCTAGAAAAATGTTGGAACGAAATTATTTGGCTTTAGTAAAAATGTTTAAAGAATTATGTAAGAATATTATGGTTATGAGAAATTGGTATAAATAAGATCTAAGTTTCAAGTTTTAAGGTCTTTTATAGTAAGATAAGATTAAAATAGATTAAGGTAATGGAATGACAGAATAGTATGAAAAATGGAAAGGATTTGCTGTGACAATTAACAACTAGGATACAAAAAAGGGAGGAGTGAGGAGGTCAAAGAAAGAAGGTAATGACAGTTAAGGATTTGAGAATATTGGATTTGTTTTTAAAATGTTTGTGGCTTATTTTTGTCTTTTGATTGTGTTGTGTTATTTTTTGATTTTGATTTTTATCAATTTGTATTGTTGGATTGTGGTTTGTTTTTCTTTTGTTTTTTTCTCTTTCTTTTTGTTTTTTTGTAATTCTAAAATTCTTAATAAATATCATTTTTTTTAAAAAAGGAAGTTAAGATCTGACTAGTTTCCATTTTGTGTACTGTTGGGAAGCAACACGTGGCTCAGTAAAGTTTATGCCTTCTAATCCAGTCTTTGTGGCTCATTTGCAATCTTCTCAGCCTCACCTACCTCACGGGGTTGTAGTGAGGATGAAATGGGGGGGAGGATCATGTATTATGCCACCTTGAGCCTCTTGGAGGAAAGGTGGGATATATATTCAATACATACATAAATCATCATTGTCTTGCAAATACTAAAACCTCCTCCCGACCCCGACGTGTGCACAAAGTACTCCACAGATGTCATCAACAAGGAACTTGCAACAGCCACAAAATGGTTGCTAGATCACATTCTGCCTCGTTGGTTGCATTCCCACATCAAGGGATACCACATCTAACACCAGTGTTGCAGGAATGCTCCTGGGCCAAATTTAAGGTTATAAATTCCTAAACAACTTGGGACCAGGCTCTCTGCAAGACCACCTTGCTTCCTCCCTACATGCCCATTCCCGGCAATCATCTAGGGAGACCTCCTGTGTGGTGCAAACCAGGTACATACTTGCCAGATGGAACTCGTGGTCCATGGAAGTTTATCTGTTTTTACTCATTTTTATTCTTGTATACAGTATCCCTGTGATGTTTCACATTTATTGCTAAAGTTAATGGTTTACTGAGCACACAAACACTGCTCCGGTTATGCCCTTCCCCACCAGCCAGTGGGGGCAACAAGTCACCATCCCACACTTTCCACCATTCTGTCTGAAATGGGGGACTGCAGTTTGTTTTGTTCCTAACAAGCCATGACACAAACCCACAAGGCTTGTTCCCAGAGGTGGTTTGTTTGAGCTAATTTGCAGTTTGGATGCAACATTACGCAAGGGATCTGTGGTTTGCTGCTCATGCCAGCAGTGATGCAGAAGCAACCTCTGTGTTCATGGGAATCACAGAATTGTAGAGTTGGAAGGGACCCGAGGGTCATCTAGTCCAACCCTCTGCAAAGCAGGAATCTCAACTAAAGTATCCATGACAGACGGCCGTACAACCTCTGCTTTAAAACTCCAATGAAGGAGAGTGCATAACCTTCTGTGGGAGTCTGTTCCACTGTCAAATGGCTCTTACTGTCGGAAAGTTCATCCTAATGTTTAGTCAGAATCTCCTTTCTTGTAACTTGAATCCATTGGTTTGTGTCCTACCCTCTGGAGCAGGAGAAAACAGACCTGCTGACAGCCCTTTAGATATTTGGTAGCTATATGATGGCTATCATTACTCCTCTCAGTCTCCTCTTTTCCAGGCTAAATATACCCAGCTCCATCCACCGTTCCTCATAAGGCTTGGTTTCCACAAACTGTGGTCCACCAATGGAACACAGCCATTGTGTGGAAAGGCCCATAGAGACCTCATGAAATGTCTGCATATTACTAGCAGGAAGAGGGGGCAGGGAAGTGTGTGAAGGGGAAAGGGTTTTCCAACTGTGCCTCTAGAACAGTCTTCATCAACCAGGTGCCCTCCAGATATCCCAGACTACAACTCCCATCAGCCCCAGCCTGTAGACCGCAATATCTGGAAGGCACCAGGTTGACGAAGACTGATCTAGTAATTACTCACAAATTAATAGATTCTGGCTTGCTACATATCTGGACGCTATTCAAAGAGGGCACCATGAATCTCAGGGAACAGGTTTCTCCCATTACCAAAGCAGCAATCCCGAATTAAAAGGCCTCCACATTCCTGATCCATGTCTCTGGACCTCCCATTTCAATGCTGTTCCTTCTCCCAGCCTCCCCCCTCACCTTGCCTTTAATTTTGTCTTTCCGCCCCAAAAGCTTGCAGTCTCTGTCACTGAGCTTAATTTGAGCCACAGCTCAACCTTAGAATAAACGTGAAGAAGAAATAATGAAGACAGCATCTCCGATCATGTGCAAAGTGCACAATGCATACCACAGCTTAATCTAAAAGATGCAACACACACACACACACACACACACACACACACACACACACAGAGAGAGAGCTTAGAGGTCAGCTTTGCAAGAAGCTTCCACACAGCACTGATCCCCTGGTGTCTTTCTTTGCAGAAATTAAACCTTGCTCTTTCATTA